TTTAACTTATAAACTATATTTGAAAGTGTTTTTTATTATTTAAAAGTCTTTTTTTTTACTTCTATTATTCTATATGTGGTTAGCCGTTGACTCACTTCAACTGTAACTTTTTTCTATGAGCTATAGACATTTTCAAATAAAAAAACCCTTCGAAAAAAACCCTAGGATTTATTATTTAATTTTTTTTATGAAAAACATGAAAAGTTTTTATAAAGTGCTACAATTTCGGATTTTTTTATATTCATCCAATTAAATTTGGCCTATTTTGTTATGCAGTACAGGCAGCACTAAAAGACAAAACAATTACAAAGTTATTATTTACTTAACACTTAACAACAAAAAAATGTATAATTCTTTAATCTATAATGTTACTTTTTGCAAATGACTTTCAATAAATGTAATTATAATTCAAAGGAAGCGGTTGAAAATGTACAAACATATTAATATATACTTTTTTAGAAATATTATAATTTATAAAGCATTACAATTTATATATGAAAAAATTATAATTTTACTATTTTTTATCTCTAAAAGGTGTCACTAATACAAATGATGTACAACAAAATGTCCGTAAGTACAAATTATCTTTATTCGTATTATAACAACTTCTAAGACTTATTATAGATTGCACAAAACTTCATTAGTTTCATAAACTGTTAATGAACCATCGTGTTTTTCCCAACACGGTTTATAGAACTACCCAGCATTAATATTTTAAATTATAATCCTGACATGATTTACATGAATTTACAATATAGTAATTTGTTTATAATATCCAAAGTAAATTAAAGAGTATAGAATAGTTTCACGTTTTAAAATATGTTTTATACATTGAAGATTAACTTTGTTGCTGCGGATATAAATAAAAAATTCTAATTTAAGCATTTTAAATTTTCAGCTCAAAAAAAAGGTATGTATTTAAAAAAAATTGGTTTTTATAATGTCATAACCATAATTCATAACATTATAGATTGTGCATTTAAAATATTACATATTATATTTTAGGAATTATCACAGAAGAAGACATCCGTTTTATTATGTACCTTGTTTCTAAACAGATTACTAGTTGAAATTTGAATAATATTATTGTGGTACTCTTTAACAAAATTTGAATGTAAGACATTAATACATACATTTATATATTATACTTTTAAGCATACCACAATTAATGTAAGACAAACTATAAAAATATCATTTGTATAAAAACATGTTTTAATTTTTTTTCCTCTTTCATATTATTAGATTTAGTTTAAAGTAAATTTGTTTTATACTTAAGGATAAACTTACACAGTTAGCAGATTGCTTAGGAATACGAAATGATTATTAAAGTAGACACTAATTCTGAAAGTGATTAAATCGTTTTGAAAGTGATGATGTTAAATGTAACAGAAACCACTAAAAACAATTTAGTCAAGCCTAGCTAGCTGTGGATAATAAAAAATACGGTTTGGTCCTCTGTAGTAGTATACAGAACTAATAACAGGTTACACCTTGTTTCCATACTTTTTAAAATGTATTGTTTCATTGTGGTCGAAACACAGTAATCCAGATCAAATTATTGTCCCGATTCCCTGAACTTTTGCCATATTGGTTGTGTCATAGTAAAACAAACGTTTTGTTTGACCCTTCAACCGAATTGTCTAAATTCGTGCACCAGATTCGTAAACATTTATGTGTCTACGAAAGGGGATAATATACAAAATAGTAATAATTAACAACAACAATTCGACATTTTTTGAGTAATGAAGTCGATTTATATAGAAATAAACAAAAACGTATTTACTTTCAAAAACATCATAATATATTTGTATGATGTTTTGGAAAGTAATATATTATATTCGTTTTTTGTGTAATTCATGACTAAACCAAGGTCTATAGTATAATATTGTTAAGTACCAGAACATACATTCTCAAGTACCGTTGAATTTTCATGAGAAACAATACATTAGGACATTAGGTATTCACATACCACTGAAACGAGGTATACAAGTAATGGGTGTACACAATAAGTTGTGTAGTACTCTCCACACACCGTAAGCCCTTAGTGTGATAGCGTAGTGGGTTTCTATGACTTTACATGTCTATTAACGACCATCCCCGAGATCATAATAATTTATCGGATATTTGCACGCCTATAGTACTACCGCCACAATTCCTTAGCGTTCCGTGCCGTAATAATTATAGGCCCGACTACCCAACCTTTGATTATCATTATACGCCCTTTAACGGCGGGGAGGGGGTGGCAGCGGTATTATGCAAATCCTAAGAATAAAATGCGCGGAAGGGAGAAGTTTCTTCTTCGTTAAGCAATGAAAATGAGAAATGTTCAAGCCATCTTATAGGTCTACACTTTGTTCGTCTCCAACTCTGAATTGAAAACGCTTATACGAACCAATGCTCGCCGACGCAACGACGCCCCTGTAGGGAGTCAAAAATTGAATGTTGCTTTTACAATAATACAAAATGCTGTCTGTCTTTCTGTCTGGCTGTCTGTGTGCCGTCCAAAAACCCACAACAAAAGGGACCCCTTGTATTTGTTCTTAACCAACGGTGGCAACAACCCTCCTTTCGAGGCGAAAATATTGCAAAACGTCACTCGCGTGTCATCTCGACATGCTTTTCACATTGACTTGTACTCAAATCTGTGTGCCCCTTAAAATTTAAATTAAAACCTACGCCGCTGCGTTTCAGAATAGATGATTGCATATTTTGCATTTTTCTATTTTTTATTTGATTCTTACGCATGTTTTTTTTATCGTTTTTGATATTTAATACGTATTTTGCCTTTTTTAATTGTGTAAAAGAAATGATGTTTTGTGAAAATAGTAAACGAAACATGAATGAAATGTCTAGAGGTCAATCAGTATATTTTATTAAATAATAAAAAAATTGAAGAGTGATACGTAAGTAAAAATAATTTGTAGAAAATATTTTGATTTTGATTATTCGTGTGTCTGGCAGTGCTTATAAAAACGTTCAAAGAGTATAGAATGATATAAACGGTTAAATCAAATGTTTTTTTAAGTTTTTAGAACTGGACAGTTATATAATAATAATAATATTTATTACATCAATACCTATATTATTTGATACTTATCCACAGACATATTTTATATAATAGATAAATTGATATACATTCATATTTTTTTAAGTAAACCATGAAAGGTATAAATCCATATATTAATATATTAAATTAGATTTATTAGATGGCAAACCAACAATTCATCGTACTAAATGATAATAATTAAAAATGTTTAAATAATTTTGTTTTCATTATATTTTAATAGAGTAGTATCAATTTCAAAAAATAAAACAAAATCTACAGTTTTAACTTTTTTAAGGTGGAAAGAATACTTATATTATACTTCTATTTATAATAAAATAGTAATTAAATGTTGATGTTGAATTTCAATATAAATTGTAAAATGCATTGTTCTGATTTTAGCTATTTTTATTCAGTGCTTCAGATATTATAATAGTAATCATTTATTTAAATGAAAAATTAGTTTCAATAAAAATTATTTGAAATTAATATTTTATTATGATGTTTTAGTAATGCCCAATGTCTGAAATCACATCTCCTTAAAAAAAATCAAAATAGTCAATATTAATAAGTGTCTAATTTTGTGCAAGCTGCATCAACAGCAGCTCAAAAAAAAATATATATACATTTATAATAACATAAAAATTAAACAGCAAGTGAAAATATTATTATAGAATAAAATATTATATACTAACAAAATAAACACAATAGAAAATCATGTACTTATGGAATATTAACTACAATAATCGTATTTAATTAAAAAATAAAATGTATGGAATTGTTATTAATTGCTCACCTTATTTTTTTATTAATAATAAAATAAAAAACTGCGCGTTGATAAAATTTAATAGCATAATATATCTAATGAAATATAAGTACAATAAGTGCACGATTTGTATTTTAAACAGGATATAAAATAATCAGTGTAAATCCATAATGGCACTTATAAAGTACTTATCTAATGATAAAGTATTAAATCAAATTTAATTTCACTTACAAAACTTGAAACGCATCAGTACCGCGCACTGGCGGTTCTGAGTAGCGTTTCCGGGCGAGTAACCGACCCGGGCTCGCCAGATGGCGCAACCGCCATCCGAGGTGACCGACCCGTCGGTTACAGTTGAAAACCTCGGGTTAACGGCAAACGACGTGTTACACCTAAAACCCTACTATAGTTATTTTACCTAATATTCCCCATTTCCTGATAAACCTACCCCTCTGGAAAGCAATCATGTATGACTCAAAGTTCATATCCCATTTATGACCATACTACTATTGAATTTTATTATATAAAACTACCAAATAAAATATTATATGTAAAACGGTTTTAAGAACTTCGACGATCTATAGTGATAATTCCATCAAAATTTCGACTATTGAAAAAAATTAATAAATTAAGGTTGTGAAAAGCTCAATATTATTCAACATTAATTAAAAATTAAAATCATTTTTTTCTCTTCCTAAAATAAATTATTCTACGAAAACTCATTATGCAACCAATAATTATATAAATGATTGTGTTACACAAGAAAAAATGTATTCAAAGTAAAAAAAATGGTTTAATTAAGTTAAATTAATTAAAACAAATGAAATGCATCTGACCTCTAAAATAATTGAATATAATGCTAAAATATATTATACTACTTTTATTATTGTTGATTGTGTACTTTTCTAATAAAATTTCTATTGTGTTTCACGTGCAAAAAAATCAATAATAATAGAGCTTAAAGTTAATTATTAATTAAATATGTAATTAGAACGTGAGAAAACTTTTAATAGCATGTGATATGCTGAAACATTTTAGTTTTAATAAATAAAAAAATTTTTAAAAATAAAAAGTTAATTAATAGCAAATTATATGCATCTGACCTCTAAAACTAGTACAAAACATCGAAGCAAAAATTAACTAAATAAGATATATCTTGTGTAGTTTTCAATCAGCGCATTTCAATAATAATTATATATAAAGTAAATAATATTTCAGCATTCTTTATTTCCTTTACTTTTATTAAGATTTTAACTAATTTTATAACTGTTACTCATACAATGGACTTTTTTGTTAACCAAATATTAAATTTAAGTGGTTTTACTTTACTCAGTGTTTTTGGATCAACTGCAATTATTGGATTTACATATTATTATTTGACATCTGTAGTCGAAGTAAGAAGTTACAAATATATTTTAGAGTTATATACTAGATAATTAAAAAAAAAAAACTAAAAACTTGAACACAAAGATAAAACAACAAGAGTATAGTATAGACTCTAGAGTTTTGGAATGCAATAGGGTAAAATACTAACTACCGGTTTGCAACGAAGCGTTTTTTCGAAAGTGATTTTATAACTTTCAGATTTAAAAATTCCTGTAAACCTGTGACCTCCCCGTCTCCACTATGCCCCGACCCAGCTATGCTCCGTCCCCACTATGCCCCGACCCCACTATACTGGCTTTTTTTATACTTTTATAGTTATTAATTTGGGACAAATTTAAAATATTTAAAAAATATAATCCCAACCCTTATATGTTAAAACCGTATGAACTTAAGTGTATTAAATGTTAACGTATATATTTGATTAGTATTTTAAATCAAGATTAATTTGCTGATCATTTTGACTGGTCGATAACCAGCTTTCGATCATTATTTGCAAAGTTATTTAAGTTTAATAATTAAAGGACGGGAAGAAGGTATGTGGAGAGTAGAGATATTTTTATCTGCGCGCATTACGCTATTGCATTTCTCCACCTGTCCTAACGTCTAATATCTTCCAAGTAATTGACTAGTTCATAGTTAACCAGTTACTTGGTGTACATAATTTATCCCAACAAAAACACTTCGTTTTCTCAATGTAAATGCTCGCAAAGTAAAAAAAAAAAAGTTTCAATAGAAGCCTTAAAAAACGTGATATCGTATTGTAACTAAATAAATACCATAATGTAATAATTATGTATCATACACCGTTGTCAACAAATAAAAATCTGTCTACATATTAAAACAGTCATCAAAATATCGTCATTTAATTTACTCGACTGAAAGTCTAAGTTTGTTTTCCTACTAACAACCATTGTCATAATAGGAATATAATCAGAAATGTATAGCAAAAATATAGCATAAAAACAGGCTTCGAATTCGGACCAACAAAACTGTATTACGATTTTTTCATGACTGGTTTTATATGTAGACAGATTTTTCATTATAAATATTTATAATCATTAACAAAAAAAAATTAATTAAGAACTTTATTAACTATTTGTTAATAATAGTTTAACTATGTAATCACTAACAAATTTATATGTACACTTATTTACTAACAATTTGTATATTAGGAACCTAAGTTACACTGCAAAGAAGGCAATTTCAAGAGTTTTCTTTACCAACATGTGACTCTTACAAAAACAAAAATTTGGCCGTTGGTATTGGGTTTTGAACCTCGTATGAATACTATGTTTGCATTTTTTATTCGACATTTATTTGTGCCATCCGTAAAATATGATAGGTACGATCTCAAATAATGTTAATGTTATTGTATGGCATAATTAATTAAGCTATTTTTTTCTAGAGAATTACTGAATCTTACAGATGGTGGTCAAGTAGCATTAGATTTTTTAGAACCAAATGAAAATTCAAAAAACGGAGATGTCACAATTTTGGTATTACCTGGGTTTGGGCATAGTTCTAGAACTGGGTATGCGAGAGCTGCGTCATTAGCCTTACAAAAATCTGGATTTCGAGTAGTTGTTTTTAATTATAGAGGAATTGGAGGAGTCAAATTAAAGGTTAGGTCTGATATTATATATATATATTTATTTAATTATTTATTTATATTGATTGAGAAAGCTTCTTTTAATTACTATGTTGGTTAGAATAGTTTATTTACTGAGTGTAAATAAATTTTGACGGATGAATAGTAAAAGTACTAATGTTAAATCCATTTTAATATTTTTATTTTATGTTTTTTATGTTAGGGTTCACATTAAGTAATTGAAAATGACCTGATAAGGATTCAAGACGGGTACCTAATATTATATCGTATAATACATATTCAATTTTATTTCAAACTAATTTTAATTTAACGGTACCTTAGTCGAAAACAAAATTTTAAAAAGTTTAAATTATAAACTGAGATTGACACATTATTAATAATATTAAAACTAATACCTATACTTCTATTATTTTTTACATGGAATTAAAATTTATTTTTCACTAAATGATACTTAAATTCTACGTTCTAAAGGGCTGGTCAATGATTAAATGTAATATACCTTGCGTACTTTTAAACTATCGAGTCGGTATATCTTAAAACTTTGCAATGCATGACGCGTGTCACAACATATCTATGAGCTAATTATATTAACTACTTAATTTTACGAAAAAATAATGTTTTAAGTTTATACATAAAAATAAAAAATATAGGTATTTGGTAGTTTGTTAGTGAAATGTTTCTTTTAATTATCTATTAAAACTTACTAGAGTAATTCGTCTTATGAAACAACAACAGAACAATACTATTTTATGTAATATGTGTCGAGATGTATGAATTTTCGTATAATAAATGAAATGTTTCGTACAACACGTATTAAATTAATAACTATACAAATGATTATGACAATAATTTACATTAACTTTTAGTTGAGTTTACACCGGAGATGATCCTTACTTGTTCCACCCAAAATCACGTCTGTAACATTTACAAAATAAAGCCTAAACTTTTTTAGCTCGAATAACCTTCTATAACTAAAACCGCAATCAATCTCTACTATGACTTTTTTAAACCGAGCTGATAAAACCCGATTCTAACCCAGCTTACTAAAACACAACGTCCATCGTAAAGGCGAAAAAACGGAGTATGCCCTTACTTACATTGCATTAATTTTGTAGTATATAGGTCGTTTTAAATTAAGTCAAATTTTTGTCCAATTCTTAAAAAAAAAATTTTTTTATTTAGACGCCAAAAAGTTATTCTGGAAGTAATATAGAAGATCTCATAGAGGTAATTATTCGTGTAAAACTTAAGTACCCCAAAACAGTTTTAGGTGGCTTAGGAATATCAATGGGTGGGTAAGTAACTGTAACTGTTATAATTATTTATATATAAAACATCTATCAAGAGTATGACAACTTTTGTTTTATAGTACGTTGTTAGGAAATTATATGTGTTCAAATTATCAACATACTCAAAATCATTTAAGTGCTGCAATGCTTGTATCAGTGGCTTGGAATGCAAAGTCTACGGTATCGAGTTCTTCAAAAAATATCATGAACCGTATGATTGATTGGTTTTTTACACGTTGCATTATAAAATATATAAAGAAGTTTGTAATTTTGTATTCCGCCATATAGTATTGCGAAATATCATTTTTGTTTTTTATGTATAACTTATATATCATATTTAATATTTTCATTTAGAAATAGCAAAGTCCTGAACGGTCCAAACCAAAAATGGAATTACAACGAAGTAATTAAGGTATGAACATGTGTAAAAGTTTTGTCTATAATATAATTTCCTCATTTTGTTTACGATTTCAGAGTAAAAATGGAGACGAATTAATGAGAAATTACATAATTAAAATGTTCGACCACGATACGGTTGAAGCTTTCTATGATTCCGTTTCATTACATGACAAAATAGACCATTTTAATATACCATGTTTGTGCTTGAGTGCTGCTGATGATCCTTTATCTTTAAAACCCGGTAAAATTATGTTGAAATATTGTTACAAAGGAACTTCATCTTATATATATTTTTTTAATATAAAACTGTAGTTATCTAAAAATTTTGAAATGATTTTCACCCAAATTAAACTATGTGTTTTTGATAATATATCATGTTAGTTTTCTCAATCTATGTTTAAAGGATACAAAGAAAACCCCTGAAAAGAAATGAACAACTGAAAATGTTTAGAAACATGTTTAAAATGCAGTACGTAAAAACGATATATATGACACCAAAATCGCCAATTTGGAAATAGTTTTCTAGTTTTTTCCCTGTATTTTTCATAATATATTAGCACATATTATGCTCTATCACATCAAGTTATTGGGGTAAATAAATATGAATATTTGAGGGTAACAATATGCCAAAAAAATGTTGAAACGATTTACGCCTAAATTAAACCACATGTTTCTTATAAATCATATCCATATTTATTTGAGCTCCTCAATCCATATTTAAAGAATACATGATAAACCCAGAAAAGTAATTTTTTATGCGGTGCCATGGACTGAGCAAGGTTGTTTGGCATCAGAAAATATGTCTTTAATCTTCTTAGGCTCATAGAAATTTTAATGTACATTTTTAAATTATTTTTTAGGACTTATAGAGTTATATCAAATTATATTTATTTTTTAGCTATAATTCCAAGACATGCTGTGACCTCGCCCATACCATTGTGTTAAGTTTTTTTAATTAGTCTGTTTTATTTATAAATTTATTTTACATGAAATAGTAAAATATCTGTTATGGTTACATAATATGTTAATTAGCAAGTCAAATCAACATTCTGCTTTAAAACTTGTATATTCAAGAATCTTCAATAACTTAATATCATAGAGTTTTTGTTCATAGCCTTTCTCATTTCTGTTCGCAGTCATAGCTCAATTTTTTTTTAGTTAGCCATTACACTCGGCTTTACCTAAATGGAAATTAAGTATTTATTTTTTTTTTTTTTAGGTATTTATTACTATGTTAACAAATTATGAATCAAAAATTACAAAATGTTAGTGTTATTCTAATTCCTCGCCAAATACTGCTGTACAGTTAATTACTTTATTAAATAATTATTTCATTTGACACACAGTCGAAGCTTATGCCTCTGTTATATTTTATTACCCAATGAGTAATCTTTAGCGACGGTTAGCAAATTGTCACATTGCCTGTTACACTTTTTATTTCGAGAACCAATTTGTAATACAAATTAATATGTACCAACTGAGGTAAATATAACTTTATGACGAATGATGCTATACTATTCCGGCATCCCAACCAGTCTACGTCTAATCTTTAAGTTTAGGAAAAATAGAACATTTCTCTCAGAATCACAATCGAAAACATTATGTGGAGACATGTTGAAACAAAATTTCGTGTTTAAGTGAAAACAGTCATTTATATTTGGACGCGTTGATATGTATGTCCATGCATTAACAAAACAAAAGCAAAACATATTTCATACACACACTAAATGTTCAATTTGTCGCATACACTTATGCTTACCAGCATGCAATTAAGATATTGACTAAATATAACCCCTTAAAGAGAAAATGCTTGCCCTCTTGATCGTTTAGTTGCTAGCCTAAAAAATATTTAATTGGCCAAAATAATTGAAAATAACTAATGGAATAATATATATTTTTATTTTCTACCTTTAACAGAACTTCATACTTACATTGTCATTTATTCACGTACATGTAGGTACTTATAGACATAAGTTTAAAATATTATTTTAAACATTAATTATTGTTAATTTTAATTTTAGATGTACCTGTAGAACTAGCTTCCACTACAGAAAATGTTGCGATTTTGTTAACTACAAAGGGAGGACATATTGGATTTTTCGACAATTTTAGTCTGTTTTCAGAAAATAATGAATTTATGATACGTCTCATAATGCAATATTTCGAGGCAATATTCAAAAACGACAACTACAAAAAATTTACTAATTGACTTATCGATATTGATCCATACTTTTGTTATTCATGTAGGTTAGGTTAAGATTAATATTTCATATTATATCAAGATAACAAAAAAACTAAAATATTCATTAAGTTGATGGTGTGGATATAATTGTTTCATATGCAAAATTATAATAATTGTTAAAATAAAGCTTTGAAATAAAACTAGGCTTTTAAACATTTTATGCCTTGTGTGTATTGTGTATTGTACCATTTTTTTTTTTTGTATTTTACGATAAAAAATGTTTTTACCACGTTCAAAGCCCATTGAAACTGGTAAAACTAATAATTTGTAAAAAAAAAATTTTTAAATATCCATTGTAGAATTTTCAAATGTCGTATTGCTTTAAAAATGTTTTTTCAAATCAAGAAAATTCGAATAAAATTTAATTTAAAATTATGTAATGAAAAATTAAATTGTCTTGTGAAATTTTAGGGATTTCTTTTTTTAATTGTTCCTTATTCGTCTAGTATCGATTAAAAGGCTCTGCCGGAGGAAAAACAAAAAAAAAATGAAAACAAAACAGCCTTACAACAGGCTTAACGGCATATTAGAAAGTTATGACAAAAATAAAAATTGCATGCATGTTTTCATTCCATTCCATTTAAATTTCTAAGTTTATTTTAGTTTATTAAAGAAGTCATAAGTACTAAACATTTTATTATAATAATGTAAGATTTAATATTCCATTGTGTCTTTCTTCAGTTTGTATTCAGTTTTTAATTTATTCATATTCAGTAATATTCCCATGAAATAATATTAATTCAAAACAATGATTCTCACGGCTTGTGTATGATGTGTACGTTGGTTACAATACAACATACTCTCACAAGGTTGGTTCACTGTGTGACCAGCGAACGTAGAACACACACTAATTGTAAATTAATTCGTTTTTTTAAAGTAACACCTAATTCTTATGGACTATACCATAGCCAGCAAACGTAGCCCACACTAGAACTAATTTATTTTATCTGAACTTAAAATTAACTATTTTAAAATAAATAATATTCTTAAATGAAAAACAAAAAATAGACATCCCATATCGTCGACTTAAATCGCCAAGGTCGTATCTCCACAATATTTTATTTAGGGTTCCTTTGTTTTTTTAAATGGCGAAAAAAAATTACAGTTCGATATATATTTGAAACCCGGATACCATTATTGTATACTCCTTGAAATCAATGAAGTCTTTGCCAGTCTTAGTTCATCAAAAAATATGAAGTATGAATTATTACATGGTGAAGCGAAACGAGCGAGTGCTCAACATCCCGTGACCTGCCATCTGTATCAACTATCGTCTATCAGCACAGACCAGATAAAAGCAGAAGGGTCACTTTCAGTATAAGCAAAAATATAAGAGCCATTTTGTGACGACATTATAGTGACGATATCTTAAGAAGAATATGGCCGCCGCATTTTTGTGTGATAAGTATCCTCCCCGTGTTAATTTTAAAATATTTTGAATGATAAATCTTTTGTCTATTAATTCAAAATATATATTGTACACTTCTGCAAATATTTAGCGCGAAATTCAATTAAAACTGTAGATTTATTTAAGACGATTCTATTTAATTTTTATATTATTGTAGCTAGCTAATATTATGTTTATTTGAATCTACTAACAATTTACTATAATGCAATTCAAATTTATTTCCTCGAATTAAGATTTCTATCTATATCTAAAGTATAAAAAAAAATCATTTATTTTAAAACACTGTTGACTTTTATGATAGTTTTATAGTTATAATAAAAACTACCCACCGAACAGGATATTTAGGAAAATGAAACAAGCCCAATGATTCATTGCCAATACGCATAGGCGCAATTTCCATTTTTAACTTGGGGGGCTGGAATTAAAAAAAAAAAAAATATATATATATATATATAAGTAAATATATTTTTGTATTTCAAAATTGTATGCATAACCTAATTTTTTTGGGGGGGCTAAGCCCACCCTAGCCCCCCCCCCCCGTATTTGCGCCTATGTCAATACGGCTTTCCCCACATGACTTCAGCACACATTTCTTTACAGAAGGTACACGCTCATAAGACCACATAATAATGGGCAATTAATAAACTTATAACAAATGTAAACAAATATGTATTATCAATTAACAAATTTAAGTTATAACTAATTTACTAATTTAATCAAATTTATATTTAATAAAATACAAACCGTAATATCAATATTTTAAACTGATAGTACTAAATAGATAAGAAAAACGTAAGGTGTGCACAGAATAGATAAAAGGTACGGTCGTTGTATACCCTCTCAACATGACCGTCAAGTGTCCTTTCTGCTTTCATCTATTCTGTGCTATAGACATGAGTATTTTTGCAATTTCGGAAAAGTGGTGGCAACTACTCTTAATTTTTTTTATTCTTATCGTAAATGATAGTACAACATATTCGTATAATATAGTATGTGATAACCGGTGACTATAAAAGCCGGCCAATTAGTCAATACGTCATGCTATTATACTAGTGTTCTGTGTTAGTATTAACTAATAAATTATAATTATTATTAGACATTGAACTCCAACCGGTAAATTATTTGCTGATTGTTATTCGTTAATGCTATTATTCCTACATATTTATAGTACATATCAACCGTAAAGCGATAACTTAAAAACCTACCACTACCTAGAAGTTTTATTTCGTTTGCTGATATGAACAGACTTTTGTCTTGTTAAATTTATCAATCACTAGTCATTACTCAATACCTTAAGATTACACGTACAGTTCTATAGGTACCAAGTATTAGTTTAAATTCCCATCAGTGAGTTGTACTTACTGCAATGAAATTTTTGCTGCGCAGTTAGTTTAAATATTTTTAATATAAACTGGTTCTTAAAATTGTACATCAACTATGAATACTATCATGAAGAACTTAACTAATACAGTGTGTTCTTGGCCTCCGGCTTATGTTATTGGAGTTACTGCAGCCATTAGCGTGGCAAATTATTATTATTTTCTTGCAGTCAAAGTAAGTGTTAATCATAAGTTTATGCTTGTAAAGGAGTATTCAACTAGTTTTATTATTATTTTGGTTTTTAAATTTATATATAATTTGTAGTATTTAATGTAAAATTATTTTTTTTAGAAACCCAAACTTTATTGCAAAGAAGGTAATTTCAAGAAATTTGTTCACCAAAATGTACCGATTATCAAAGAAAAATACTGGCCAATAATGTGGTGCTTTGAAGCTCGTTTTCATAGTGTATTAGCAAGTTTTATACGATCATTAGTTGTGCCTTCTGTACAATATGAAAGGTACATTGCCAATATTGTTAATAAGTACTATTATTAATAATATTAATCATTTTTTTCCCCCAGAGAAATACTTAATCTTAAAGATGGTGGTCAGGTAGCATTAGATTGGTTGGAACCAAGTAAAAATTCAAATGCTGAATATAATACAATTTTGTTTTTGCCTGGATTGACTGGTGACAGTGATTGTGAGTATGTGAGGGCTGTATCAATAGCCATACAAAAAGCTGGATTTCGCGTAATGGTCTTCAACTATAGAGGAATTGGAGGTGTAGATTTAAAGGTAAAATATTTTCAAAATGTGTTAACTATGAAAAGACATTAGCAAAGTGAATGTATCCTTTGGTAATTGGCAGTAATCCCTTTCACTAAAAATATTAACTTCAGTTTATATAATATAATATTTAAACAATAAACGTATGTTTTTAACTATCATTCACAAATTTATATATAAATCTAAATGTCAAATCTATTGATGACCTAATTTGATAATATACGAGTACGTCTTTAATAACTTTATTAACAAATTACTGTTTGATGTTATCAATTTGTAAACTAATTATCAATGACTTTACATTCATTATTAGTAGAGCTTTACCCCCAAACTGAACCTTACCTGTATAACCCAAATTAAACAGTATGGTATTTTAAAAGTAAAAACAGTTTTAATTCAAACAATAATTTCTATCAAAAACCACAATCAATTTCTACTGTATCCCCATTTTAAACCGATCTAAAAAAAACATGTGTTTCCAACCCATCATGCTACATACCTACAACATTCATCGTGGCGGCAAAAATACAGAATGTGATTACTTACATTTCATTTTTAGTCAAACATATTTAAATTGTATCTAGTTTAAACCTAAATTTGATCACAATATTTGTTTATATATTTAGACACCAAGAAGTTATTCTGCAAACAATATAGAAGATCTCACAGAGATAATTGATCATGTAAAACAGAAGTACCCCAAATCGGTTTTAGGTGGTTTAGGAATATCTATGGGTGGGTAAGTAACTGTAATTATAATTGTCTATTTATAAAATAAAGTTTTAATATAGTTGCATCAATGTTTTAATTGTTATCTAGTCTTATTTTGGGAAATTATCTGCAATCAAATGAACAACTAACGCACAAACATTTCAGTGCAGCAATGATTGTTTCGGTACCTTGGAATTTAAATTCTACTTCGTCCAATATTGAGAAACCAGTCTTAAATCTAATGATATGTTCTTATCTGGCAAATTGTCTTTCAACACAAGTGAAGAAGTACTTATGTTATGATTTAATAATTATATCTTTTTTTTCTTTCTTGCCTGCGTAGTTTGAAATAATATTTTATTTATTTTAGAAATAGCAAACTCTTAAATTCTCCAAACCATAAATGGAATTACAACGAAGTAATTAAGGTATGAGCATGTATACAAAAGTTATGTTTAAAATATAAACTACACTTTTTTGTGTTGTTTTAGAGTAAAACTATAAGAGAATTTGATAGAAATTATACAATAAAGATGTTTGGTTACAATACGGTTGAAGACTACTATGATTCTGCTTCATTACATGATAAAATAGACCGTTTTAATATACCATGTTTGTTCTTGAGTGCTGCTGATGATCCTTTTTCTTTAAAACGAGGTAAAGTAAATTATTTATGTTATAATTAAAAAGATAAATTAATTCTAACTTCTCACTATAATATTATAATATATTATAATACTAGCAATTTGTTTTCTATAACAATTGTATGTGACCTAATTAAAATATCATTATATTTTTTTATTGTTGTCCTAAATTACAAAGGCTAGTTTGTTGTGACAACCCTATGGTCTTTTGCATCACTTTTCACTGTGTGTAGACATCGCTCCCAGTGGAGTAGCCCTCTAGTGAGAGAAACTGCATAATGCAATTGGACGATGACACTTGTAGTTTCGTGAGAAATTTTGTATGTAACCATGAGAAATTTTGTATGTAACAAGCTGCATGACTTATGTGCATGAGTTGTACATTATTTGGATAACTTTATTTAAATTAAATATTTTTTGATTGAAAAAACAATTTTTAAATAATCATTTTTTCCAGTAATCTCCAAATAATATTATTGGAATAATGATATTTGTGCTTTATTTGAATATTTTTATTGATTGTTTAGTCACATAATATTGTTTTAAAGTTATTTAATAAAATATTTTTTATTTCAATTAATACGTTTTTCTTGAGTGCTTGAGTGTTTAATCTTTTTTTAATTAAATTTTCGTCAATTGTGCTTATAAATTACTAATTTATTTAATACTGTGGTAAAATAAGAATTTATTTTGTCATCCACATATTTTGCCATCCATTGTATGGCGTTTTTGCTAAAATTTACAGAAAATAGTATGTACAAAAAGTAAGTTTCCTTAAGCTGTTAAAAAAAACTACAAGGAATATCAATTTTTTTTTTTAGATTCATCAATAGAAAAACTATTTTTCCACATAGTCACCGTTATTCTCAACACATTTTTATAGACGCGGCATAAGCTTTTTTATTCCTGCTTCATAGTCCGCCCCCGCCACCTCCTTTAAAAATTTGTTGACTTCAGGCTGACCCCTAATCACAAAAAATACGTATTGAAGCAGCTCAACTTTTTTTTGAAATGCTTGATTTGGAGGAAGATGTTATCTGGGGGGACTGTATTGTGTCTGGGGTCGAGACGTGGGTACACCATACGACACCTGAAATGAAACAGCAAAGCATGGTTTGGCAAAAGAAAGAGGCACCTCCACCCAAAAAAGCCAAAGTTGTCCACTCAGCAGGCAAGGTTATGGCCACTGTTTTCTGGGATTCGTTGACTACCTTCCCAGGGGTGAGAGTATCACAATGCTGATAGTTAATGCCAAGATTAAAAGGACCTGCGAAAGGCTATCCAGAACAAATAACGTGGAATGTGGCCAAAAGGTGTCCTTCTCCTCCATGACAACGCACAAGAAAGACTGTCGAGTTGCTTGAGAAGTTTAACTGGAACGTTATTCCGCCGCATCCACCGTACTCCCCAGACCTTGCCCCTAGTGACTACTATCTGTTTCCTAAGTTGAAAGTTCACCTGAGCGGACACCACTTCAGCAACGACGACGAACTCAAGACGGAAGTCAACTAATTTTTAAAGGAGGTGGCGGGACGGACTATGAAGCAGGAATGAAAAAGCTTATGTCGCAGCTACAAAAACGTGTTGAGAAAATCAGTGACTATGTGGAAAATTAGTTTTTGTATTGAGGAATCTAAAAATTAAAAAAAAATGTTGATATTCCTTGTAGTTTTTTTTCTACAGTTTAGAGAAACTTACTTTTTGCACGACCCTCGTAGTAGAAAACAGTGACAAAATAAATATTATATAGAACGCATATATATCTTATTGACATTGTCAATTTAAGTCTATAAGTATTTATATATATATAATGAAATACTCTTTGGTAAATATTTATGATTTCAGATATACCTTTAGAGCTGGCTACAACTACGGATAACGTAGCAATTTTGTTGACTGCAAGAGGAGGACATATTGGTTTTGTTGAAGGTTTTTGGCCATTTTCAGAAAAAAGTGAATTCATGTTACGGCTTATCGGTCAATATTTTAGCGGCATTCTCAAAAACGATAATTATAAACAATTTTCTAGTTGATTATCTGTCAATTTTTACTTTTAGTGTTCATGAGGGTTGGGATCTTAATTTTTTTCTACTTAGTTAACTCGTATAAATTATGTGGTGTAATAGTTTATATATATTTAATAGGAAAACTTTAGACTGACTGGCGTGATTAAAGACAGTTTTGTGTTTGTACTAAATTATTAATATTGTTTATAATTATTATAGATAAAAATAATTTTATTATTAAAATTTGTGATACAGAACAAAATTGGTTATAGTTTTAATTTATTTTGAAATATAGTACATACTATTGATACTATTGTATATACTTATTAATAGAGAAATGAGGATTCCTTTTTGATCATCATGTTTTTTTGTCAGACTTTCACAGTCATTTCTATAGGATAAATTACAATCCTGTTTTGCAAGGGACAAACTTATCGGGTCAATATGTACAATAAAAAAATCCTAATTTTCACAATACATAGAAAATAATTTTATCTATGTCGAAGTGTTTTCATTTATTTTAATTATAATACTCATTAACTTTTAATAAACAAAAATAAAAAATAACTTGGATTAAATGTCCTCCCTCTATACTGCAAAAAAAATGTAATTCTACTATGAGTACAACCCAAAAAAACTTGTCCACCGCACGAGGCCACAATATTGGTGGTGCTACGTCCTCTTAAGGAAATCCTTTAGGTTCACTATTAACCTGACCCTGATTTAAAAGGGAAAATTTACATAAGTGAGTACTAAGCAATTGTCCATACTATTAGCTATTAGTTTGTCACCTTTATATTCTCTTGGACAATAGGCATAGGCGTAGATTGGATGGGCCTAACCCCCCCCCCCCCAAATTATTTGATCATCAAAGTAATGATGAGGGGGTGTGAAGCCCTTGCGGGTCATTTTAGGAAGAAAAAGGCTAGCCCCCAAAAAAATTAATCAAATCTCCGCCGATGACATTAGGCAATAGCACTAAGGTCTAAGAACCTAAAAACAAACATAATTTTGTTCCGATAGAATGGCAAATAAGTATGAGAAAATTATATCTACTCATTTATTCTTAGGTATTTCAATTTATTTTTGTTTTTATTAAAATAATATGAAATTACATTATGTTGTTGTTCATCAGTTAAAAAAACATGTAAATTTGCAACACTCGACATTGAATTTGTTAGATTTAAAAAATCACTATAATACATGTACAGAATCTCTTCATTCTCAGGTGTTCCGTGTTCATCTATATCATGGATATTACCTACTATAAAATGTCGCACTATCTAGTTAAACGACGGGAAACGTAGAATATAGATTATAGAACGACACGCATAACGCTGGCAATATTATACTTAATATTATTTTTAACAATATGCTTCATTGAATATGCATTTGGTATAAGTAAAATATTATAATAACATTAAATTAGGTATACATTATAAGTAAATAATTTGCACATTCACGGTTTAACTTATATTAGTTAAATCCTAAAACAACCTACATAGCAATATGTATAAAAAACAAAAAGTTATATTATGTAGAAACACTACAATCTACATTGATTTAAACTCGATTTGTGTAACAATCCTTTTAATAAATAATAATAAAAAAAAAAATGTATTTATCAACGTCTTTGATAAAAAGTTATTTCATTGCTGCCGAGGAACAACAAAGAAAGTGCAAATGTTTGAAAAACGGGGTTTTTGCGGTTTTAGCGTTGAAACAAGTAATTCGTACATTCGATAATTAATAATACCGCGACATAATCATTTTTTATACTTGTTAGAATTGTCTGTTATGTTTATGTAGATAAAAAATTTCAAAAAGAGTCGCCATACGATTACGTTTAAAAATACAACAAACATCACACATAAATAAAAACTAGAGTAACTTTGTGGAATTATTACGATTTATTATTAGGAACCCGATCAAAAAAAAAAAAAAAATGATTTACTTAGAGCAAATACAGTGACCTCATACGGTGTGTCGTATATATAAGGCTGCGGCAAATGACAGTGGAACTTAGGAGCGACCGCCGCCAGTGCGATTAGCGCAAATGTAGCGCCGCCGACTTGGTTGCTCGATTGCAGCAGACGTTCCCGTGTCATTCAAATATGTATAAGCTATTGATTGACAAACTCGTTTACGACACGGTCCTGCCGTTGGCCTACGTCTGCACAGCGGTGCTGGTCGCGGTGTTCTGTTATTGTTGTTTCACCTCGGTCAAGCAGGTATGATTATTTATGTAGTTTTACAAAAACGAAAAAAAAAAACATCATCGCGCTCGCTCTCAGAGAGGTTTCACTCTAAATTTGTAACCAAAAGTTATGGAAACGTCGCCTAGTCATATGGATTCTACAAAATAAATTCGATGGTAAAATTAAAAATTCCCCCGACGTTTTGTGAAATATAATATGTAATCGTCTACATAATTTTGACTATACTGCATTAACTTAAAAGAGAGGAATACGTAGACTGGAGGACGAAGGTTGATAGCCCTCTTGCAAATAAATGTAGCACTTGGGTGGTTCTAATTTGCACGATTTCCGAATTTCAATTGTGCCTCCCCCCCCCCCACATTCGATTCGAAAAAAAAATTAAGCCAACTTTGAACTTTCTAATCAGATCCTAATCATTCCCTGTAACGAGGAGAAGTTTTCCGTTTAAAATACGTGCAATTACGTGCTATTTTAACTTGATTAATGTATTACAAAGGCAAATTATTGACGAAAAAAATTTAATTTTCATGAAATTGTCGAGTATCAGTGTTACTTTTAAGCATGAATTAATAAATTATCTTAATTCGTGCTTTTAGGTAAAAAAATGTTGATTTCTGCTTAGTACCGTATAGTTCAATAACAGTTAAGTTAAAATAGGGAAATTGCGTGTATTTTAAACGGAAAACTTCTCCTCGTTACAGGGAATGATTAGGATCGGATTAGAAAGTTCAAAGTTGCCTTAACATTTTTTTTCCGAATCGAATAGGGGGGGGGGCACACAATTGAAATTTGGAAATCGTGCAAATAAGAACCACCCTAATGTAGCACACAACAAATTTCCCGAATTTTTATGTCCAAAAACATCATTCTGTATTGTAAATATTTTGGAAATCTAATACATTAATTAAATTATACTTTCTTGAACAGTTTTAAAAAAATAGTATGTAAGCTATACTCAAAATAAGCAATCTATTTAAACAGAATTTATTTTTTCTTTCTTTGAAATGGCCATTTTCAAGGATTAATTAAAATGTATTCTGATCAACAACGTTTTCTGGTTATTGCAAGATATTTATTTTTAGGGTAAATAAGAATAATATATTCTGGCTCAATAAAACTACTTATTGTACAAACGAATAAATATACACTCAAGATTCTAAAAATTAACAGCTTTAAAGAAATTAATATTTAAAGGATATTTTTAAGTATTTATATGTAGGCATATAAATAATAACTGAATGTTAAAGGACGCCAAAATGAGGATAAATAATAATGTATTCTGAATTTTTAAAGGCATTATTTCATAGAAAGAAAGTAAATAATCTAGCTTTTAAATAACCCTGGTAGTTCGTTATCCAATCTGAAACCCACATAAAATGATATTTCTTATGCATGTGGCACGGTAACTTCAGCACCGCTGTATTAAAATTGTTTCAGGGGTGTTCAACATATTTAAGTGTAATTTCTAAATTATACAATTAACAAGTTATAACATAGTTTGTTTGATAATTGTTTCGATTTGTGAGTGCGGCAGTATCGTTACGCCTACAACATCCGTTTTTTAAACATAGTTTTTCTAAGGTTTAGGAGCGATACACATTATTCAAACGTGATTAGTAATTTGCGCAATTAAAATTTAAATAAATAGGATAGTTTTTTAATCGAATTTACGATTTTCGAGTAACAGGGTAACGCACAAAAGGAATGAAGCTAAAAATAACTGTTTTTATATTATAAAAAATATTTTGGTTTAAGGAGCGCAAAATTGTATACAATTTAAAAACAAAAACAAGAAGTCACTTTCTGAAGTGTTTGCCAAACAGATTTAAAAAAAAATTTTTTGTTATAAAAAAACATCTTCTTTGTGGGGGGGGGGGGCTTAAAGACCGGTTTTTTACCCAATCCACAAAAATTATATACTTAACGCATATACGTATTTCAATAACTATGTTGTCATCTTCAGTGCCGATCGTCGACTGAGCGTTTATCGGCAACAACATGTCTTATATAGGTTCATTTCACTTCATTATGTCATGTCACCAATAGAAAAATAAGTAAACTAAATTGACCATATGTTAGAGAGCTTTTAGGGATAAAAATGGCTTTGTAAAGCGTGCGTTAAATGCTGGAACTTTTAAACCTATTTCGGTTAATATCTCTGGACAGTGAACCATATTATTTAATAATTTATAAAAAAATACATCTACCAGCTAATTAACCTATCAGCTTACAACTATCAGCTAATTTACATCTTGATTCTAACGTTGGAAAATTAAGTTTAATCGCAACCTAAAGACAATTTATATATATTTAATACTGATTATGTTTTACTATTTACAGATTAATATGTTTTTTTTTTAAGTGAATATTTATCACTTTTAGTCATAATAATTATTTTAGCCGGTGGTCGCCGCAACCCACTATGCTTGCTTCGTCCTATCTGTGCGGGTCTTTATTTACTATACATTAATTTAACCACACCTTTTGGAAATCAGTGTCTATAAGACTTTGTTAGATCGGAGAGAAAATTCAATTCGTATGGTATGGATTGCAATAACTCAGTCAAGAAAATAATTAACCGATACTAAAATATATTTTTCTATGCAGTTTAAAGGATTAAGATTATTTGGTAAAAGGTATGGGAAGTGTGAACAAACATTTTCTAATTAAACCACATTTGGTCCAAAAGGTTATGTACTTTTTATAAAATAATAGCATATTTCAGTAACACCATTTAGGTTAACAGTCAATAGTTTATTTAATACAAATTGTTTATAAATATGACAACTGTTGTACAATTATATTTAACTGCTATTTGGTACCTTTGCGATTTTTACAAAGTACACCCCATTTGCTCTGAAAAAAAAATATATATTAAATAAAATATTTAAAATCCAGTAATAACTAATAATTGTTGTAATACTCGAGAGACACATATTCCCCATATACAATTTTATTTCCATCGTTCTTGGCTTCTTGTGAACAAACGGAACTTAACTCGTTATTGTTATTTTTGTCAATGTTGTTCAGAGCAAATACGTCTTGAACAATTTCCTTAATTTTATCACAACGGCTAGCCATTATGTTTTGGTTCTTTATAGAATCCGCAAAGTAGTAAACAGCGGATGAATGAGAACATTTTAAGGCCATTTCATCTGTATAAATTAAAAATAACAATAATAACTAAGTGAGTCGCAAACAAATTGATACAAAAAATAATATTAATAATAATTTATAGGTATAATATACAAGGATATGTTTTTTATTTATCTTTTTACCTACAACCCTGTATGTCACGCCAAATTAGTTTAATGTTCTGATTACGTAGTCTAAAACTCACTTTAAAGAACGGTTTGCTAACCTAGAATATGCACGGTAAATATTTGTCACGATACAAATAGTAAATATTTTGTGATTAATCACTTAATTTGTGTGTTAGCTACATAAGTACATACAATATGCAAAAAGTGGTTTAACCTTAGTCAAATAGTTATATTATCTCCCCAGGTTTCAAAGTTTAATCCTACTGCTTGCAAAAACAACACCTTCTCCTAAATAATAGTCTACATTCAAAATTCCCTCTCAAATTTTGAAAAACTAAAATATTATTACCCATGAACCTTAAAAATTAGTAAAATTTCCTGGGCAGCAAGCATTTCAGGGAAGGATTATGACACTGTATCTTCCTCTCCTGATTGCGCTACTGTAAATTATTACTGTAATTACTACACTCAACGTTCAATTATTTCCTAAATACTATCTTATTTTTGACTAGCAAATTCACAAACATGTTCATACATTCAAATCCGACATGTTCGACAAGTGCACCAATTGTTTTAAAGTTTCCCTCTTTTTAAAATTCGTTTACACACAAGTCTTATTTTACTATTTACGTGTCTTTTCATTGCGGCAACCGTCTTGAATAACGGCATTATTAAAGTAAAAGTCAACATTTCCCGAGGATTCCGCGGCGCCATACAAGTTACCGATCTGCGTGTGAGTCACATCCACAAAGATGGCACTTTCTGGTGTGATACTGGAAAGAAAGAATCCGGGAGCGGCCGGATCCAATCCTAACGATAAAAAACCAATCATTAGTATTATTTACACGCCTAATGTATGATTTAATATGGTTAATTATTTCTAACCAGACACTCTGTCTATTGTTTTTCCCATTCCCCTAAGTGTATTCCCCGCTTCGCCGGCTAATTGAGCCCCTATACTATGTCCGACCAACTGTATATAGGTTATTTCTGGTCGCGAGCTCTGTATCGAGACGATCATATCGGTAATGGTAGTCACCACATTTTTAAAATCGCAATGAATAAATTCAATGTATTCCAATCCCTCGGTTATAATATTTGATTTGGAAACGTCACCAGTGACGTCATGGTAATCCACCATTACAATATTGTACTCTTCCTGTGCCGATATAAAGGCTGAAAAAATTTATAATGTATTTTATTATGAACAATTTAATAAAAAAGTAAAATTAAGAAATAGTTTCTACAAGATACCCAAGGCTAAACCCTTCTAGGAGAAATGAAAAGATCGGAAAGATTTTCTCGATTTATTTAGAAAATTCTGAATTTTTTCTACTTTTAGCCTACAAAATATACTCAGTCGATAACTGACGTACCTTGCTACACTGTCCTAAATTTAAGGAACTACTAACTGATCAGGTATATATATATATATTGTATATACATAAAATTTGATAAGCTGCCGATTATGAAGCTGTATGTTTTACACCCCATTTCACGGTAAATTTGTCTATAGATTGTAGCATTGAACAGAAATAGTTACACCAGTAAAAAAAATACCGTAAAAAACATTAAAAAAAATAATTTTAGTTATTTAATTACCATCTTAAATGTACATCAAGTATAAAAATTTTACATACCGCGTGTATACGAGTATAAGGTATTAAGAAGCCATGTGATAAAGTGTATCACCTATAAACACTTATAAGACATTGTTCATTGACCTCACGCTTCTTATATTAAAATGTATAGGTAAAGTAATATTATAGCTTATAGTTATGTCGTTAAACCTTTTCGCAAAGTAACTATATCAGAAGTTGTTCTACTTGCACCAAATCCATGGATAATAAATATGACGGTGTTAGAATCCGCGGTAAACGGAGCTTTCTCAATCGAATTTGCATCGGCAGTAATGGAATAGTCATCAATACTTCTGAAATTTCATTTTTAATTTATTCATAGCGACCAAACGCACAGTTAATTTACTTAATATTCCTAGTAGTTATTACAATGTATAATTAGTGAAGCATAGAAATGAAATATAATTTCAACCAAAAATATGTAATGCAACTTGCAAGTGTATTTATAGTATGTTTTTAAACTATTACTGTTGACTTGATATAAATCATACTCCAACAACATGATTAAAACTATTGTGTATTTGATCATATCATTAGATTCTGATTCCTGGTTAAGGTATGAATTATCAGCTATGCATATAACATATTGTATAGGTACCTACTAATATACTAATATACTAATGTACTATAAATGAACACAAAAAATTAGTTTTGAAAAAGCAACAAGGAAATTTTTACTTTTTTATTTATACAAACAATATTGTTACTACAATATTATATTCCTATTGAGGTTGTACTTAACACTAATTCTTTTTTTTTAATAATGCTAATCGCATTAAAAGTATCTAGCTTGCAAACATTTTTATCGACATTAATTTCTAAAAATTAAAATCCAAAATGTTTGAAGCTTAAGAGTAAAAGTGTTCGAAAGATCGAAAGGTTATAACTTATAAATAGTACATATAGAACACTTATAATACAAAAAATTAAGGGGTTACTTAAAAAAATGAATTATAAATCTTTATTTAACGCTTCAATCTTCATAAAAATTCCTATATTTTCAAATAAGTAAAAAATATAATTTTAAGGTTACCTCTCAATTTTTCTATAAATTGTCAAGATAATATTTGTTTTTCTTAATAAAAAAAATGTGTATATATATTTTTTTTTAATACCAAAATATTGTAAGTCACAACATACAAAAAGAAAATTTAAGTGTTTTTTTTTTGAATATTTTAACAAAAGATCATCTGAAAATAGACATGTTCTGTATATTTAATTGCGTATGCTGCATTTTTGTTTTTCGGTTTTTAACGAGACATAATGAGTCATTCCATGCCAAATCACCTAATGTGTGTGCGAGTGGATTCTTGAAATGCATCAAACTTACATACCTTATGCAAATAGTTCCATAAAACCAAAAAAATTAAGAAGAAAATTTGCTATTGCAATTTTTTTTATTACGTATAAGTAACCTAAAAGTTTGGCATTTTACTAAAAAGTAATATATTTAAGAACCTATATCTTTTTATCACATGAACCAAAAATTCTGAAATTTTTTACAGCACTTATTTATATGTATGTAGAACATTTGGTAAAATGTTTGTAATGGAGACTTCGTTTACTAGGAGCTGTGAGACTTTGAATTTCTCAAATTTCGTGTTTCGTCTCACAGCTCCTAGTAAAAGAAGTCTCCATTACAAAACTTTTACCAAATGTTTTACATACATATAAATAAGTGCTGTAAACATTTCAGAATTATTGGTTCATGTAATAAAAAGTTATAGGCTCTTAAATATAACACTTTTTAGTAAAATGACAAACTTTTTTTTATGTATAGGTAACCCTAAAAATTGTTAAAAAAAAGTAATGACACAAACAAGTATAGTATGATGTATCAGAATAACAAAAAAAGTTTTGAAATTTTGACCTTAAGTCAGTAAAAAAATTTAATAAAATTCATAAAATTTTGAATTTGTTTTTTTAATTTTTAAGTACTCGAAAATTAAAAAAAAAAAAAATGTCAAGTATATTATAAAAAAAGAACACTTAAATTTAAATTGTTTAGTGAAAATTCCATTACGATATTATAATTAGTCATTAAGTAACGTGATCGTGAACTTAAGGTGTTTTCACAACAAATTTCAACTAAGTCCAAAAAATATTTTAAAAAATGTTCTTCTTAATTTTTTTGGTTTTATGGAACTATTTGCATAAGATATGTAAGTTTGGGGTATTTCAAAAACCCACTCGCACACACATTAGGTGATTTGGCATGGAAAGACCCAATATAATATAAGAAATGAAAAAGTAACTAATTGTAAGCGTTGGTGCACCATGCACCAGCTATGTGGTATAAATATAGTAATTCTTACTTTGTATATAAATAAAATGATGCATTTTTTGAATCCGGTTGAATTAATGAACAAACAACATCCGTTATAACGTTTGCTAACACCATATTATTAAATAATAGAAAAAACAAAAACAGTTTTAGAATGAATAGAAACATTTCCGGGGTGATTGGTTATCTTCCTTAATGAATACCTATAGAAGTCCAATGTCAAAATCACTAAACTATCTAAAAAACGTACAATAAATAATTATTTTTTATTGAAAATTACCAGTTACACAAGTTTACTGCAATATGATAAGCGTCTCAATTATAACTGAAGAGTAATTACCAATCGTTAACATCCAGTTTCTATTTTATAGTTATAATAAATAATAAATAATAACTTATTGTTGGATAGGTATGTCAATATTTACATATAATTAATCATTGGACGTATTTTACTATTTTAATGAAATTTAATTTTTACAAATTATAATATTTTTATTTAATTAATAGTTTGTATTTGTTATATATATATATGGTTTTGTATAGGAAATAATTTATTATATATTGTTGTTGATGTAATAGCATCTGCATGTTGACAAAATTCAGTGACGCAAAATATGATAAATTATGAGTTGATCTGCAGAACATTTTATAATATTTTATTTCTACAACGATTATCATAACTACTTTAAAGTTTAGAAAACCTTGAACAATTGGATAAAAGCGATATTATTAAATTTGAACTAAATTTCTAATGATTACTTTATTGAGTATATAAATTATGGAGCTAAAACACTATAAACAATAAGTCTATTTGCGATACTGACTAATTAATTAAGAGAACGTCATACATACCACCTTTTTCAACTTCCAAAATAATCGATTTCTAGCAAAATTTATTCTTACATATTAACTTCCAAATTAGCAATCGAAGATGAATAATGAGAAAGCAACCAGCCACACAATATTCGCCAATTTGTGTAATATCTATTTTAAAACTTATCTGTATGACTACCGTAAAATAAACAAAAATATATTTTTTTTATTGACATAACAGTTTCTGCCATCTTACCACAAACCTAAAACATTAGTATGAACTTATAGTTGTACAGATAGTTATAAGGATTACTTAATGATAATCATTTTTTTAACTTTATTTTCTCTATACTTCCATTATTAAGTTACTAAAAATTGCTATTATCATATTTACCAAAAACTAAGATAAAAAAATGCCCTTTTTTCTTTTAAGTAAAAGAGAACGTTAACTGTGTCTTGTCAAAGATATTTTTTTTTCAATGTATTTTTTCTGTTTTAATCAAAGTTCTTTGTGTACGAGAAATTATAGCACGCAATCTACAGAATGCTAACCCTTGTTTTTATCCTAAAAAACTGCATGTGTGCGTCTTCTTAAATTTGAATATTACGCCATGCAAAGAAAATATTAGGTATGATATATATTTTATTCCATACCTTGCCAAAAAGTTAAACAGCACACTTAAAGAGTATAAAATCTTTAATGTAAGCTATTACTTTTGAAAACAATCACCTGGAGTTTATGTTATATATTATAATGTAATTTTTTTATTTAATTTATTTAAGAATTAAAACTAAGTCATTATTATTATCTGCTTAAGATAAAATTTAAAAAAAAGTTACAGTCTACTAGCCTAACTTGTAAAACTTGGAGAATGCTTTAGTCTGCTGGCTCTTGAATAATGATTATTTCCAAATAATCTCCTTGCAATTTATGATGATAGTATAGCCTTTATGTTCTGGTCAAACGTTTACATGACGACGACGACTCGTTATTATTTCGATGGCATCTTATGTTTTTTTTCCGTGCACGTGCATCATTAAATGACCGGGGAGGGGACCAGCCCATGAGAGCATTACTTCCCCTTACCTTATATCGATGGTGACACGGCAAAAGGGTCTAAGCGACATATATCATAGTTTTTAGGATAGCCACTAAACGTTTTTTTGTGATTTTACTATTTTTTTTTTTTTAATTAAATTAGATAAAATCGTTAAAAATTTGTTTACAATATTTTCAGTTTTCTATTAAATTAAAAAAATATACTATTGATTAGAAAGAAGTTAAATATTGTAAGCCTTGTCGCTTAGACCCTTTTGCTGTGTCACCATCGATATGTTATTATACGTTTAAAGTAGGCGCGCTACTTTAGTATCGCAATTTAGTGTCGTTTTCGGGCTGGGGGGGGGTGTTAAGGCTAAAGCATGTTCCATGCTAAATTGTTTATTTAAAAAACAGACTTATGAGAGACCGTTAAAAAGTTTATTTTTCCAAAACTACGAGTTATAATTATAAATTTGAAGTTTTTATTGTTTTTATAAGCAACTAGAACCATATTTTTCTTACAACTTATGTGACTTTAAAAAAATTGTTTTTTTTTTAGTAGCGATTCGTTTTTACAAGTTATAAGTAGATTACATTTGTATTCTTTTTTTTTTTTGGTCACAATCATTTTTAGTACAATGAAGTATACATTAAAATAAATTATAAAACTTTTACTTCAGTAATCCGTATTAACGACGAATAAACGAATTTGTGAATATAATACTTGTATTTATGTTAATTTAATTTACATCAAATTAAATGCGCGATGGACTATAAAAACTATAATATACCTATATATATTAATTGTACACGTTTAAAATAATATATGAAATGTATAAGTTATAACGATACAATAAATAGCATTAACAAGAATATTGAATAACATATATTATAGTATTATAACTATAGACATAGTATATTGGTGAAAATTTGTCATACCTATCTATAAACAGCTGTCAGATTATAGTAATTCATATGCAAACACCTACACTCACTCGCACACATTAAAAATTGTATTCTTTACATCGAATCGGTTAGGTAGCAATTAAGTAAATATTAGTAACCGAGCATTATTAATGTCAAAATTTCAATACAATTGACAATTAAATTATTAATTAAATTTTATTTAGAAAAAGTATTTATTTGTTTAATTCGTTTTAATAAAGTTGTATAAATATATAAATATATATATATATATAGTATATAAATCATTAATTTGCCAGCCTTAGATGGCAATACTATAACGCGTACAACACAAACCAAAATTTAAAGTTTAAAAACAAAATAGCAAAATTGTTTTAAAAATGTTTGAAGTAGACAAATTTAGTTAGAATGTTTTTTACGATATATTTTAATTAGCAATTTTATATTTTGCTGACAGGGAATCTAAAAAACAATTTGGCCGAATATTTGACCGTCTTCTGTTGTATTTCTTCCTTGTATTTTTCAGCTAAATAACAATAATTTAATTACTACTGTACATTGCTAAAAAAATATTTATAAGGTTTTAAGTAATTTAATGTTATTATATAAAACGTATTATAAGGGATTGAGCTGGCTCGACAGCTCTTTGTAATGACTATATTTTTTTAATATAAATATTTACGTTCAACTTTCAGCCATTTACTGACCTATATAGTAAAGATGGAGATTTTAAACAGTTCCTCTTTAAAAATGTGCCAATCATTAATGAAAAATATTCACCTACTTTTTGGGCATTTAATGGTCACACACAAACAATCGTGGCTACGTTTCTCAGAGACATAGTTGTACCAAAAGTTAAATACAACAGGTAAAGAAAACATATTTTTATTTTGAGCTGTAGTTGTATTCCTATGTGTATAGTTTGTATACAAATACACTTTTAAATTATAATATAGCACTAGCAAATATATTTGGATAATTTCTCAACATTTAATACTCAAATAAAAATCTATTTTGTATTATGGTTTCTATCTTATTAAGAAGTAAATAAACTATACTAATAGGTAAGTAATATTATAATCGACGGGAACCTACTATTTTTTGGGCGCACACCAGTTTCCTCCCAAAAACAACGGATTGCCTCCCTTGCTTATCGTAACTCTTAGGGTCAAAAACTACTAGTTGTCTCTCTTGCCAGATACATTGGTAGTATGCAGATCGCAAGTATTATATAAATTATTAAAAATAAGTACAGTTTCGTTGTACTGTGTACTTGGTTTAAAAGGAATCGTCGAGAGGGAATTCGGATAACCTTGGGAGGCAACTAGTAGTTTATGACCCAAAATATTACAATAAGAAATAAAAGTAACCGGAAGGAATTCAGATATTCTTGGGAGGCAACTAGTATATAATTTTGACGACTACCTGAGGATGGGAGGCAACTAGTGTGCACCCATTTTTTCTATAATTTTAAATGTTACTAATAATATCTGTTCAAATAATAAATCAGTTAAAAACTAACTAATTTAGGTGTTTGGAATTTGGATTCCATAAATTAATTGTAGATATAATTTAATATTATTTAAATAATTTATAAATTCAATGTATCATACGACAAAACCAATTTGAAGTTTTATTTTTTTATACATACTTACTATTGACAACAAAATTTAATAAATAAGAAAAAGCATTTATTGTCATTAGCGCTTATTTTTTACTGTCTAGAGAAATCTTGACACTTAAAGATGGTGGTCAAGTGGCAATTGACTGGCGAAATCCAAATGAAGAAAATAACTTAATGACTTCTTCAGTCACAGTCCTCTTATTGTGTGGATTGACTGGTCACAGCCAATCGGAATACATCAAAGAAACTGTAAATGAGTTGTATAATTGGGGCTATTGTACAGTGGTTTTTAACTATAGAGGCCTAGGAGGAGTGAAGCTCAAAGTAAGATAATAATATTATATATTTTTGTTTATGGGAAGAATATACCATTATTTTATTTTAAGAAGCTTTTTAGTCCTTTTGTAAGAAGTAAATAATAGGCAGTTTTTCACAAAATATTAATTTAAAGATTGAACTATTGTACACTTATTAATACAGTAATGAGGATACTTTATTGATTGCTTTTTTTTGTCAGACTATCACGGTCATTTTTATAGCATAAATTACAATTTTTTCCCATCAAAACTGCTTTGTGCCGGACAAGTACGTAAGGCCAGTATTAACAGTAGATTTACCAAATGTGTACAATGTATAGAAAAGAACTTTATCCATAGGGTAGTGTTTTTTTTTTTTTTTTTATATCAATAGTTGAGAATTTTATTTTTGGAAAATAAATTTAATGTGACAGCTATAAACGTGCGTTTAGTTAAGCTTTTAGTTTTATGTAATTATGATTTAAAACGTTTTGTACTCTAAAATACATTTTTCAAGTAATTTTCAAGAAAAATGTTGGTAAAAATAAAAATATTTACAGCCATGTGACTCTTTTTATCTATATTTTATACATTTCAACAGAGGAATAATAAGCATATTGAATCAAAATAAAATCCTTTTTAAGCACATCAAAAAAATAACTAGGTATATACATTTTTTTATTATAAACTTGGTTTTTTTTTCCTTTAACAATTGCACAACAGTATCTTCACAAAATTCTATAAAATATAATCAAAGTATTAAATTTGATGATTATTCATGTCGATAGACTGCCCGTTCGTACTCGGCGAATAACATCGAAGACCTGACTGAAGTACTCAAGTACATCAAGTTAAAACGGCCATTAAGTCCCGTTGCTGCAATTGGATTTTCAATGGGAGGGTAACGTCGTTGATTATTTTTTATAAAAATATTTACTTTAAAAACCATTAACCTAATACCCGTTTGATTTCAAACGCTTACTAGCAATTTTGGTATGTACTCTTTAGTCGTTAATCTAAGCGTAATATTAATTTAACTATTTAGAGAACGCCGCACATCCGTTATTTAGCTGATAAAACTAACCAACTTCAAAACTTTCCTATTATTTTGCAGTTGAAATTTTAAAACTTTAAAATTAATTAAAAAAAGTAGTAATAATTACTTGTGTAATATACACTGTTATTTAAGAGTTTTTGTTGATAGTTCTAATAACATTCGTTACGAAGCTGAGAAGTTTAATATCTAATATAATACGTAATAATAATAATATACCAAAATAATATGGTATTATATATTTTTTTGTATTTGTATCAACTGTAACTTTTTCCACTAGATCGATTTACTTGATCTTCAACTTTATAGATAGCACAAAATGGGTTAGAAGTTATAATATATTTGAGTAAACGAATTACAACTGTATTTGCTTTAATTATTTGATCGTCTGGAAAGTTTATGCTTATAAAAGTATAAATATTTGCTAGTTGTTGAAATTTACCCAACAGAGCTTCTGGATTTTCTAGATTGGTGGTTTTTAATAATTCCATTGGCTTTTACTTGTAAATCTGCAGTTTGCTGCTGGGCACGTTTCTAACATCAAGAGAACAGGCTGTCAATAAGTACTTGGCAACGGGCGTGCTATTATCAGTACCGTGGAACGTGACCAAAGCTTCATACAACACAGAAAGTTCCTGGTTAATGCGAAGAATGGGGGAATATTTATCATATCATCTTCGCAACATTATTGTACAGTAAGTAAAACATTATATTTCTCGCAAATACTATTTATTACATATTATTATATCATCTATAGTGTAGTGGAACATTTATATTCTGTTCCTGACCATTTGATTTTTGTTGAGTGATGTTCTTTATCCTTTGCGTATTTTCAATAACTTATCGCTCATTCTTTACCTCGTCTTTTTTACATTTTCCGAAACTCACCGACAAGAATTTGTAAAAAAAAAATTCCAGAATAATTGTCAAATGTATGTGTAAAGCTTGTATTTATTGTAGTCAAGTACATACCTACCACCGCGCCGCGCCGTGCCGTCCTACTACAGATTGATCGAAAATTAATAATAATACTTAGTTCCTCAATTTTTACTTGCATACATCTATAATTTTAATCTAGATAAATTTAACTAAAAATAAAATTATGTTAAAAAAATTATACTGATTTTAGGTTCTTTGATATTGAGTACCCGCCTCCATGTTAAGTAAAAAACACATATCAAACATACACTTATTCCTTAATTTAACAATTTCGTATAATGATTCTAGTTGGGCTAAACAACGGTTTTTAGTATCTCAGCAATACTTTGAATACTAAAAATTTTGGACATTTTAATTTTGGCTTTTAGCTGGGTTGTTCTACCAATTATTGAAACCGTGACCTCATCCACCTAAGTATAACTTAACATTTCCTTGACGACCTTTAATGTGAACACAAAAATCGATGGCTTTATGTTTACCCTCGTTATGTGTTTTTGTAGGAACAAAGATGTAATTTTTAATGGGGACAATAACACGCCGCTAGATTACAACAGAATTATTCAGGTAATTGGAAGTTCACTATTAAATTTATTGTATTATTTGGTAAATCTATTTTAGCGGATTGTCCATACCTAAACATTTAAAGAGCATTATTGTATTATAATGTTTTACACACTTAGATTGTATCTGCTTATTACTGTATATTTATATATTATGTTAAAGACACGATTTCTTATCGTTGTGTTCCCTCACGGGCCCCGTACTTACCTAATCTTCCTAATCGTTTTTTTACGCCTATATATATATTATTGAATTAGAAATTGGATGTAATTTTTTAATTCAATCTATTTTCATAACAACAGTATTTGTTCTTTTGCAGTGTAAAACAATAAGACAATTTGATACAGAGTATACGATAAAGATGTTCAACTACAAAGACGTCTACGATTACTATAATGATGCTTCACTGTCTGACAAATTGCATTTGATCCAGATTCCTTGCTTGTGCTTGAGCGCGGCTGACGATCCGTTTTTGTACTTACCAGGTGAATACGTGCGAACTTCTGATGTTATTGTTGATCGTTAAACACATGGATCTTATTTGACCGACTAGACATACCCGTGCACGAGGCTGAGAAATTGAGCAACTTGGCCATTTTGGTGACTTCGGGTGGCGGTCACATCGGGTATTTGGACACATTCTGGCCGTTCCGTAACAACAACTACATGCTGCAGCTTATTCAACAGTATTTTGCCGCTATTATGGTGGATAAGAATTATGAAAAATTCAGCCCACAAATTCAAACAAACAACACTGATCGAACAACTTTAAAACTTTTAGATCAGTGATAAATATTTAACCTGCAGCGGCTTTACAGCGATGTAAATAAAATTATTTTTATTTAAACCACTTTTAGGCCATTAACGCCTTTAAACTATTGTTTTAATTAGGTTATAACATAGAGCCATAAATTCCATAATATACTATTGGTGAGGTTAGGTAAAAATGTCAAAATACCAAAATGTCCTTAGTATTTTTATATATGTAAAATATATGTTTAGGTTAATAAAATAAAGTTATTTAAAAGGGGAAACAGACATCGACTGAGAGTAGTTCATCGGTTGGGCTGTTTGACAAAATTTGTATCTTTTCTGTTAGATAATATAACTTCATTTACTATAACAAAAGAATAATTTTACTCAACAAAATAATGTGCAACGAAAAACTAAAGCTTTTACATAGACCGTATTCTTTGATATTGATACATACAATAAAGCCTAAGACCAGTCATATGAGATAAAAACAAGTTGCCGTGATTATCGAATTACTAGTATTTGCATATATCAGTACAAAAACATTTTAAAATGTTAACATGTAAAGTTTATAATATAATCCTATTGGACATTTTTTCTTAAGACATTTTTACTAGACATCTCTATGTAACAACCGGCAACACTATTTTATTTGCATTTTTGGGATTATTTTATGTTTAAAACTATTATGAAAGTAAAAAATAAACTTCAAATACATAACAGGCGTTTGCCATTTATATCTATATAACACTAATATATTATTGAACTGACTAAAACAAGTAATTTAATTACGTGGACTTAATTACGTTGTTATATTATAATAGAGTAAAATAAATATATAAATTGTAAGAATGTTTTATAATTAAAACTATTGACAATACATAATTTGAATTATTAATCATTTTGGGGAATGGAGGGGCTTTTAAACTAATGCGAATGAAAAACATTAATCTTTATATATTGCCTAACCAGAGCTGTGGGTTATATAAAGAACATATAATAAAATTAATATTTCAATAGTTATTTAATTTTAAAACTTTTTTATTTTTATTGATCCTATGTTATGTTTTTAATGATGTAGCTAGTTTTGGAATAATTCATACTTATTAAAATATTGTTAGCTTATTAGACCCCAGGTGTTTAGTCTAGTCAATTTGTGCAAAAATTGATATCGAGGTTTTTCAGCGATTTTCGCTTAAAAACAGCTTATTAAAAGTCCACTGAAATTCTAATATGTGAAATTGTCTATTCAAATATAATAAGGGCAATTTCTGTAATCGTCATAGATTTTTTTGGGCAACATTTTAAAACAATAATTTACTATTGCACACCAAAAAAAAGAACAGTTATCAAAATATCGTCCATAGTTTGATCGGTTTAAGCAATATTCGAATTAAATATATATTATTTGTATTTATCATAATATTAATTTATCGCAAAATACAATACAATTCATATATTATTACTATATTTTTAAATTATAATTTTTGTATAAAAAAGTTTGCATTAGACTCGTTAAATGTTGATATATTGTTCATTGGTTCAATATCAAGAATAATTACAAATAAATAATTAATAGAATTCACTCTATCTCGTAATAAATAGTAAACCTATACCTCATTCGTTGACAGCAAACTTCTATGATGACTTTATAAAAAAATTATCATTTGTACTTCGCAGTCTCATACTAGTTATTGAACTGCGCCAAAACATTTTTTGACATTTGTTTGATGACGAGGGTCAATCCAAAATTTGCGTGGACAGAAATAGAAATATTCATGATCCATTGTCTTTCTGGAAGATTGATAAAACTTTATTTATTTTCTTAGAAATTAAACAAAGTAGTAAACTGTTAAATTTTAATCATGTCAAATTAATTAAGAAATCATAGGTGAATTGCATGTTTGAAACCGGCGTATTAGTTGGTCAATTTTTAGATAATTTAGTCACAAAATGTATATTTACTTGTACATAGAGGGGTTCGAGTTAAATTTATGTTTATATGATCTGGATTGGCAAAAATTCGGTCAGGGTCTAAATCCTTATAGCTCAATATGCATAATGTCTCACCCTATTAACTTAACAATTTATGTGCGACAATATTGGTTATCAACTATCATCCGTTAATATTTAAATTTACAACATTTATAATAAATAGCAGTGCCTGATGTATTGAAACAAAACAAGTCTTATCGATATTATCAACACATACTAAATCTTTAACAATATGCATATTATCATGAATGCGCGTCGCCTGAATCATGGTGCGTTATTATTTTCTCACAATAAAACTTATTAACTAAAGTGAAACAACGTAATTAAACGGATTATAGCAGTTAATACTTTATTATTAAAATTAAGTAACACCGATTACCTATTACTGTGAAACTATATTTCTGATTTATTTTATTAAATAGCACAGAAAATACGAGTAATTTTAGGTAGTTTTTTAGTTTAAAATGAATTTCGGTATTAATGGGCTTTCGTACAAAACTACAGATTCGTATCAGACTATACGAATAGTAGTATTAGTAATAAAAGAAATGTGAGACCTTCGTTTGAAGGGAATACTCCGCTACAATAAAAAAAACCATGTAGGACAGTACATTAACCCTGTTTTTAATGATATGCATGTACAGATGTTGTCAATAATTCAACTATTATTATTACAACATATTTAATCCAATTATATTTAACATTCAACTTCAACAAAGCATCTATGTTTAATTCACAAGGAGTCACCCACTGTTCTGTTATATTTACAAATAATTTTTAAATTAATTAAGCAGAATAACATAAGACACATATATAACAATTTATTGACAAATTATTATTAAAAGCTTAATTTAAAATCTAAACTTTGTTTTTCTAAAACAAATTAACAACAGTTTAGTAGAGCTTGAGTGTTCAGGTACAGCTGCCGTAATCCTCTTTGTGTAAAGTCATTAATGCTGAATATTATATTTACATGTCAAAGATAAACTTAAATTAAACTTTTTCACTTAAACGCTAATGGTAAAATGTTGATACGTTGAAATTACATGTACAGAAAATATTATAATAATTATTGATTCAACAGCGTACTCTAGATACAATAACGTTAGAAAAGAATAAAATAATCGAAACAAAACAGCAAAATTAAGTCTTTTAGAGGATTCTGAGAAAACGTATGATGTTTAGATTTGATACTAATACTCATCGGTGTGAGGATCCAAACCAGTATCGATGAAGTCCTTTACGTTTTGAATAAATTTACCTGGTAGCAATCTGTAACAAATAAAACATAACTAAAATATTTGATATAAAACATTTTAATAAAGAACGCACTGAGAAATTGCTACAATTTTACATTTTTATATTGAACCTAATCTCCAAAAAAACATTTTAACGTGTGACCTAACCTGTTTGACGAATTTAATAATAAATGGAATGTTATTTTAAGTAATATTTAGTTTATTTAAACAGTACTCTTTTAGCTATTTATTTGTACTGGTGATTTCATTTATTTACCAATGACCTACTATTAGTAGAAGGCAAAGGCAGATCACCATGAAAAAGGTAGGCCACGATTGTTGGTATAATGCCGGTTTAATTTATTACCATAATATGATACCGTACCGTATTATGATAGTACATTAGAGGTTAACTAGTATGCGTACAAAAAAACTGCCGTTGATAAACATTTTTAATGTATTTTACTTGTGTCGAAATTTTGATACAATATTATCTTTTTAATGAGATATAATATAACCTCACGAGTACAGGAAAAAAAACATAATATTTTACCTGGATATTCTATCCAGTGGCAACAACAACCATGGTATGCTGACTTCTTTGTAGTTGCGTCTCATCGACTTTACTATGATATTTGCTACTTTTTCAGGTTTTTGCATATCCAACAAAAATGGGAATCGATTTCTGGGTTTCTTCACTAAACCCGTGTTGACCATTATTGGATACACCGTTGTGAATTTTATATCCGATTTATTATTTTTTGTATCACCAACTCTAAGCTCTTCGTATAAGGCGTCCATGAGTCCTGCAAAAACCAAAACAAATTTTTTTATTAAACATTAATCCAAAATGGTGAGCTCATATGTTTAATCAATCATAAAACTGTAATATATTATAGCAATCAGCCTAAATGAAAAACCTGTGCGTTTTTTAATTTTTTTAGATAAATACAAGTACAATATTACAAGCAAACAAATAAAGTTAGTACTAACTACTATATGTATACAGTAAATTATATTTTTACTGTTTTACTAATATTTTATATATATAATAATATTAGATAAATTATTAACTGGTATAAGTTGTATAATTACAATTTATCAATTAATTTGTTAAATATTATTATAATTATTGTTTTTCAACGAAAAAAATCTAATACATAATCTAACACATTCGCGTGTACTTTTAATTTTTATCAAATGATAAAATAATAATGCATTAAAGCTTTTTTTTTATAGATTTATCATCTACCTTTCTTATAATAATTATTAAATATATTAACAAACATTAACTCAAATACCCATACGACCTCGTCCTTCACAAATATTTTTTATTGGTAGAACTGTTGATCTTAACAAGAATTGTTTTTAGCACAAGGACCGAGTACGATTATTGATCAAATAAATGTAAATCTAATAGTGTAGTTTATATGCAAAACCAATTGGCACCATTTTACAAAAGATTTCAACTAACGCAGTAGTTTTAGAAAATAGGAGCATTTGGTTGTTTAAACTGGCTAGTAAATACAAAATTATGTTTATATTTTCCAATTAGTTTTTGTCCACACCACAGTACGTTTTGAACTGCAAATTAACACATGCACGCGAAAAACTTTTATGGACCACCTGCGCCACACCTTTGATTGACTCCAAAACATTTATAACGCAATTAGTCACACACAGTAGGTTGGATTTGTAGACACTGTATACAGTATAATGTACTGCTATAAAAAGTAAAAAAATTCGGTAAATAAAAAAAAATACCATGGCATCGAAGCTTATAATAACAATATAAATATATAACAACTACCTACCTATATACTTTAGAGAGGCGGATTTGTACAAGTTTTTTTTTTGTACAAATGTGTATGTAACGCTATCATTAAAGAATACTCCATTAAAAAATTTGTTCGTAAAAGTATTTCGAGAATTTGTTGTAAAGTAATCTACACCGAATCCCATAATAAATATTGTTCTCTTAACATTCTCTCAACTAATTAACTATTAATTTTTTAACATTATAATAATAACTATATTATTATAAAAAATATAAATATGCTGCCTTTCTGTAAATTAAGTATTTGATTTTTTTTTCGTTTTATACAGAGACAGAATTGTAATCAAACAATACAAGAAAATTGTGTTTTTTATTTAGTTCAAAAACCAATATACATATTTTTTATCGCTGGATCTGAATCTGGCCTCGGAATTTCTCTAGCGTGACTAGTTTTTTATGAAATCGTCTCCAATTTGTAAAAAAAGCACAACTTTGTCGTTTTCAGCATTACTTGAAATTTTTTTCAACATTCATTTCAAATTACCTATTTCACATATTACAAAACAACGTATTTTTAAAAAACAAAGAAAATGTGTTAGTTCTTTTTAATTTTAGAGTCTATTTAAGATAAGCTAGAAAAATTGGATCAAGAATCAAGATTCGGGATTAGCAAATAACATTTGAAAAGTGTATATATTTGGTGTTTTATTTAAAACTTTTTTAAAATTTAAAAAAAAACTATAAAATCTACATTAATACAGAGACCACTTCTAAATTCAGCAAAAAAGAAGTATTACAAGAAACTCTATTTAAAACACATTTTAGAAAATTATTCAAACGGAGAGAACACGCTTATAATACTACAAAACGGTATTTTAAATGGAGGTGATTTTAAAAATAACTAAACGTGTTATAAAAAATATGGTATTTTTACTATATTTTTTACTAGGTTCTTGCTCCAAAACCATGTTGTATAGTGTTATTAATTGGACTTTTTTTTTTGAGGTTATAACTTCAGACAATATATACTATTACTAAGCATTTGGGATTGGTCATTACTTTGAAATCAATGATTTATTAGAAAACCACCTATGACGTTTAACTTATTGTTATAATTTATCAAATCTTAAAAGTGAAGGCAGCATATTCATTCTTATCGTTTATAATTTATTTATGAACTTACAATATAATCTTTGGGTTTTGTAGTATTGTTAAAACTAGTAGGTAGTTTAATTAAAGTCTTAAAATAAACAATTTTATTGTGTTTACGTAGACTTGATATATCAAGGAATTGGTTACCATGCAATGGTAGACTCGAATTTGTATGAAATATAAGATTTTTGAAATTTGTATCTAACTAATTTAATATAATAATATAAAACAATCTAACTGCGATACATATATCTAAAACATATCACCTGCCTAGTCATCTTTAGCCGACAAAAATATTGGCTAACTACTTACTACTCTATTAATTCATACTATAAATCCACATGGTTCGAAAAGACTAATCGTTTTCAGTTGTTACGTCACCATATAAGAATACGCCCATTAACAGTATTACAATTATTTCTTCCAATACAATATATTATTATCCAGGTATTCCATTACATTTTAAACGTACAATTCCAATTAATTCCCATGGGCGTGTAACAATTAACAACATGACGAGGTAACAACCGTAAACGACCGACTTCTTAGTTCTTGCACAATGCATATAGGTACAAAACCTATTGCTGGAAGCACGACCTTAACCTCGTCTTTAAGATTATGATTTGATATTATTTGTTTTTAAATATTATTTGTGTAACTTTTTTTTACATTTTTTTAAGTTTATTTATATAATTTTATCAACCTTTGACATTCAAATGGCAACCTATATATTTTGAGTACTTGTTAAACCAGTTTAAAAATTAGTCAAAAACAAATTTTTATTTTTAGTATTCAATTTAAACGTGTAGAAGAAAGGAGTGATGAGTATATTCAGAAGACACTACCTACCTGTAATTTGTATTGTAAACCAGGTGTTTCGCGCATCAATACTGTTAAGGCTGTGATAGTACTAGAATCACCAAATGTTCATAGACAAATAGAGGAGAATATGATTTGTACTAAAGCGTGGCAATTTTTTGATAAATCTAATGTTTTTTTTCTGTAAATGTTTAAAGTTTGTGTTTTTTAGTATATTTTCAATAAATGATTAAAAATAAGTGGATTGAATAATCGAAAATTTAAAAACGCTTAAGCACAGATAATATTTTCCTCTAGTTACGGTGAAGATTTAGTGATTTTACAACAATTCCAATTTCAAGACACTTTGCTTTTGAGTATTACTTTATTATCTGCAAGTATTACCACAACCGCACTTCTCCTCTAACCTATACTTTAATATAATAAATACTCCAAAAATAATTGTTTTAACTACTTATCGACCAATTTTTTTTTTTTAACAGATAATTCTCGATTTAATGGTAAAAATGAAATATTTAAACTGCCGTTTAAATTTCAAACGTTTATTAAAACGTACGAGTAAAAATGATTAAAAAATATATACAAAAATGAAAAATATTTAATCTTAATTATTTAATAATAAATAAGGAAATAAATCACTTGGTAAACGTATGACTTTCAAATCAAATGCCTATCTTTTAATTTTTAACATTTATATCAGTTTAATAAAAACTAACTACGTATAGATTGTAAGTAAATAAGTATTATTATAATAATAATAATGTTAAATAATAAAAAAAATGAAGGCTTTGGACTTTTATGTAAAAAAAACAAATAATTGTAATTTAATTGTGTGCATTGTTTTTTCATCAACATTTTTTCCCAGAAAGGCTCTGTGCTAATTTTTTTTTTTACAAAACTATATATAACTTTTAATTTTTGTATATTATATTAGAAACAATATTTCGTGTTATTTTATGAGTCGATATTATACGTGTAGCCTTCTATACGTCAATTAACATATTTTCAAAATAATATGCTATTCAATTGGGATTTGTTGTCCTCTTTAATTTTAGCAGCTGTCAATAGTCTTAAGACTCAATATTGAAAATTTCAAAAGACATTATCAATTTAGTTTTTTCCATAATTTAGGCCAAGACCCTGAATTTCTTACTTTGCGTGCTTCACTTGCAAACCGAGGACATTATGTATTTGATTAAAAGTATCATAAAACTTACCTCTGACGGCGAATTTAGATGCGCAGTAAGGTACGACGTTGGGAAGGCCGATGACACCACACATCGAAGATAACGCTATGACGTGCCCGTGATTCTTTTCGATCATGCTGGGTAAAAACGCTTCCAGAGCCTGTAAACAGTATAGGGGTTTTACTTTGAATATATAATTGACAATTATGGTGACCAACATAACAGTGGCATAGCGAATTTCACATTTTCCAGAGGCAATCTTATATTCCACTCACCCATCCCCCACCAACTCAAAACCCTACATTGTGTACACATCTACCACAGTCATATTATAAACTTTTATCCGCTATGGTTGCAATACAGTCTATTGCCCTGCACCCACCTACCCACCCACCCCAATTGGCTTAGAGGGAATAGCCTCTGAGAAGTATAGCTCGCCACGCCACTGGCGATCAATTATTATTACTTATTAGCTATGCTTACCCAAAAATGTGCCAACACGTTGACGTTGAATATTTTCTCTATGGTCTCGTGGCTTTGCAGGAACAATGGTCTACAGGGCATTATTCCCGCGTTGTTCACCAACACCGAGACATCTCCGACTTGCTTTTTCACCAGAGCAGCGGCGTCAATCACTTCTTGCCTGTTGGACACGTCTACCCTGAACGAACACAAAAAACATACAAATATAATTACGTGCCTCACCACCAAAACACTGTACACATAATATGTTAATATAATATTTACAATGGTTATTCATTTTTTTCTACTAATTTGAATTTAATTTCTTTTTAGCTTTTATCAGACTTCAAATTGATGTAAAATATAGAGAGAACATTTGAAATAGTCACTTTACCGCAGACTGCGTCAAAAGAAATTGAAAAATAATTCATCTAAAATGTATAATAATTACATCATGTTTAACTAAGCGATACGTCTAACATCTTGTTTTACAGATATTAATCGTTTTTATGGTTCGTATTAATGAATTAGATTGATACCTAATTAAAACTTCATTTAAAAATACATGTACGTATAACAAATTATATATATGTATTATGCTATGTAATATATATCACTTGACACGGTTAAAAACAATTTTATTTTTGTAACTATTCATATTTCATTTTCAAAAACCTTATTATAGTGTTATACAATGCCGTTGGATTTTAGTTGAATATTGTTAGTAATTTGTTTTTCATCTAGATATTACCTAAAATTGTATGATGAAATAATCTGTTGTTAACTGTTGAAGTATACAATTAAATATTAATGAACTACATGCCTGATGACATCATATCATAATACTTAATATCTAACATTGAAAACAATTTGTATTGAGTAACCATCTTATATATAAGTGTATCATTAAAATCGAATAGAGATTTTCTGTTGAATAACTAGAGCTCGATTTCTGTATTATCTGAAACAAAAATGGTCGGTCCCCAGCTCGCACAAGCTTTATTTATTTGAGAATTTTAAGTTGCATCCGTAGATATAAAGGCGCCTATGTATGATTGTGCGAAAAAAGTTAAGGCCACAGAGCAGGTTTAATGTACATTTTGGAAATCAGCTTACAGTGTATAGTCCCTCTAAGTATATTTTTGTTTCACAATTTGATGTTAACCCTTCAATCGTTATCATCGTTATTTTTAATTAAAATGATAAGACTTAAAAAATCATAATTGTTGTTTAAACTGATATTTGTTTTATTAATTTTAAACCAAATATTCAGCGGTAGATTTTTTTTATTACAAGATTTTTTTTACAGATTTCGATAGAGCAAAAAAACTCAGACACTCAAAAAGTCTGGGATACAGTTACTGATTATCTCTTCCATTGCCGTGTCAAGTTATCTGGCAACGACTTTACAAATAATTGTGTATTAAATTATTATACTTATAAATTCCAACTAGAATATTTTGTTGTTTTCATGTCTATAGTTACATGATGAGAATTAGCCGGCACAGCAATACGTCCAGTACACAACTAATAATAATTATAGTTACATCAACGTGTCCAGTGTCTGTAGCTATTTGAAACTTATTATTTTTATCTTTTAACGGTACATTTTTTTTAAATTTGAAAACAATTGTCTTGAAGATATGTTTACGAGCAAAGATTATCTTGATAACAGCCTACGCCGTGATTTATGCCAACGCTGACAATCCTTGCTAATTAAATTTCATTTCTAATGACCATTCAGATAATATATATATTTTGTTTGTGTGTATATACAAATGGACATTACATAGGTAGGCACGATAACTACTCAGCGGAACCAGTTGGAAATAGTTGCTTTACTTTTACTTTCACCATTCGCTATATGATGTACACTACAGATATCCTCCCCGGGCATTGCAGCAGTATGATGATCAAATATTATACTAACATATAATCTAATAAAAATTAAAAATAAATCATCAGCAATTACCGCCTCATAATAAACTATGTACAAACTGTGCAAGTAACACATCAATACATATAATGTATTATTTTGACATCTCTTCATTACAAAAATATGCAATCAATTTGTCTGGCCTATCGCTAAAGAAATTCACGCCGAATATACACTGAGTACTTTTGATATAATATTTTAACTTCGATGCAAAGCTGAGAAGGTATTGTATTTACATTTTACAATAATGTTTTTAGTTAATTTTTATATTTTTGTGTCTGTACTCTGGACCTACGATATCTTCTAATGCAAATTTGTAACTATTTCGACTGTTTTTAAAAAAGTTATAGAGCGTCGTAATTTGAAGTTGACAAAATATGTGTAACTTTTTGGTTGTTTTCGCGATTTTAAAGAGGAATGTATGAACTTTTTAAAATTTTTAGTCTAATAATGTACCTCACGGGTACAATTTATGATCTTAAGAGCTGCTTCACGAAGAAATCGATTCAGTGGCTTTATATAATATAAAAAATAAAAAATACATCATGGTAAATACAATAAACTATGATTATAAACTACGCAATTATGCACATGCCCGCAATTCTTAAAAACAAGATGTCTTATAAATATGATTTTTATGCACATTGTAGTATTATGATTCAATGGCAAGGATAATTTAGTAAATAATAAGTAATATTATATGGTATAGTATGTATTATACACAGTATTCATTCTAGTGACCTCAGGTGGTCTTACGCTTTTATTTAAAAAAGCATTGTTAGTAAGCACTAAACATTGACTCCAAACTTATACTTGATCTAAGCGACTGCTTCAATATAATTTTATAGTCACATAAAAAAAAATGTGTTTAAAATTCATATTTTGAATAATAAAAATATTAGACAAATTTTTCTTTTGTCTAAAACTTCCAAATTATTAAACTATATCAATAAAAAAATGTCTTATATAAATTAATTAAAAAAGTGATTTAACTTAAGTATAAATATGATTATCGAGGTTTTGTGCATTAGTCAGGGTTCTGTAAATCACTTGAAAAATATTGCTTTTCGACTAAATTCGACTTTACTTTATTTTTCAACATTAAAAAGTACATTACTAAAGGGGAAATAATCGGAAAATTACTCATAAAGGAATGAAATGATTCAGATAAAAATCTCAACAAGTTTGAATATTTTTTTACTCATTTGGACCGGATTTGCAGGGCTCCAACATTCAAATTCTCCGAAAACCATAAAAGGAACACTTTAATAATACATTCAAACATACATACTCGTATGTTAGGTATGTATACATAAAATAATAACACTATATTTTTCATTAATAATATAAATCGCACCGTAATTAATTAGTTAGCCGACAAGGAAATAATTTAAGTATCTAAAGAAAATTTTCTAGATTATTCTTAAATAATATTTGCTCATGCACTCATAATTGTAGTGATTTATGTTACGCCATTAAGCTATTAGCGGCATTTAACCATAATTTTAGGATGATGTTGCTTGTTGAACGATAGTACCTATCAGTGTGTTGCGCATAACTAATTTCTTTATGTTGGTTCTTTGGACTTGACATTTAATGCTATTTGCGAAAATCATCTACTCGAAAACACAATATCATTAATGCTACTGTAAAACAAATCGTATTAACTCGTGTACAGTAATACACATAGTCATTGTCGGCGAGTACCAACCTACTTAGTACACAAACATCAACGCCACCGTTATAGGAAGCACTACCTTAAGAACGAAAATAGAAATATAATCGCGCTTGATCCTTGCATAATGACAAATGTCAAGGTCTGGATGATCATAAATTACGGTGTGATATACTGTTTTTTTTTTACTATATGGCCCGTGGGGTATAACAAGTGGCGTTGTGAATACAACAAAAACACTTGTACAACATTGACCTAGACGTTATCTGTGTACTCCTGCCGGACGTGATTTGACTGAATGATTTGCCAAATTACAGCATATAAGTGTTATTTTATTTTTTTGCTTTCCGCTAACTCTCTACTAATTAGATGAAATATGTATGACCAATGTAGGGATATCGATCCCTAAATGGTCATTTGCTAAGTATTAAAATTTGATTTACATTTAGTCTAATGAAAACACCGTTTTCACTGACTTTTCAATAAATATATTATATTTATTTAAAACAAATAATACATTATGTGATTAACAAGTAAAGGTATTGTAGTACATAAATAACTCAATTACGTCAGTTTAGAAAAGCTTTAAACATTGTTCAAGCAACTAAGATCTTTTCAAATAATGTTAAAAATATGACTTTTGAGGAATTATTCGAATAATACGATTCATATTTATTATTTTTGTGCGTACTATAATATAGTATACATTGCTTATACGTGTTTGCCAGCGTTTAAGTTTCCAATGACCACGATATACATATTTAAACTAATAAATAAGTGAAACCAGTGTATTTGTATAAAGTGCAAACAAATTTAGTACAAACAAATTGCAATTTTGTTAAGACAAAATGCAATTGCTAAAACAGTTATAAAGAAAAATATTGTTAAAATGATTATCATTTTTTTGATATTTTGCAAACAAATAACACTATTCAATAATATTACTAGGTATCAACTTTCTACTATAGGTACTTACTTATAGGTGTAGACTCGCTTGTGTCCTCTAAGCTTAAGCATGTCTTTTGTCTGCTCGTTACCTTTTTCATCAAGATCCCAGCACACAATAATTGCCTTTTGCTCAGCAAACAATATCGCCAATTCCCGACCAATTCCATGACCGGCTCCGGTTATCTAAGAAAAAAATTGTACCCATAAAGAAATCTGAATCTCTTAACGCCTGCCTATATAGATTTACAGTGGCGATTCCTAAGGGTAGGGGAGAAGGGTTATAACCCTTTTTCGAATTATTCAGTTTTTAGTAACTACAAATTTCTTCTCACTTTTATATCATAACTTGAAATACTACTTTAATCGATTTCAACGCCTTAAAAAAATAAATTCTAGTTGCGCCACTATTTATAAAATATATATTACATCTCGGCTACCTTTGAGTCATATATTATTTATTTTTTGACCATCTCAATATCTATAAAAAAAACGTATTATAAAACTGTATACCTACACAGTTAAGTTATCAATTTAATTTGGTAAACAGCTGTGAGACTGGAGACAATTGTTTTTCAAATACAATACATTGTTTTTGATTTAAACGCTCTTTAGTGTAAAAATGTAAGAAATTGATGCGATAAATCAATGATTTTTTGATAACGAGACCTCCTTGATTTATTGTCAACACTAAGGTCAAGTATACAACGTAAATTCTTAAAAGAAAAATTTAAGAAACCAACTAGGCTCAAAAATTGTTTGTCCTTAAGACTTCTAGTCACTAAAAACTGAAGTGAATGTGTCATGTGGTATAAATTCGGCACCGACATACAGTGTCGCACGCTGACAACATCAATAGCTTTATTGGTATACGTGTCATTATAGTAATAATAATAATATTAACAGTTAACGTGCAGGAACAAAAAATAGGTCAATCGATGATCGAGAGCTATTTTCATTGTACCACCGAACACAGAATAAAGATCCAATATAATATTACAATATTGTATTGCCATTATTATATTATAGTAATAATATGACGTAGTTTTATGCCTATTGTTAACGTTTATACAGACAGTGGACCACTAGACGAGTAAACATTTTTATAATGACTACAATAGTAATATGTATATTAAGGTGGAAGTTAATAATACATTCGAAATTAATTGATTGAAAAGCATCGAAGCTTTAATAATTAAGTATTCATATTATCGGTATGTCACAGTGTGAAAATTGTGATTAGTATGTTCAGTAGCCGATCGTGGTTGTCCAGCATAGACTAATCGTTATAAATTAGGTGATTTATTATTTTTAGTATTAGGTTCGTATAAATATAGATCTCCCAGTATGCCTAAAGAGATACGCGGAAAGCTCGATGCAGCACGCTGTGTCAGCCGTTCATTTTTTTTTTTAAATACTGGCCGACTCTGCGGTGACAACCAATCTTCGGATATTATGTTTTGGAAAACCGGTTTTCAGGGTAAGAATTATTAATTTACAAAAAAATGTAAAAAAAAAAAATAATAATAATAACGCGATAACGATAATAAGTAACCCAAGGACCAAAATGTAACTTGACGGTTATGGCGTAAGCATAGCTACTTGATTCTTGAAGAACCGTCTTTACCTGTTTACGAAATATCATTCAGGCGTCGTGTCCTCTCGACTCTTGTGAAACTTGATATCGTCATGGCGCGCGGACAATACATAATAGTGTATGTTATTTCATATATAGTCATATTATTATACTGGCGAACCCGACGATTCTGGTTTCATGCGCGATAATAATACAAGTAAAAGTTTTAATATATGTTTATCGTTATTTCCATGTTATTATATTCAACTCTCGGCAGTCAGCTAAGTCCACTCTTTGAACTTAACCGCCATGGCCCCTTTAAAATTATATCACGAATGCCATGTAAAGAAATCTTACGCGAGAAAAAATCTAACTGTCAATTTTCCGAGTTCAAACTTCTCTTTGTAATTGAGGAAGGAGTAGTTTTGTATAATTTTATAGTTTTAAGAGAAATTGTTTTGAAAATAGTTGTACGTCATTTAAAAAGCAATAAAACATGTACTTACTAAGTTGTAATGTTTACCATATAAATATAGTGGAATAGTTATATTTTTTTTAGGTTTTTATTAGGGCAATTAGTTTTATATTTAATAAATTGTTAAAAACCTGAAAATCCGCTCTCTATAACTAACAATATAACTGACAACTTGCTATGCAAAGAACACACAATTGGTTAAAGTAGATAAGTTGGCTAAGAAAATTAATACTTTCTTATTATTGACACGTGCTACTAGATGAACAATTATAATTACTATTGTATGATTACTAGTTTCATTATGTGACTGTTTAGAATAAAATAATATTCATATATTAAGTATTTTACCTAAGAATACTTATCAATGTGTAATATCGGAAAATCGTTATGCACATTTGAGTATTTGTTACTTTTAGATTCGCCTTTTTTCTGTTTCTGATTATAATTACTATTTTAACTCACCAATATGATTTCGTCGACTAGAGATTTTTCTAGGGGCGGCAAAAACGTCCGCACGATTGATTCGATAGTTGTGTACACAAACTTGATGATCAATAAGATCAATTCGACCAACAGTAGACTAGAATACGCGACCGAATTGCTTACGGAATTCGACCTGGAACAAAATCGGTCATAGGTATGATAATTAATAGTAAAAGTAATAAATTTATCAAACACACCTGTATCTCTTGGCCAGGGGGGAAGATTGCACGTTTCCGTTGGCAGTCATCCCTATACTGTCGTTTTAGTAGGTTACTAACACAGGTATCATCCGAGTAGCAGCCGATCAACTGCAATAAAAATATATATAATTATTATAATAACAACATATACTGTTACATAAATCAACGTATAGGCATGTCTTGCGGCCAATTTCCCGACGTTAACTTTTACAGTATAATAATTACATGACCGGATATAATATGAATACATATAAACGCATTCACGACTAACTAGAAGTTCACGGTCTGTTACATAACACACACGATTCATTTACCATGTGAAATATTTTTAACGAAAGTGTGCGGAAACGATATTACCCATTAAAACGCTGAATTCGGCGAAATTTTTAAATATTTGTCGACATTTCTTCCCAGCTACAATCAAAAACTAGTTTTAATCAGATTGACCATGTAAATTATTTGAAAGTCAGCGGGCTGACAAACATCTATCTTAAAATCAACACAATCCCTTTTAGTCAATTTGTAAATGCACTTTTTGCAGTCCAAAATACATAATATTTATAATCACTTGTATTTCCGTTCAATGCCGCCCCCAGGGAAGGATTAAAGGGTAATACTAATCTGACTTTCTAATAAGTTTTGTTATAAGACAAAATACATATGCGTGCTCCATAGTATTTATTTTTAACCAATTTTTTCAAACGTTGTCTGACTTTGGCCACGGCTTAAGTTGATAAGTTCATTTTTTATTATTCATAAAGAAAACTAAATAATGTTTATCGTTCTGATAATGACGTTGTTCATTGATTATTTCTGTGGGTATTACAGAATCTTTCATGTGAGTATACATTATTCTTTTGTCTATATATTTCTTTGTTTTTCTCTACTACTATATCCCTTATTTTTTTGATAATATTTCATGTAACCTTCGTGTAATAAACCTATAACAATTTGTGTTTATTAAATTTATTGAACTCGAAAGTAAAAACAAAATTAAAACATAATTGACGATTGATAACAACGTACGATTGATACGACCAGGACTGAGAGTGAATTGTGAATTCTACATTTTGTGATTATCCACGACTCACGAGAGATCATCTTAAATAAATTTAGACATCTAGACGATCGTAATGCATATTTTTTATGTTATGCCATTAATCAACGAAAGTATTATTGCCGATAATCGTAAGCGAGAAAGATGTTCTAGAGGGCACCTACACAAACATATTAGCGTATGCATTTTTTTATTGGATTTTTTTTAGAAACCTTAAGTCGTAGAGGAAGGGATTGAAAGAGCTGATCCGAAATTATGAAAAATCTATGGAAATACATTGTTGTTGTTAACGTAATATGTTTTCTTGATCTACTCGTGACCTATACAATTATTACACGATGTCGTCATAGAAAGATATACAAAACTACATGTTACATGAGTTATATAAAAAACTAACGACGTCATGGGTAGGATTCGGCAGTTTTCATTGAGTGTACCTATACAAAACAGGCGGGTACAAAATATATATGTAACTATATAAAACGTCTGGAATGTTATGAAACGCAATGATTCCATAGACAGCCTATATAATATACCATATTTACATTTTCGAACAGCTAATCAAGGCTAACGGCTACTTTAAATTTATTTTTAAACTAGTGAAATATAATTAATCCTTCAGCAATTTGATTCGGTTATAGTTTTTAGTATAAAATCAACTTAAAGTGACGTACAATAGTATTATCATTAACGTAGGTATGAAGGTCAAGACGATTGCGTCGAATGTAAGGACCGCGTGAAAGGATGATCCTTCATTGGAAAAACAAATGAACAAAGTATGTATTCGTGACTATATCTTTATGACCCTAAATCATGTAATTTCTTTTCGTGTAAGTAATTTCCATGCTCACGGAGAATTTTTAACAGTTAAAAATCTTCCGAAATTTTGTTACGAGGCATACAAATGGTTTAAAAATTATTATAAAACCCATAATAAATTTCATTTCAGAAACATAATAGCGTCTGGTTTTGTATCCAATTAAGTTAAATATAATGACCTTGTCCATCGTAACATCCGCGATGTGTTACCATAAAATTAACTGTTACCAATCCTTCGCAAAAACGACCAAGTTCAAAACAACAAGCACGTCATTAGATATTATTGTGTTTTTATAATTAAAAATTCCCACAGTCAAATTATTTTCCCACAAACATTCTTAATAATAAACATAACAATTATTTTATATGAATACTTTATAATTTATACTATATAATTTATAATTTATTCTTTTTATACTTTATATTAATAATTCGTCTAGAAATAATTTCCCCATATCATTCGAATTATATTTTTGCTGTATTCTTGGTAAACCGTGTTCTAAACAATTTGGTGACCTTGTAGTTACTTTATTAACATTTTTTGTTATAATTATTTTCATATAGACTATAGAGCTATTATTTTAGTTACAGTAATTAGGTATTATAATAGTAAACTAATTTTGTTAAAAAACTCAAAATTAAATAGAAAAAATAAGCCAACGACGTTAATACGATAATAATTGAGACTACATTGCCTATATGTACATATAAGCGTTACATCAGTCAGTTGTAATCTCATCTACACAACTATGCGTGTGTTGGAAAAATATAATAAATAATTTTTTGTTTGCCACGCTACATTTTTATTTTCGAGTAAAACATCTCTCGAAAGATGTACTTTTGTAAGGTGCTGAGTAGTAACAACTTTATTGTTAATCTAATAGTACTATGACTGAATTACATTTTATATTCAGCGCACCTTTATGTTATGAGGTTTTGCGTTTTAGTAAACAAAAAATTCTTAACTATTAAATGCAGTTTGAGTATTTATATTGAGTATATTTTATATCTGAAGGATGGATGCATGAAGATTTCGAACATTAAGTATATTGTCTGTCAATACATTTTATTTCTATATAGGTTCAATAAAATACACTACGCTTACTGCTTATAATGGTCGATCACGTCAAGAAAACGGCTATTTAATTTCTCGTGTAATTTAAATGCATGATTCTTGATCACGAAACGGAAAATATAGTTTTTACCTTACGAATGCTGATACCAACTTTCACTAACAATAATTAACATGTAAAGGTCGTATTTATAAGCAAATTAATATTATAATATCATTATTTAGTATGCTGTAGTCAGAGGGTATTATAATTCAATTTCTCAACAGATTAACCCAAGTAACTTCATTTTTTCAGAGAAATATTATACAATAATATCGCCTATAATTATGAATATTTTATACTTAAACGCTAATTATTTTTAATTCCGAATAAATCAATTACTTATTTTAATCTCATCAAGATAATGTCGTACTGGTAACGGTACAGATAATATCACCAGTACATGTTGAATATTGAACTGGAACACTGGATGCAAGACTCTTTGTGGATTAATTTTATACTTATTGGCACGAACAACAATAACATTATTATTTGGTTTTTTTTGTGTGTCATACATGATATATCCTATGTAGAGATTGGAGAAAGAGCTTACGAGTTTGGATTATATAATACTTAACTCAATATCAAAATAGTTTTATTTTAACACTTGATAATATCGGAATAATCATTAATTGGATAAAATATAGTGGCTGTTGTTTTTTTGCGGTGATGCAGTGAAAATGAAAGTGTGGTAATAATATAAAATGTTTCTGTAAATACAAAATGTTTATCGTGAAATATATATATGTATATATCATATTTTTTCCTTTATTGATTTCACTTTCATCAGAGATTTACGTAGGAACTAGCCAGCTTAGAAAAAGTGACGCCTACCTACCACAAGATATGTTGGTATGCACAAGTGTTGCGGTAATATTACACACACAAACACACATCAATAAAACCAGAAAAACTAGTATGTATACAATATATTATACATCAGTAACTATTATGTATGCTCTCACTATAAAAATATTATGATCCACTTTGTTTTATTAGAACATTTTCGTCGCTTTTTGCAATCGCTTGTAATGGAAACAAATTGTACATAGTTTATTGTTTATTTTTAACCGTTGGTGCCTCTACCTCGTCAAAGTTTATTGGTGCACTGTTTTTTTATTTGAATGAGCTAGTCGCTAGTTATTTAAAACTTAAGAAACTAACTATCACCTATGTACATTTTTTATTGTTATCTATTAACCTTTGTAGTAGATGCTGTACCAATAAACAAAAATCTTAAGAAATACGAATTAAACTTCTTAATTAAGATAATATTTGTCTGGAAACGTTTTCTATAAAAAAAAAATATTAAAGATTTGATTTACAGACATCATTATTTTTTGGTGGTACTTCTAAGTCTAACTTTAATATCAAAAATGGATAGGTATTTACTTAAATAATATGTTGCCTAGATGATTATTATTGGATAACGTTTTATTTGAATGATGCAGAACTCTATTTACATATTATTTTGGTATTTTGTTCACCCTACATACAATTTATTTACTAACATAATTAACTGTGACAACCGGATTATACTATCGGTTATTATTTGTGTATACTGCTGTTTAATTGAAAAAAATATGTGTTTAGGTGAAAATAAAGTTGTACGCTGCGTAATATACGCTTTATTAGTATTAAACGTTTTTCTGAACATACCGATTATATTTTAAAGCTTAATTTTTGTATAAAAATTAAATGTGATGGTGTAACAATTAACTTATAGGGGTGATTGATACCTACCGAACGCTAAGGGACCTGAGACCGTTCTCGTCAGTTGGCTTACTAGTTAGTATAGTTTAGCCTATAACTTTTACATAGATAAACTATACTTAATTTAAACGTCAATTCAATTCCATTTTTAGTTTTTCAGGGACTCTTGTTGCGCGTTTTCCATAATTAAGCTTAAATAATTAATACACACTATGATTGAATTTTCTTCTACATAAAATATTTTATTGTTATTATAAGCTTTCTCGTAAATGTCAAACGAAACATCAGTTGCTTCTTACATTACGTAAAGAGTATCTTGCGAGCAAGTTCCGAAATTCGAATACTTAATTATATAAGTGTTTTCATAGATTCGGCTACTTCCCATGCCCATTAAAGTGTGTAGTAGTTTTTATTACATTTTACGAATTTTAAATGGAGCCTACATAATGGACCCATTTCAAAATAACGCACGCCATTTCATAGGCCATGGTCAATGGCGCTGGCAGATCGATATTGCACGCCGGCGCTTAACACTGACGCACAATAATAATGGCAGCATAAATGTTTTAGATTCGAAGCAAAGCTTATCAGCTCAGGTATACTTTTCGTTTAGCAATACTAACCTCAATTTTTAAAAATAAAATTCCAAAAATGATATAGGTAGATCGCAACCCTTTTTGTAAGTTAGTTATTTCCAGTGCTTTAACGTAAAACTATTTTTATGATTGATCTAGGTTTCAATTTTTACTTACTTTTAACGGATCGGTATCTAAGAAAAATAGTCCTCTTCTTTGAATAGTTTACAGGTTTTTTTTTTCTTTTACTTCACGGAGTGATAACTAAGCAGTGACTGTCGTGTCCTGGAGTATACTTGTCTAATAGACGGTGAAACCGAACAGCGTGTACAAACCGCAACCGACACACAACGTGAACTGAAACGCTTTCTTGGTCGTAGCTGCTGCCGAGCGGTGGTCGTCCAGCAACAACTTTCCACCACTTCCTCGACTGTTACCGTACAGGTCTTTCAGTTATCATAATACTGTTAGCCTTGTTGTTGTTATGCCTATTTTGTACTTTCAATTTCTGTTTTATTCTATATGTATTTCCTTTTTGCGGTTTTCTGAGCCTTCCGATATTTAACAAGCGCCGCTTGTATGGTTAACCGAGCATAATATTTCAAGCCAAAAATAACTGTTATTTCGCTGTTATTGAACAATAATTGTAATTATAATTTTAAGATAACGCCATATCCCTTGGAAATCTTAATTTAAACATGAAAAATTTTGAATTATTATATTATGTTGGTTTTCATTTTCACTCTAAAGTGTTGATAAACTATTTTTTTACCGCGTCTGAGGTAATTCACAGAAACTCAACGTTTGGTAGATAATTATATTCTCTAAACACAATTAAAAAGCCTCCTTGGACCATGTACTTATATTTTAAAGAGCATATATATTTTATTAAATTCTAACGGAAAGCCACATTCCACCGGAATTCTAACGGTATCAAATAGATGGTACCGGAATTTCACTAATTTCAAAGAATGATTCAAGTATTCAAGTACTCTTTTTATACAAAAAATGTGTAAGTGAATGGGTTCTATTACTTACAAATATATATAAATATTGTGTAAGAGGTATGAGGTCTACTTAACTAAAAAAAATCAAACAGCTGTTTTTTATTATGGAAAAATTTTCAAATTAAATTTATTTAATTACAAGAAACTGAAGTTTTTAAATAAAAATCATATATAAATATTATATATGATATACATTAATTATATATAAATATTATGTATAAATATAACCATATTTTTCAAGAATAATTTTACTCTATTGCCATACCTATTTTCGCGATGGACATTAATTAATTATGGTCTAAATTACTATGGACATTTTTACCGTTAATCTACCTATTATAAGTGACTACATCTTATAATACTCTGTGTTATAAGACTTTAGTTAAACACATTTACGGTAATTAATACAAATAGCAATGATTAAAGGATAATGAGCAAATATAAATAAACCTTAATTTTGGAAATGCTGACGTTATAACAGACTAATCGTACGAAATACATTTAGGTACGTTCCGTATCAACAATGTAATTTTAAATCTATGAATACTATTACTATAGAATAGTATTTTTGTAACAAAATATACTTTTAATGTTTACAAGTTTTATTATTAGAGTTATGAATTTTGACGCAGATAGGACAATTTAAGCTATATTCTTAAAATGTGTACAAACAAAAACCACACTGTACACATAATTCGATTTTGACGTACTTGTACGTGTAATATCGATTTTTAGAAAACTGAGTTTTAGAATATAATAACATTTAACTTTATGTTGTATATACGTATGTAAAGTGTACAATGCAATTGTCATAATACAAATTATTAATCGTAATCGTAATTTTTTTTGTTTATTTATTTATTCATCATAAGGACGATAATGCCATGTATGTTATAATGTAAATAACATAATATAGGATAAGTTTTTAATTATAAATTATGAGTAAATAATGAGCATAAGTACACAATATTAAGAATAAAAAATATTACAACACGCAGACCATAATACAACTTTATTATGGTTAGGTTAGGTTAGGTTCATCAACTGATGAATCATGAAAGAAGTCAAAGTTACTAATTTTATTGCATAAGTTAAGCATGCGATTTACCGGCGAGTTGCTACTATAATTCTGTGTATGGATAGGTATATAAAACGTAGAAGAGGAACGAAGCGATATATTGTGGAACATTTACGGGTGTTAAATTCAAAATTTCTGGACAGTCAATTATATTATTGAGTAAATTATACATCCAGTAAACATCCAGACATTTTCTTCTACATAAAAGAAAATTCATTTTTAGATTATTAAGCAATTGTTTTAGATTTAGCAATTATTTAATTTGTCTTGTAGGATAATAAAGTTAAAAATCGATGTTGTTAAGATTCAGTCTTATTAATATCACAAGCCACATATGGAGACAGTACAATAGATCCATATTCCAAGATAGACAGAACAAGTGCAGCATATATATAGTTTTTAAGCATGCAATAATGCAATATTTTAAAATTCAATACAATTCCGTTTTAAAAATCCTAATGTACGTGAAGCTTTATTACAAATATATGTTATGTATTTCGTAAAGATACGAAAACACGATAAATCACTACATAGAAAAACTCCTAGATATTTAATATGATTTACAGCAATGAGGTTACAGCTATTAATGACATACTGGTGATAATTGTAAGATTTTGTTCTTGTAAAAGTAATTTGTAAACATTTACTCTCATTAATTTGCAACTCGATTTTTAATGACCACCAGTAAAATTTATACAAATCAGACGGCAATTTATAATAATCGCTGGGTGATTGAATTTTTATTTCCATTGAACTCATCTTTTAATTAATATTGAGTGGTCACATCAACACGGCCCCCTTCAGAGACTACATACATTAAGTCCGTGTAATATACTAACAAATTAGTAGCTGTAGATTTAGAAGATCTAAATCCATGTTGGAAGTTTACCAGTACTGGATGAAATAAGTATGTAAGTTTTGGCTCTAATACTTTTTCAAATAATTGTATTATAAAAATTGTTTATAAAAATAACTAGTATGCTATTAAAGGACCGATTCGTAATATTACCAGAAGTTGAGTAAACTGAACCGAAATATTGACCAAATATATTTACCATATCATTCAAATTATCTGAATGAGAATTGTTTGACTCTAAATAGATAAGCAATTTACCTTTTACAATTTTTTACATAAGTCCAAAAGTATTTTGGATTGGACATTAAACTACTTTGACATTGCACAAATAATTCGAGTAACAACGTTTTGACAAAGCTTTGCATAAAGCCCTCATTTCTGAAAATAGACGACAAACATTTTTGTTTAATTTCTTATGTAGTTTATTTTACGAGCCGTTAAAATTACGATTTAAGTATTTTTACACCGGAAAAGTAAAAAAAAACTTGGGAGTATTTTTAAATCTGAATTTGAGAATTTGAAATCAATCTATTAACATATATTAAAAAAAACTAGATGCTTGGGAAAATTAGAATGCGGCTTAGAAAAAAAGAAGCAACGCGTTACGAACCCTGTTTCCCAATAGAAATTATGTCAGTCCATAGGCGAACTATCAATAAAATGCAAAAGAACTTCCAATGTAGTAAAATATAGCATAAGAAATACATCGCTTATTATTAACATTCTGGTATTAGGTATACATTCATTCATCTTAAAAAACCAACATAAACCACATGAAACTGAAGCCACAATCGAATCGTTATTTTCGAATAGTGATAAAAAGGGAAAATAACCTACAATGAAACTGAAAAAGACCTTGCAAGGGCACCCGCAGGGAGGGACAGGAGAGGAGGGAACTCCCCCTCTAGCTTTCCTGCAAGTTAAAAAAAATTATATTAAATATCCCAAAATCGCAAAATGGATTACACAAATATAGTTGCCCCCCCCCCCGAATTTTCACCTGCAACCGCCCTTGAGAACTTGTAAACGAATAGTTGATAGTTATAATTATGATTTATAAGAAACTATGAGAGCTATTGCTAAATTATTTTTTTTTTTAATTGAGCTACCTATAATTCAACAATTATTTTATAATTTGTTTACTTTCATGTATTTAATTTTTAATATATTATGTAGTCATTTTGTGCACTAAACATGTAAATATTATTTCTAAAACATCGTTTTTCTAAAACTCAGCGTTATAAAACTTGCCTTCTAAAAAGTGTCTCAATAACCTTGTACACAACAATGAGAAGATAATTTATAAAAAATCTATAAATGAGTTGCATCAATAAAAAAAAGTATTTTTTAACCAAGTTTATGAAATGTTGCATAAATTAAAAGTGCTTTTCAAAGAAAACGGAAATAATTAATCTAAAGATAATTTATACAGTATATAGAACTGGTTTTCGTTAGGTATTTATGACGTATGAGTAGCACAATAATAATTGTCTAAAAGAACCTTTTAAGCAAAACTTGTGGTTATAAGTTATAACAAAAATAAGAATAGTGTTAAGTTAAGATTAAACTCTATTACAAAACACTTTACTTGGTGACGATGGTTTTTGACCATTTTCGATATGACGTAATTGATAAACGCTACTGTAGAATTATAGAGTGAGGTCGTTGGTCAAAAATATTTCTGAGTATGTTGTAAGCATTGATGACGATAGCATTGTTACCAAAAAAATGTATTAATTTTTGTGGCGAAGGCATTTTAAAGTCTTTTGATACAAAAAAACAGTTCTGAGAAAAAAACATGTATTTAATTAAATGTCTTATATGTTGTACAAAATACAGACAAATACATAAACAACAATGAAAAAATTAAGAAGATATAGAGTTAAAAAAAAAATGTTTCAAATAAAATCTGCCTAAATACTTCTTCATATTGTTATTATTATTTAACTAACTATTTCATAAAATATTTCGCTACTAGAATCTTACCAGTAAAAATATTTCACCAAGAAATTTAGTATTATTCACTAAAATTAACAATGGATCAAGAATAAGAGAGAAACTGGTTTAGTGCGTTTGTCTACGTGCAACTAACTATAAATTATAATAATATACAATATATATAATATTACGGAGATACCGACTACCGTATCATTGATTATTTTTTCCCCTTATTTCTTTCCTCTTCTATTCAGTCAATACTAACCTTAAATATATACACAGTGCGCGTGCAAGTTAAACTTAAGTCGATTCTTAATACAATTATAATTTTTTGTTTCTATTTATTTATGTATAAATTATATGTCAGCAGATCGTCAGTTGTAGTTTATTTCTGTTTTGTTTTAGTCGGTGTGTTGGTTTTTGTGGTATCATCTTCGTCGTCATCGCTTTCGTTACTTTCATCATCATCATCATCTTCTTCTTCTTCCTCATCATCATCTTCTTCTTCCTCTTCTTCATCTTCATTTGTCCCGTTTTCATGCACTCGATCATCCTACGAATAAGGTTTTTTAATACGATTATAATGTATACTGTTTTCTAAAGAGGCTTATGCATAATTATTAAAAAATTCAGGTTCACACTTTTATTAAAGTAAATGACAATATTACAATGATCAAATACTAAATTGTATTCTGCAGTCGTTTTGAGTTGGACTCACAGTTCTTTTTTTTATAACGTTTTTATTAAAACTGAAGACAAAAAATGGCAGATAGACAATACAGTTGTGCAAAATTTATTCGAATAATGATAAAAGTCTTGAAAATCCGAGTAATGAATAACTGAATATTAATTCAGTGAATAGTGAATAATAAAAAAATCAAGAATAACGAATAAAATTGTTCGTGAATAAAACGAATGTAATTTTTTTTTTATTCTGAATAATAATTCTAATGTGAATTTAATGAATAATGTCCATTTCTATAGAGAAGATCAGTACGTCCAGAAATGGTATTCTGTTGATAGTTAAAGTGCGTCCGTAATTTCATTAATACTATATTACAAGCACATTTTACCTCTTTCCACTACAGTTCCACTATACGTATAGCGTATAATAATTAATTATTTTAAGATATAAAGTATAACGAATAAATAGGAAGCCACGTTTTAAAATTGCTTATTTTGTAGGCATATGGTTAAACATTAAATTAAATTTAATACAAGGTCGAGTAATGTTTGTTTAGCTATCTCACATGCGGAACATTTATTTAAGGTATTTTTGAGATACACTCAGGAGACCTTCTGTCATTAAATTAAGATTCTATACACTTAAGATATTCTACATCTACGATCAAATGTCACTTACGGGTATTAAGGACAAGGTGACTTTGCTGGACACTACTGATTCATGATCTTCTGTTTCGCCGGGGGTGTTGTGTGGACCGTCGCTGATCAAAACCTGAGAGTTTTTCGGGATAGGGCCTGGTATGAATAAGGAAACGGGTTCGGATAGTGACGTATCGTCTGACGAACGGATATCTTCTTTTTCTTTTGGAGTCCAACAACGGCCTCCGTCCACACCCTCGGACGTTTCCATGTTGACCACTTGAATAACTTTTTTACCGTAAACTTCCGAATCGGTCATTTCTTCAGTCTGTTGGTCGTCACTGCCAAGTTCTTCTTTGATAGGCGTATCGATTACCCCAGAGTCTGTTGTGGATGTGACTTGGGAACGGTCGTCATTGGATTCACAATCGACAAGTTTGATAGCACTCGGTACACCATTAGCGTTTAAGGATTCGAGTTCCTAAAAATTAAAAACGAAAAGGCAAATACAATTAATTCCCAGGACTCACACTATAGGCCAATGATAAAAAAAAAAAGCTTTTATACGGTCGACAGAAAGCAAATGTACGTACTAACAAAAAAGCTTCTACAAAAGCGTAAACTAGTTATTATTCTATAAAATAATAATTGATTTTAACATACTAAACAAACAGACAAAATAAAAATTGCGAAGTATCTAGCATCTAATTAGTGATCGACTAGATCACCTGCCTAAAACTTTTACGTATAGAGCACCTGTAGCGAGATTTATGCAAAAACGTAATTATAGTTAACGGTTCAGAACCGTCGGTCTGGGGGTACCTCGTATTCGTCTATTGTGGGAACTCTTTCAGTTTCTAAAGCCGATTTTATCTCCCGATTCACATCTTGCAACAGAGACGAAAACGCGTACACGACTAATTGCCAAAACAAACAATAAAAAATATTTTTGGTTTATTTGAATTATTATCAATTTGTTTTTGTTATTTCTGTGATATCCAGTATAAATGTATGTATCTCTCTTATCCGTTTTCCAAGACCTGACCTGGCTCAATTCACTTGGCAAAATATTTCAACTCTCACACTAAGATTATAATATCATGCCAGCGTTATAAAACAGGTTTAAACACCAGAAAACGTACTATCATATTTTGTTAAACGTATCTATAGTGATTGTTTTTCGCTTATTGATGATATATATATTCGTCTATATTAGAACGGTGTCGGTAAAGCTAAATCGTAGATATAGTTGGATGTTTTCAATTATCTATAACTATCGCGTGCTAAAATAGCCAGGAGCATGGCGCCGTACATGTTAATCATATGCCAAATTAGTGCAGTGCTAGGAAACAAAATGGCCAATAAAAAAATACTCAAGAGCACATGCGCAATGGAATTTAGGTAAATCTCTCAAACCTTCTTCCCTTCCATCCTACTGCACTCAGATGCCAATATCATTTGCTTAACAATGCGTTCCATCGCAGCTTCTGTTTCTTCTAGCTTGCGACGGAGCGCATCGATCTCTAATTCTCCTACGCAAAAAAATACAATTCACAAACAAACAATTGGTATATTTTGTTGTAAGTAGTATTTTACTTTTTCTGTAATTCAACAATATTTTAATTACTGTACATTGAGTGATTATTTAATTCAAAAAGTAAGTGTTGTCGTCTGTTTAATGGAACAAAATATAATTAATATATAATATATTTTAAAATAATTGTGTATAACGGTTTTTTTCGCGAACTGGACTATCGTAAATAAAAATCAACTCACTTGCATCTTTTTCAACAAATCCTATGCATGAGGCAATAAATGAAATTTTAATTAAATTAAAACACATAAGACAGTGTGGTTTTTTTTTTAGGTCTAAAATAATTGCGTTTACCTAATTTTAGAGGTCCCATTTGAGGTGGTTGTTGTTTAGCAGAACCATGGTCTTTACCGTTAGATACTTGAGAATACTGCTGATGGGAATACATGTTTTGGTAAACATCATCGGGTTCGTCTTCGTTTTTTTTCGTCAATAGCTGTATAAAAATATATTATTCCCATCATTATACATTAAAATACATCTCAAAAATGTCTTGTGTCCTAACCTTCATTATTGTATAAACGAAAAATAGGAAAATGCCGATGGTGTACATTGGCATTAATAAGTTCATAGAACCACCACCTTCGCCATCGCCAAGCCTATGATTTGAACCCATATTAACCATTGGTGGTTTTATCCCTGGCATCGGCGGCTACAAGAAAATAAACATAATTTTATTCAATATTATCATTAATTAAATGTCTTTTTAGTTTTAAATGTTTAACTCTTTTGTACATTTTCTGTGTAGGACTGTGTAGACAAATTGTATGATATTCAGAATGTCAATTAAAAAAAAAAAAAAAAAATTATGGTTTAATTTGTTTTTACTTGTATAGATTGTTTGAATATTAATGTATAACTCGTTATTTCCTAAGACAAAACAATTAATTGATGTGCAAAAATCGACAAAAATAATGTGGAACACGTGGCAGTGAGCCAACACCAAAATAGCACAAAAAAAAAATGGCGAGTTTTGCATACTTTGATAATATTAATGAGACTGAAAATACAGAATTATGAATTTGATCAACAGCCGACACTGAATTTACCTTGAAACTGTTTGGCGTAGGAAAGCTCGAGCTTCTTGGTTGAGGAATAGCACGTCCTTTTTCTAGCAGTGCCGGATGTATACCCCCTTGGGATGCCCTTAGGTGTACTGGAATTCTCTCTTGCGGTAGAGCACCTAAAAGCGGTTATAAAATAAAATAAAAAGCTATATTCAATATTATTCGTTCTAACAAAGTTAATAGATTAGTTAAAAACACAGTGAAAATCAGCTATATCAATTATCGCAACACGGTTAATAATAAAACTAACTATTTTTATTATTATTAGTATTACAGTACAAAACTATACATCGTACTGCAATCTTTAATCAATTATTGAGTAGATTATTTCCAAAATTGTATATGTACCAAAATTGACATTGATAATTGACATTGACATTGACATTGTATTGGTATGGTATTATGATATTTATGTTTTGTCATTAATTTGGCTTAATAATGTCTTAAAATAAATTTCATAATAAAATGTATTATAACAAATTCTTAACAATTTAATATATAAGTTAGAAACATTTTTAGGTTAATAAACGAAAATATAAAATGATTATTGTTTATTGAGTTCAAATACTATTAATAACATTTTTTTTTCAGAAATAGCTGACTTAATTTCAACATTTTTCATTTATACCTTCGAGTTCCTAAACTAATATCTAAAATCATTTTTAGTAAGTAAAGTTATAAAAATAACTTTTTATATACAGTAATTTAAAAACTTGCACGTTATATTATCAATAACTGTTTTATAAATTTTAAAGTTTTTCTAATTTTTCCCAAAATGTAAAAAAAGTACAGATAACTTTGGATAAAGTACAATTAAGTACGGTAAATACATATAAGTTTTGGAAATATGTTATTCAATTAGTCGTCACTCAAATGGGCTTTATGAAAAAAATTGTTAAATTCCACTCCGGTTAGTTAAAATCATAAAATTCGTCATTCTTACTCGAGTTTGGATCAAATTCTTTAAGTCTATGCGCGACCCCCAAACTTGTCAACGAAACTCCGTAATGATATTTTAAACACAGAGATCCGTTCAAGGACCGTATTTCATCGACTACGTGTTTATTTGAGGAAACAATAACGCCAGCCTGATTGCCACTAACCAAATCTGTTATATTTATTGCACAAGTATTGTAAATTTCATGATGGCACATTTCCCAATATGTATTTTTGTCCTTTACTTCAATAGTCCGATCGCATATGTCAGTTATTATTTTTACCAAATTCATATCCGAACTGGTTACTACATCGCAACACCCTATTACCCAAATCCCAGTAATACAAGAACATTTTAATAAACAGATATATGTACTTAAAAAAATATGAATGCGGCCCAGTGGATTGCTTCAAAATATCTTACCTGTATGGGTGTATGATGGTATAAATGCACTTTTTATCATCGGATAAAACAACGATGGCAATAGAACTGCAAAACATCCTGCTACTATTGCCAAAATGCAAATAGTTTTGCTTTGACTTATTTCCGAATTCATCGATGGTTTTCCTTCATATGTGCCTCTAAAAAAAATTTAGTTGTTTTATAAAATCGTAATATATATTTTTAAGAAAAAAAAGATACCAAAAGCGGAAAAATGAATCGATAAATTAAATGTCTATAAAAATTAAGTAATCTAAATATTTACTAAATTTTAACTGTAACTGTAAACCTCATATTATGGCCAGTAAGTCATGTTACTGTATCATTCAGGGGTGCTCCACGGGTTTTCGGCTTTTTAACGAACACGAACATAAACTCGTGTTAAATTTCACAAAGTATATACCTTAAGATACACATACCCACATTTCTCCATTAGTTTTATATTCTTTAAAACTATCAATCTACCTACCATTCTTTCTAAGTGGCGTAAATTGATGGTGTATGATTTTTTAATAAGATAACGCAGGACATTATGACCTGCGAATGATTCATCAAAATCATATTATCATGTTGATCTTTTTGAATACTATGTTCGATAGTTTCCATAAGTTGATGATGAGTAACAATAAATTTTTGTAACTTAGAGCCTCGTCCTTCTATGGATTTAGTTATTCTTTGTGTTCGACTAATACCGAGATCGTATACCTTCCATGTTTGAGGTGGGAAACGTAGAGGTATTGCTATTTTGTCTTTCTGGGCGGGTACTTCTCTAATGTACCCAAGTATTTCCAAAAGAGAAATCTGCTAGTTCATCACTTGTGTTTTCCACTATGTAGTGAAAAATATTTTTTTTCCGCAGGAAGAAACGGAGTAAGCTTTCAGACACTTTTTCTGATATTTCTTTATTTTCTTTTTAACTTTGCAAACTATGGACATTTGCTTGTTGGTTGGTTTTGTTTAGTGTAAACACGCACGGCAGAAACACGGAATGGGCCACCACTAAAAAATCCGAGTGGTCACCCATCCGGGATCATGTAAGCACCGCACAGCTTAACCTCGTGTGCCGAGTGACAACCGAAGTAACCACTGCGCCACATAAACGTCATAAGTTGCAAAATTAGATTATCTGCAGCACACAGAAGTGTGAGTTCTTGAAATATTTAATTATACGTGCCTCATCTTTTCTAACAGTTAATATTATGTACACTAAACTGGTAGAATAATTTTACTTCCTCTTCATTTATACGTGAAATTCCATTGAAAATTATAAAATGTAGATGGTTCGTTCAGATTTTTTTCTGTTTAACGTTTAATAACATCTACAGTGCTTATTGCTTTTATTTATGTAGGATTACATGATGATGGTGATTTCCAACTTTAAGTATAACTACTTTACACTGAATGTTTGTATTGGTTGTACATTTTGCGCCATTTTTTTTTTGCATCTCCCGTATATTTAGACCCATTTTTACTTTTTAAATGGAAGTAATATAATCTATTATTAATTATTATAGACTAAAAATTGTTTAACTTTTTATTTTATATTAAAATTGATGGCTTTAATTTCATTATAGGTATATGATAAAAATGTCAAACAATTTTTGTTTTATACTACTAGCAAAACATGCAAAAAAAAAACCATAAAAACCACTTGATATACTTGATATACACTATGAATTTATACAATATTTAATAGTTATTATTAATTATTGTATATATTATTTGACGAACTTATTAAAAGTGGACATTAAAGCTAATCATCCGGAAAAAACTTTTAAATCATACAGGTACATTGGAAATTATTTTCTAAAATAATAATATCAAATTTTGATCGTTGAAATTTCAAAATTCTTATTAGTTTTACTACCCATTTACGTGAAACATTTGAACTAGCGTAAAAGTCTTATTTTAGTACTATCTATAGTAGGTATATTGTATAATATAATACCGTACGAAATTTAAGACTTTATCTTACATTTGAATGAAGTACAAATTTAATACTAGAACTTAGACAAATTTTGAATTTTAATATGATTTTTTCAACTATTTAAGTTAGAAAATTGAGAAAACAATATGTATATTTTTTGATAAGATATATTTTACTAGGTATTTCAAATTAACTATATAGGACACAATAATAGCTATTCAAAGAGATCATATAGATATCCCTAAAAAAAGTTAATTGTGTAAAAGTTTTTTTTTTCTCTTTTATAATTTTTATTACACAATCTAAACTATTTTTATGTGCAATAGGCGTATAAAATAGACGTAATATAATTTTTCACTTAATGGCTTGATAGGAGAAGACACCCAGTGGTGGTACTCCGGAATGTAAAATAAGTACTGCTACAAATTTATATTTATAAATTTCCAAGTAGGTTTTAGGGTCCTATAAACATTCAATTATAATATGAAAGAAACATTCAAGGGCACCGCGTGGGCGGTTTTACGAACAATTTAACCATTTTTCTTATATTCTTGTAATGAACGAAAAATAACACTTTATATGTTGTTTTTTTTTTTAATAAATACAATTTCCAAAAGATTTCATTAGAAATTGATCTTAAAACTGTATTAGATGTGTTCTTTTTTTAATCTATTCAGATTCTAGAAGTTTATTATCATATAGAACTGTGTCATATAAAAATAAAAATTTTAAAAAAGTATCTAATTTTTTTACTGTTGAAAAAAAAAGCTCTTGGTCGAATTTGAGTAGACTTAATAATTCATAATCATTTTACTATTGTTGAATTTTAAAAAATCGGATAGATTAACATAATATATTTTTGTAAAAATATTATTCTATTATCAATGTATCTAAATATTATATGTAATCACTATTACATATATGTACACACACATAGTGACATGTTAATTTAACGTGATGACTTATTACAATATTGATTATATTTTTATTTATAGGTGTTCTGTTAAAATGTCTGTTATTTAGTATTATTTTCGGCTATTAAATTACCGTTAAGAGGACACTCGAGCCATTTCTAAGGAGTAAAGTATAGGCAATTTTTAGAAAAATCTTAACTAAGAGTTATAACTTAGCCATGTTTTTGTCAGACTATCACAGTCATTTCTATATATGTATTTTTTTTTATTATTAAATTTAATTTGTGATTACACATTATAGCAACATTTCTATAAGTTATTGATGAATTAAAAATATTTTGCCATCAAAACTGCTTTGCGGGGGACAAGTATGTGAGCCAGAATTAACAGTATATTTACCAAATGTTCACAATGTATAGAGAAAAACTTTATCTATAGGGTAGCGTTTTAATTTTTTTGTTATTATTTTATAAACAAATGAAAAAATAATAAAAACGAATCTTCACGAATGAATAATTTTGATTGTGCTTTAGTTATCAAAAAACTAAAAACGCTACTCTTTAGATAAAGTTCATCCATTGTAAAAAAGGTACACGGTTACCGTAAATAGGGAATGCCTCCCTCGCATTCTTGTCCCCGGCAAAAACATTTTTCGCGGATAAATTACGGGGTGGGTAGCGTCCTCAATAAAAGTTCAGTAAATGATGAACAGTATGTATCATATTACTTATTACTTATTAGTATCATACTACTACACTACGTAGGTAAATAGGTAATCATATCATGTTTTACTACATTTGAGAAGGCGAATAAAGGTAAAATATTACTTATTAGGATTTGTTTTTCAATAGGTACGTTAGTCGTAATTCGTAATCATAAAAGTCAGCATAAAAAAATCAGTAAAAACATTTGGTTAAACGCACACGACACAATACTTCACACTACTTTAAATGCCTTTACCTGCAGCAAGTCTTCGCCGGCATTTTGACGAGCTTACAACAGTCAACAACAGACGAGAGAGACGAAGCCCAAAGGAAAACAAAACTGAGCCCTAAAAATAAATAATATTGTTGCTTTGACGGGGAAAAAACATTGCAAGTGGAACGCCGAACGGGACTAGGTGGCGGTCGCGGGACGGACGACCCAGAAATCGACCGCCTTATGTGTGACCAACGTAACGGATACCATTATTTCGTCTTTATTACAATACCGTATTCAATCGTTTACCGACCAAATGAATTACTTGATTTAAAGTTTTTATAATTAATACTGGTTTTTAAAAAACATAGTTTCGCCAGAAATCCCAAATTTTCAAAATTTTAATTTAAACCTGCAATCGGGAATTTATTATTAGACAGTGTGGTCAGATCGAGAGATTTACCGGGTTATCAGTCAGTGCAGACCACAAACGTTGTCAATTTGACATAATTTTTTTTATTATGTTAGTGTCCTGATTCCTGTGCCATCGATTATCGAGTTGTTGAAAATATAAATTGTTAAAAATTGAAAACGTTTCTTAATACTTTCTCACAACCGTGAATCGGCTCTAAAAAATTCTCGTGTTTACGAAGCATTAGCTGATAATAATATTTTAAGTTGTAGCCTGGTCACGATCTTGTTTGGTTACCATATGTTAAGTAAGTTGTATTAACCACCAACTCTATTTTTTGAGTATTACTTTGTTTTTGTGTTTGAGATTTACAATTTAGATAACTACATATTTTTGTAACTATATTTGTTTATTAATCTAAAATTTTTAGTTGACTGGTGTTCGTTATCTCCGTGAACTATGCAAATCAAAGATCCAGAACGTTTCAAAACCTGGCTGACGACTTTGCTTGGACCTATATGTGAAGCAGAACCAGCAGCATTAGCCAAATACATATTCGCTCTGCTAAAACGCGACCGCCCTAAGGATGAATTACAAAAATTCCTTCTTTCACAGTTGGAAGAATTTCTAGGTGATGAAACAGAGAATTTTACAACACTGCTTGTTGAAACTTTGCAAAATGAATCCTACTTAAATGATCCAATTGAAATCAAAACTGAACCGGCAGTTACCTCATCTGGAGAAAAATCTGATGTTGGAGAAAAAACAGATGAAAAAGTAAAAGAAGAAGAGAGAGTGAGGTCCAGGTCTCGTTCACTTGTACGTTCAAGATCACCAAGGAGCAAAGATATTAAGTATATTAGACCTAAACGATATCGACGTGATGATCATTCCAGTGAAGAAGACGAAGAGAGAGAATCATATCGTAAATATCGTTATCACGGACGATCATGGTCACCCAGGCGTTCAAAGTCCCCAAAATTTAAACGTAGGTTTAGGTCGCCAAAAAACCGATCAAGATCTCGATCTGAATCCCTTGATCGGTTGAAAAAACCCAAAGAAGATATTTTTGCAGAATTCAAAAAATCTGAAGTAGCTGAAAAAAAAACCTTAGGTAGATGTGTTGATTTTGACGAAAAAGGATATTGTATGAAAGGGGACTTGTGTGTTTATGACCATGGCAAAGATCCTGTAGTATTAGCCAATGGTGTATTAAGTTTTCAAAATGCTGGAACGTCTTTCAATAACCCAATAAATCCTTCTTTCCCTGTAGTTCCAATGGTTCCAAATGTTGTACAAGTACCGCCATATCCAGCAACACAAAATCAACGTATGTACTATCCATCAACTGAAGGATCATATTGGGTTCGAGGTAGTGGTGGTGAACAAAAGTTCTCTAAACAAAAACGAGAATTAGTCAGTGTGCCTACGGCTGAAAATCCAAATCGTTTTAAAAGAAAAAATAATTTTAAAAAAGAAGAAAACATAGTTAATAACAACAAAAAACCAAAATTCGACTACAGGCGTCTTGGTCCCAAAGTGTCATCTAATGAAGTACAATTGAAAAATGTTCCAGAAAATCTAAATAATATTACTAGTTTAAATAATAGTTTTATGAAGTTTGGAAAAATTACCAACATACAAACAAGCAGTGAAAATAAAGAAGCTACTATTACATTTTCTACAGTTCAAGAAGCCCAGAAAGCTTATCAAAACTTGGAGACCGTTTTTGGTACTCTTCCAATTACAGCTAATTGGTTTGCTGATAACACAGAAATAAAGCCAGATGAAGTAAAAAATACCACTCCTCAAAAGGCAAAAACCCTATCATTAGACAACAGAGTTATTGGGCCTACGAGATTGAACTTAAATAATGAAACTGAAGCTCAGGTCATAAAAACGTCATTGATTAAGAAGCAAGAAGAGGCGAAAAAATTGGCTCAAGATTTTTCCGCTACTATAACGAAACGTAAACAAGAACTATTAGATAAACAGTTGGAACAGCTCAATAAACTTATAGAAACTGCCCCTAGTGTTAAGGGAGAACAAAAACAGATGCTTATGGCGACTATTATTCAATTAAAAACTAACATAGAAAATATCCAAGCGGATTTGGCTTCTACAGTAAGAAAGTCTACAGAACCTATTAAAAAAGATCTTAATTCCATCCAAAAGTTATCTCCAAAAATACCATCAAAAGAAGACAAGTTATTAGAAGCTAAACAGGAAGCTTTGAAAAATCTACTGCTAACCGACCTTGATTTATTTATTAAACAGCAGCAAGGTAATAGCGATGAAAAAGAGATTCTGGATTTGAAGAAAAATGTCATTGCTTTAAAAAATAAACTAAAAGCTTTAGGGATTACACCTACATCAGGAAGTGCCAAAACTGCTCATCAAATGAAAGAGAAATTATCAATTGCTAACAAATTATTAGAAGCCAAAAACAAAGTACGAGAGACTAAATCGGCTACCAGTATATCAGTAGATCACCGACCGACTCAACTTCTAGTGTCTGGATTCGAAGCTGATGATGAGGATCAGGTTGTAAATCATTTCTTACAATTTGGTAACATCGTTGAGTATATATCAGACACAATCATTCCGGCCCTGGTTATCAAATATGAAACTAGAAAAGATGCTGAAACTGCACAAATCAAAGGAAAAGTATTCCAAGACAGACGTTTGTCAGTGACTTGGTATAACTCACAGCATGATTTTGTTGACACTTCTAATATTAAAGCTGGACCATGCATGGGTGCGCGAGCAAGTGATGATTCTTCTGTTAAACATCTTGAAGACAAATATTAAGAAGTAAATTTTCTTTAGTTTTGTTAACAATTATTTTTTATGTTTGATAATTTACTAGTGGGTATATATTATAATAATTATTCACTAAATTAACTCAAATTGTGAAAACTTGCGCATTTATGTATTATAACTACATATTTTTCTAGGTTGCAAATAATAGTTGATCTTTACAAAATATTATTATTATTGTATTTTTTGAAAACATGATGTACTTATATATTTTAAAATGTTAATATTGTTTTTCTCTAATATATATTTTAATATAAATATATCACAAAACAATCACTTGGTTAATTAAGAAACTCTAATTTATTTCCCTAAAATACAATTTTCATTTTTGATTCGTTCTTGATTAATTGTTAAAATTATAATTAGAACTATAATTTATAATACCTTAGTGTTTGTATTTAAAAGATTATCTTTAACACTTAATACATTTGCATGACTTGTTATGATAAATTATGAGACTGAAATTGATTTCTGTATTTTTACTTTATTGCATCATTTTGGATAGTTTAATTTTGAGTATTCACATTAGTGTTGAATAAAAATCAATTTATTAAGTACACAGATTATGTTTTACACGTTTTCTATTTCCTAATAATGAATGAAATCCTAATAAAATGTTCATATTTTTGAATTGGCCTATTTTATTGATTTTTTTATATTTTTTCAAAGGTAAATTGTTAATAAGAGTGAAAATTTCTTTCAAAATAAAAAATGTTCACATATTCAGCGACCTAAAAATAGTTAATGAACAATATTGTTAATAATATAAGAGTGTAAATAGATCTTCAATGTTGTACATACAATTTTTTGACCTAGTTATTGTATTGAATATTGATAAATTTTATATTTTTCAATTGTATATTTTAGTAATAAATTGTATGGTTTATTTGAAATGGTTGTAGTTTTTAATTACATATATATTCAAATTCTTATGCGTATTACCTAGTCAATGATGGGAATCGTTATTATTTCTGAAGAAATGTGAAAGAGTTCTTGAGTAACAACAATTCTTAAATACGACGATCAGAGATAGATGGCAAAATGTGTTAATAACTTGGTACACCTAAGATAACCTACCCATTCTAAGAAAAACAACATGTTATTTCATTAAAAATTAACAAATAGTATTATTTTATAGTAATTTATTTTTACAACAGTATAATATAATATACAAGTTAAAGTATAGGTACACATTAGGTTCTTCAAGTTATCTTAATAATTATGTTTGTATAGTCTACGTTTTATCATAGTAATAAAAGTACTTTGTGTCGTTAAACATTTCTACAGTAATCACTATTAACAATCTGTCTGGTTTTGCTTATATTTTTTTAGTAGTACAATACTTTTTAAAAATTAAACCATATAATACATTTTTATTCATTATAACAATTTCTTAACATTAACTTCATTGGCCTAGTAAATTGTTTGGCTATAAAATGAAGCCAGATACATTTTATTATACTTTATGTTCTAATATGTCATAATAAATATAAATCCATGTAAAATTACTTAATTTTTAGTTTTGAACAAAAATACTGTGTATTCTCTGTATATTATTTTGTCGGACTAGATTTTTCAAAATAGTTCTAATGTTTTCATTTTATAATAACCAACGTAAAAGCTAAAATTGTAATGTTTACTTTTTTAAATCTTTGATCTTACACTTTACGTATAATGCATATACTAATATATTTATTTATATATATATATATATATATATATATTATTATTATGCTACAATTAATTATTAAGTTAACACTGATAGTTTAGTAAAATGTATATATAAATAAAGGTCCCATTTTTATGTTTCGTACACTTTTTAATGGCATTATGTATTAAAAAATATAAATGACTAGAGCCAACTGATCAGGTTATAACTAAAAAGAATACAAATCAATTTGTTACATAAAATTTTAAAGTTCTTTGAAATAAAGAAAATTGAGGAATATAATTTTGACACATGTATAGCAACCCTATACGGTCACTGAAATAATAATTTGTAGTACTATTGAGATTCAATGAGATTCAACTATTATATATTACTTGAAAAAAAACTATAGCCAATCTATATATTTATAACCTATATAGAATCAATCTTTTTTTACATTTGATCTAAGTGTGCATACTTCTAAGACATATATAGTTTGTATAATTATAATTTATATACCAGTGTAGTTTTTAACAATATTATTAAATGCAAAATATGTAATGTTTGTTAAACACAATTCAGTCAGATTGCATGACAGTATAATAGTTTATTATATTAACTTGAGTTTAAACAAAACTCAATACTGAGAAAAACAGGAAGTCCAAATAATTTAGGCAATACAAACAAAAATAAAAATAAAATATAAATGATTAAAACTATTAAATGGGACAGAAATAATTATAATTATACATTTTTATAATAAATGGGATCATATTTTTATGAAATATAATTATATTATAATATACATGAATATCCTTAATACTATTATTTTACTAAAAATTAAAATCACAGAAACTTAATAAGTTATGAACAAAAAATGTTTTTTTTGTATTTCTTAGTTTCAGACGAAAAAAAATTGAAAAACCAATAGTTTTCAAAAATAAATAAATAATAATTCAACTCAATAAATCATGATTACTGCAAAAATACTACGATGACATATTTGATCGAATGTTGGTCAAATAAAAGACACTATGATATATTCACTAAGTGTCCTGTAAGTTCAATTATAAACATCTTATTGTACCTATACAAATACTTTGACTAGGCTGTCAGCTCCGGCACTTGCAATATATGCTTCGGATGGATGAAATGCAACATCCAATATCGATTCGTCCAGCTTTTTTCGATGTGCAGTGATCTCCTGAACACAAGTCTTACTCTCTAAATTCCATATTCTAATAGACGAGTCGTGACCTATGAAACATACATAATATCAATGTCAGTGTAAATCTTAAAAATTCAATACACAAATTATTTGTACGTGTGACTTACTTCCTGACAGCAGATATAATCCGTTGGGATCTACGGCCAGACTGGTAACAGCATCTAAATGGGCAACCATGGAATGAACCATTTTTCCAGTATTGTTATCGAAGAACCGAATATGATGGTCGTCGTGTGCTGTGATGGTTAAAGGCAGTGTTGGGTGACATTTTACCCGATGAATCAGCTGTGTCGCCATTTCAGACGGGTCCTGATAAATAATTAAATACATTTTTATTTTTAAACTTAATTTGTTAATTTTAACATTTACCTTTGAGCATTCTAATCGAGTAATAGGACTTTTTGTTTCAATATCATAAATAATACAATGTGACGAAGTATAAGAAGCCACAAACTGGCCTTCTACATCTCTGACGTAGTCAACTGAAGTAGGAATTTCATCTAGATTTAATAAATAATATTAAATAATTAACATATGTCTATTTAACATAGAATATCTTGTTTTTAAATAATATTTAAACAAGACAGAATATAATTGATTTAGAATAAAGCTTTAACTACAGTTTCTTAAAATATCATACTTTGATCAGAAACATAAGAAGATAAACATGGTGTTTTAAGATTAGTTGGTGACCAAAGTTTTACAGTGCCATCAGCCGAACAAGACAATAATTCTGAACGTTTATGGTGCACCGATATTCCCCATACAGCATCTTCATGACCTTCCATATTGTTAACAAGAATATTTTTGTCTGAAAAAAAAATATAATGATAAATTTATTTACAATAATGATTAATAAAAAAAAATATAATGATAAATTTATTTACAATAATGATTAATGGTCAATGATTATAATGATTAAAATAGTAACTGTAAAACTAACCGTATGAATCATAGGGATCGATATTAGCTGCAGGCATAGACCATACTTTTATCACATTATCCAATCCCCCACTATAACAATATTCTCCATTTTTACTAATAGCTAAGCAAAACACGGGTCCTGTATGGCTTCTAAACGTATATAATGGCTCTACATCTAAAGATGCAGATCTAAAAAACACATATGTCATAAGTTAATATGTAATTTTATTTAATATAAATTATTTATAAGTTTTATAGAAAACTCTTAATAATTACTTTTTTGGAGCAATAGTTTTTTGCAAATTCCAAAGTTTCATGGTGTGGTCTTCACTGGCAGTTATCAAAATGGATTCGGTGGGATGGAATGCCAAAGCACGTACACCATCAAAATGACTACGTAAGGTAAACTTGGCGTTCCAAGTCTTGCGTGATGCAGTTTTCATATCTGCAACCTATTGGAATTAATAATTCTAATTATTTGGTGTCTTTGGTGATCATATTTCTATACAATATCAAGATTGCCAATTTTATCTAGTAAAACTGAATCCTATTGTTTTATTTATAAAGTTAAATATTAAATTAAAATTTGTGTAATTTGCAATAAATAGGTCTATAATTTGTGATATTGATTAGACATTTATTTTCAATATCACAATCAAATATTGGAGCAATTTCAAGAATACAGATAAACAACACAAAAAAAAGAAGACGCTCTACTAATTATTACATTTTAACCACAAACTAAGCAAGGGCAAATAAATTAAAAAATCATATTTAGGTGGTTAGGCTTGTATCGTTTAAGATGTAATGCCAAGCTATGGGTGAAATAAAAATGCATGACACTTACATCTATATTGCTTTCTGATTCATTGTTAACAGTAAGTTGGGCTAATTCTCCTAAACCTAAAGCTAAATCCATATTGCCATCTACCATTTCAGTTGGTTCATTTTTTATCCAATTTACATCTCTTGAACTCTTATTATATATTCTATCATCTTTATCTGCAATTTCTAAAATTACAAAATTAATAAACAGTCCAAAAAGTTTTTATTAAAATAATATATGTTAATAAAGTTGACAACGTACTCCAATCATTTTGTTCATTTTCTTTGTTGCTCATATCTTCTGTTAATAACTGGAGTTCATTTACTACTTCTTCAGCCTCTGCATCAACATCGTCGGGACCAAACTAAAAATATTAAAATTATAATGTAGCTTGCACAATTAAGAAGAGTACTACTTACTTTACAAATGGATGTCATATCAATCACATCATCTGTCATTCCCATTTCATCATCATCGTCATCATCGTCGTCATCATCATCAACTCCATCATCTTCCATATCTACATCACCGGACTCGCTTGAACCACGCATTGTAGATAAAAATTCAAAATTGGCCATAACAGCTGACTCAGCGTCTAATAATTTTTTTTGATTTTGCTGTTGTTGCTGCTATAAATAATACATGGAAATACAACAAAATTAAATTTGCTTATAAACCAAAATGTTAAACTGGATCCATAGTAAAGGCTGATGCTAACGTTCGAAGCAAATGCAATCAAACATTTGTAGTTATCACTAAATGAACGAATGTTAACAAAGGCCTGCAAGCGGTTCATTTGGCCACATTTGGTATATAGTGTGCTTCATAAAACCTACCCGTTTAGTTGGTGAACACTGTCCTTGATTGTCACTAAAACGTTTGTTGTAGTTATTGCCATTAACCTGATTGTTGTCACTTTGACCTTGCTCACCACTATTAGAATTGTTATTATTGTTATTTAAACCCAACAAGCCACGCACACGGGATGACCGGACATCTATTATGGTGTCCGTATAACCTATCTCATGCAGGTACCTAAAAATCAATATGGCATTATAAAAGTAAAATAATGACAATTATGAACACATTTTAACATTAAAACTTACTCTCTAAGTAGTTGTCTTCCTTGTTTCCAACTGACATTTGTGACAGATGATAATGGAGCTTCTGTATCTGCACTGACTTCAGGTGCTGAAGGATATTCTTCTAGTGCACCTCCAGGTGATGCTGAAGTATGCTGCATTTCTGTGTAAGACATATCCGTTCCATATTTCAATTTATGGTACTTTGCTCTGGAAATATTAAATTAAAAAATAATTCCAAGACTTCTCTTAAAAATTTTAATAAATATTCCTTAAAATTTATATTACCTTTCATTTCGAAGTGCATATTCCAACATCTGAATTCGGCGAATCAAATCATTTTTCAAATTGTCTTGACCCTTTCTCTCGCCTTGAAGAAATGCTATTCTTGCCTACAAATAGTAGATTATTATTATTTATAAAAACAAATTATCAACAATAAACTTATAAAAGATTATAAAAGTACATAAGTCCCCGATGATTAACATTTGATTATTCTTTAAACTAAATAATCAAATTACTAATATTAAATTGTTAAAGTAACAAATAAAGTTACTATAATTTTGACTTGTTTGATTATTTACTTGATGAAAATAAAAATGTATTTAACATGAGTTTTTAAAAAAAAATTAAATATATTAATCATCTGTCATCAATAAAATAATTCTTTATTCAGAAAAAAATGAATTTAATAAAATACATTTTTTTTTTTAAACTAATAACAAACCTGCAATTCAGCCCTGTCAATTTCCCAATGTGACCTCTCCAGCTCGAAGTTAGACCATTCGTGTTGTATGTAGTGCAGAACACCAGGCATGGTATATTTCACTTTGCTGCTAGGACCACCTAGTCCATCACTACCATTATCGCCTTTCTGGCCAAATCCTCCACCAGATTGTTGCATTTGTTGCTGTTGATGCAGTTGCTGTTGTCCGCCTTGCTTGCTGCCGTTGTAAGACCCGTCATCCATCATCATCATATTAATTGACGGCAAAACGTTATACGGTGCGGTCGGGCCCCTCATGGAAACGCCATTTCATTGTTAGTATATTTTTTTTACAGACAAGCTCCACACAGATAAAACTATAATCACTGATAAAACGATCTCGGCGGCAAGTTCTTGTAAGTACAAGAGAAAACCACGAACGACCAACAATTAGAATATCCTAAAGTTATCAAATGAAATTCCAAAACGAGTTTGGGAAACGCACCAAAAAATGAACAAAACCGAACGAAAACGATCACAAATTTATTCTATCACTGGTCCATCGCTTGACGTAATTCTTCTCTCTCTCTTTGGGAATGAATGTCAATTACTTACATATATATATTTATTTATATATATATGTACGTAATCTAATTTAATGCTATGATATTGTTATTATAGTATCCACTTTGCCTTAGAGATGACGATTGCGCGCGTCCTCCGGCGCCGCTGCGTTTTCGAATGACGGCCACTGTATAAAGATGGCTAAACCAACGTTACGAATAGTTTTCACTTGTATAAAAATTCACCAAGAATGTTTTCACAAAAAATTAGGTTTAAGCGAACAATTAAAATTAAAAATTAATAAAACCTTGGACAGTAGACTAAACGATATACGTATCAATGTGCTGTAAGAGTATATAGGTATATTAAACCGTATAAGAAAAAAACGTAGTTGCCATTTGTCACGAAATCCGCCGTCGCCGTGAACACAGGCCACAGCTCATCCGACAAACATTGCTGCTGGCAGCCAATGCTGCCAACCGAGGGTGTTTCGGATGCATTGGTTCTCAAATGATAATAACACTGGTGATTACCACCGTCTAGGTAGGTACGGCCTACGGGGTCGGGTACCATTTTAATGTAAAAAACATTAAATCAATTTTTCCTTGCCTGGCCGCTCTTACTTTTTCTCGGCCGCCGACTTTTTAACATGCCAAGCATATGCTTACTATATCTGGTTCATATTATACATTTTGACTCTTAGAGTTTGTCTCTAAAAAAAAAAACTGCTCGGAAAACGCTATAAATTTTACGATTTATATACCATCGTCAAATAAATACTTAGTTAAATAGTTTTTTAAAATTTATTTTACAGAATTAATTCCATTTGCAATATAAAATAGCTAAGTAGCAATTACAGCGGTCGACAATATTACAACTTCTTAATACAAGTACCTATACTTACTCAGCTATTGGGATTACCCTATTCAACAACTACAGTTTAAGTTCATTTGTTCATCAGAATTCATTAAGTTACAAAGGAAAGGGGGTATTCCCCCTATCTCCTATCCTATCTCCCATCCCTTATCTCCTACCCCCTGTAACGCTTTTGTAAAGAACGCTTTTTTGGTAACACTTTTTTCGGTTATGTGCCAGATCTAAGACATGAAAATGTCAAAACTATAAGCGTATTTAGGGGGAAGAGCTTGGGAGTAACCCCCAATATTTTAGACTATCTGAATTTTAAAAATATTTTACATAAACAATTGTTACGAAATTAAAAATTAGTATTTATTGTCAGATAAAAATAATTTGTATTGTTTATGTTTTATGGTGTGCCTCCAACTTTAGTAAATGTATTTTTTATACACAATAATGAGTTAAAATTTTAATATTAATTATTATGTCGTTCAGGTTAAAGTGTGCTTATTTTATTGAACTATTCATTGTAAATAGTAACACAGATAAGGTTTATCTAATCTGTGAACATGACTTTATATTTTCTGGGCATCCTGTGGAAGATCATTTTTAACAATGGGGCGAAATAATACTTACCTATATACGTTACTATGCTCTATGAATCAAAATCACAGGCCCTTTTAAATAGGTGTAGTAGAAAGGGATGTATCTAGTAATGTGAACCCAAACGATATTATAGAGATATACTCTAAAGAAAAAATAAATTTACTATTATAATTAAAAAAAAATTTCTGTAATATTAAATATTACAAAAAATAAAAGCAATTTAATTTAAATATAAATATTAAATTTTATATTATGAATTATGATATACTTGTATACCGTAATTATCATCGATAACATAAATTGCTGGTGATATAGAGGAGGACAAATCCCCTAAAACTTCACATTCAAAAATTCCCCCCAACAAATTTAATCACCCTACGCCTTAGGTGAAACAATGATATTGTGTATGGAAATTCAAAAAGGCTTTGGTACGCTATTTAAATATCTATAAATCAGCCATTTCAAAAACTTGATTAAATTTGCGTTTATGCTAACAAGTAATAAATAATAATACTGTAATATATACTTGACAGATCACAAACAAAGGACTTAAAAAACCAGCCTATCAGGGCTGAAACAATCGAAGGTTTAAACGAATTACTAACATCTGTGATCTAAATTCCGAGTGTTCAATTTGTTTTAAAAACCGTTATTTTTTCGATGTGAACATATAAATCGTAAAAATATTAAACGTCAATAAAAACCACTATAATATAGTACGTGAAGGTTCCTTAATTTTTTATGTATGATTATGTAGCGGAACCAGTTATAGGTTATTGATTTTTTTTAGTATTTCTCCAAACAACTGTCGAGATGATTTTAATATAGGTGACTGATTTGTACAAACAAAATATTTTGTTTATTCTTTACCATACGAATAAATAAATAATGTGTTCAAGGAGAATCTACACGCAGTCAATTCATCGCGGTATAATTTGGCCGCATGCAAATTTATGACAAACACAATTGGTATTTAACATTTACTATTATTTATAATAATGTGTATATTTCTATACACGTACTGTGTATAATCATTAGAATCAAGTGAACTTTTTTATTGTTAAAAATAAAGTACCCTAAACAATACAGAAAAAATTGCACAAAAAAATAAGTGTTCAAATTTAAAAATTAAACGGTTAACGGTGTATTGGTTTCTAAACGTTTCCTATAGTTACTCTACAATTTTTCGATTAAGTCAAGACGTATAATTTATGTACTACGAAATAGGACGGCTTAATAGTTATTGATATCAATATATCATCATGGGTGTGTGCCGTGTCTCCTTAAATGAATAATTGGCTAGCTGTCGCCTGTCTGTTATAATATGCTACTACTGTCAAAAAAAAAAAAAAAACCATGCTATTGCGTCTGTGGATATTATTCATTTTGAACAATCATAAAAACTCCGAAGTCCGTAAATTTATTTACATTATTTATGATAAAAATAAATAGGTATCTGGTATTGTATCTATTTCTTCATATTATTGACGTTTATAATAATTAAAACTGATGTAAAAATAAAAATGTGCTGTTTGTAAAGTTATGTCAACATATTATATAAATGTAAATATGTCGAGTAAAGCTCATATCGATGGTGATACGGCAAAAGGGTCTAAGCGACATATTTCATAGTTTTCAGGATGGCCACTATTTTTTTTTTTAAGTTCCCAATAACTTTTTTTTAGTAAGAATTAGGAATTTTTCAATCATATAATATAAATATAATATATATGATTTATAATATATTTTTCTAACCAATAGTACAAGCCGCGTCGCTGAGACCCGAAGTGTCGCTTAGACCCTTTTGCCGTGTCACCATCGATATTATGATTTATTAAATTTTTAAAAATTTCTTAATTTAAAAAAATAAATTTTAACCTCAGTTATAAACACAGCTGTAAGTGTTACAGACAACAGTCAATATGATTCTGTAATTTGGGGCTATAGTCTGCACTCTATACATTCACTATAGATGTTATTATTGTTAAAACTTAATTTGATAAATGTGACAAATTGTTTTTGCAACAAATTTATTCAGGACTCGATAGTCACGGCATATTTGCGGTTTATTTATAAATATAATATAATATCTATGGGTGCATTACAACTTGCACAATTTTAAAAGTTTAGTAACCATTAACAGCAAACATTAATTTGTTTTGCTTTATTGTATTATTTAATACTTGGCAGCACTGCCTTGTTACATTCGGAGATTGTTTAAAATGAAATGAAAACTATGATAAGGTGATTTATCATTTTAATTTATCTCTTTATTATTAAAAAATATTGTATTTTATAATTTGTACAAATGTACAATTGTACGATTCAAATGATTATTTGTTAGAAAATAAAAATCGAATAATCAACTACGCTCATATAAGACTACTTTTTGTTTATTTATTATCTGTGATTTTAAATATTATAATAGTGAAGTAAGTGAACGTCTTCAAAAATATATTCTAATTTATGTTTGAACTCGATACAATTTTAGTTTCCTATATCTCTTCGTATATTTTTTTTCAAATCTTATTTACATATACTAACTAACATTGTCTAATTCATTATTTTATATCAGAAAAATCTGGTCATTGTAATATGTAGTATCTTGATTTTATTGGCAACATCGTCCGAAAAATATACTTGAACTGGTTCACTGGTCTAATTATTGAATCTCGAAAAACTGATTCATTGTGTTCAAAAGATTAACCGTTATGTGTTTGCATATTTAACATTTAAGTACAAAATCGTGGGAAAATGGGGTATACAATGACGCTTAGCTTGCCCTTGAGGCTTAAATTTAATTGATAATAATATTTGACTATAAATTAGATCCGAGCTTGAAAATGCTTTGAAACTTGAAACAATAAAATAAAATTACTTTAGTTATACATAACTAAGCATTATCATTATCTTACAGGACTGTCATTATGGAAAACAACCAAGAAGCTACAGTTACTAGACCAGAAGGTATACTTTTTATTATTTAATAATATTAACTTAACTAATCTTATTAATATTAAAATGTTTACATTTTAATTGAAATTAAAACTAACCTATTGTTTTTAGTTTCGATGGGTAGCTGAGAAGGTATTGTTTTTAAAATTATGTGTTTTTATTTTTTTGTGTCTGAGCCTACAATATCTTTTAAACTACTGTACTTATTGTTCTATGTGGTTAGTCTATAAATCAATAATTGTGTCTGAAAGATACTTTATTGGGGCAAACATTTCAAAAGTTCATTACACTTTAAAATCAAGAAAACTAAATATTAACACTACTTAATCTTAAAATTACAGCACACTAATTTTTTTTTAAAAACAGTCCAACTAATTCCAAATTTGTCTGAAATACCTTTAAGCATGATTGTTAGATAATACTGTGTAGGAAAATTTTTCCAGACTTGGGAAAAAGATGTATTTTAACATATTAATTTCTCATAATAAGTTATAGCATCTTCCATGACTGGAGCAAATGCGTAAAGATAGAAAATGTTCGTAATCTAGCATTCAAGCCTATTTATTTATTCCTAGTACTACCAATTTACAGTAAGAGCCCAGGAAAATATCATAAACTCTTTTCTTTATTTCACTTTTTTTAGTGTAGTTTTAGGGCTTATTGTCTGAAAATTAGACTGAATGTAGATGCTACATTATATACAATTTTTTCAGTAAATAAATTTGTTTATTAAAGAGATTGAAAGTGGTCTGTTTTTTAACGTTGTAGACCAAAAAGCCTGACAAAATTTTCAACTACTTAGGATGATTCAATTTCAATTCTGTAAAGATATACGAGTTCTTTGGCTACTTTACTAGTTTACGTAGGAAATTTATTTTTTATTTTTTTATGTAAAAAAAATTAGGTTTTAATATTAAACAAATTGCAAATTTAATTTATTGGAAAAGTTTGTAGTTTAATTTTTTTAATTTCAAGAAACATAATTTTTTTAAATAAAAATCGGTTTTTACATAACCTAATAAAGTAGTCAAAGAATTTGAATCTTTTCACATAAATGAAATCGGACCTTTCTAAGTAGGCGTAATTTTGTCAGACTCTTAAGTCTAAAATATCACCAAAATGGAGTTTAACTAATTAAAAAAAATTGAAAAAGTTAAAAATAATGGTACTTTGAAGCTACAAATTAATCTCTAAATAAATTGACATGGTTGACATTTATTAAAACCCCTTTTTTCTTATATTTTGTTCATATAAAATTCTTTAAGGGTTTAATCCCCATAAGATGGTTTCTTGACAAAATGTTATCCGAGATAGGTCAGTCCATCGCCGGAAAAGAAAGGTCGCATCTCTTTTTTATCGGACAATTTCTTAGCCGGCAAACAGAGCAGCTGTGTCTGAGTATCAAACTTTAGTCAGTAAGCACAAAACATGATGAAAATGTTATAATCAGACTTAGGCGTTTTTATTATTATTTAGAAGTGATAAATAAAAAAAAAAATTTGAGGTAATCATTTATTATTCAATTTAATTATGACCAAAATTATTTGTCATGTATAATATAAATTAATTATTTATTATTTATCAGTTTATTTATTATTACAAATATGTTTTTATGGGTTATTTTTTTAAATAACTTAAATTTTTTATCACTATCAAAACGTTATAATAGATTTTGTGTAAATATAAAGCTAGGCATTATCTATTGTTTATTGAGTTTTAAATACTTTTATTTGAAAATAAAAAATGATTTATTTTTTGTTAATCAAAAAGTTATTTATTATTTATTTTAATTTCTGCAAAACTCTGGCCATAATAAATTGGTTGTAATAATCTGATAAAAACATTGAATGTAATACATGTGGTCGAAAGAATACGTAGCCTATCCAAAAAGTTCACAAACTGATGCCATAATTTTTTTATTTTAGATAAATCATGGTAAATTAATAATTGCATTCCCTTCAAAATACTCTCCATTGGTTGTAAAGCATTTGTCCTATGTCCGTTTCCATTTCTTAAAACATCTTTAGAAGTCCTGAGAAGTTAAGCTCTTGAAAATGTTGGTGATCAGTTTCACCAAGTACTATTATGTTTTATTGTATGAGCTAATGTATAGAAATTGTGTAGCTAAATAATAAATTCTTTACAATATTTGATAATACAAAATACTGTGTTACTTGTTTCTATAATGATATAGTTCTTTAACATTTTATTTACAATTTTTTTTTTATTTTTAGGCTTAGAGCAGGACGAATTAATTATTCAGCAACATCGTGAAATTGAAAAAGAGGTAAGACTAATGTACTAATGTAATGACTAGTAGTTAATAAAGATTAAATTGTTATTTATTACACAATTGTTGTTTTAGATCTCCGATTCTATATTGTTAATTGGCCAAAAAGAAGAATTAACAGCTTTAGAAAGCGAATATGTGAATGATGCTGTTTATTTAACTAAAGTTCAAGATTTAAATAAAAAGTATACCTGTATGCGACGTGCAAGACCAGATGGAAACTGTTTCTTTAGATCTTTTGCTTTTGCGTACTTTGAGTATTTAATAGACCACAATGAAGAATATAAACATTTTAAAGAAAGAGCTCTAAAGAGCAAAGATGAACTTATTTCTTGTGGTTTTACACAATTCACACTTGAGGATTTCCATGACACTGTAAGATCTATCACTCAGTTATTATTAGTAACTATGTATATATTTTTCATGTCAGAAACAAAATTAGGTTTATGAAAAATTATTTTCAATTGCAACATTGATATGTTGCTGGGCTGGATATACTAATTTTTGTGTCGCCAAAATCGTGTAACCGATATAGCATCACCTGTTTGGCCAAGGGTGGTGTGAGAGGAAAATGTTTTGCATTTTTTTTCCCACCATTTTTTAAATTAATTTATCAAATAGAATGTAGTAAGAACATTGAACTATGAATATGTCGTTTCAATGCCCAATAACATATCCATGATTCAATGATTTTTCATGAAGTAGAGAAAATTAATATTTACTTAATTTTTTTGTTTTAGTTTATGGAAGTTGTTAACATGATAGGAGAAGGTCAACATGAAAAACTATATGATACATTTAATATGCAAGGCTATTCAGATTATGTAGTAGTGTATCTCAGATTAATTACATCCGGTCAATTGCAAAAGGACGCTGAATTTTATAAGCACTTCATCGAGGGAGACCGAACAGTTGTAGAATTTTGCCATCAGGTAATTGACATATTTGATGTATTTATTTATTGCTGTGTGTTGACCGAACACTTTGCGTTATTAGGAAGTGGAACCGATGTTCAAAGAAAGCGATCACATCCACATTATAGCTCTGAGCACTGCACTTAATGTCGGAGTTCGAGTTAGATATATGGATAGAGGCGAATCATCCGAAGCCATTGCCCATGATTTTCCAGAAGGCTCTCCAGTCTGTGTTCACCTACTTTACAGGCCAGGTCATTATGATATACTCTACAGTAGGCAATGATTTGCAACATGTTGAAAAATTGATGATGTTTAAATAAAGAGCAGTTTTCAATTTTTAAAATTGAAATATTCTGTTAGGACTGAAGGAAATGTTGTCTATATAATATACTAAAATAAATCACTTTAACATAGAATCTGTCGTTTCCCATTTGATATTAAATTTCTAATGAATGTTTATTTACAACTTAATAATTACAATTAATTAATGTTAATAAAAATTCAGGCTTATTTCTAGAGTTTTTCATTAAACGTTATAAATATTATATAAACAATTTCAAAATTAATATTTCTAGAAGTATTTTATTTTGTAATAATCAATCAAATAAAACAGTCTTGGTTTGAATATGTTTTTTTGTAGCAAACTAGCAACACTTATTATATAATTTAGATATTTCAATTTTCTCTATAGTTTTTAATTCTTTTCCACAATACTAATAATTTAGTACTTGTAGACCAGTGAGTAAAATCCTTATAAACTTGTAATTATGTAATACTCGTATAATGTGCAACGAGTTGATAACATAATATATTTGTAAATATATATCAAACATTGTGGAAATTTTATCATGTATTTATGTTTTGACAACAAACAAATTATATTGTAATAAAGTCCTATCTTCCTAGGTGTACAAATGTTAAATGTTAAATTTATTTAATCAAAATATATATATATATATATATATATATATTTAATGCTATGAATGACATTTTGAAATTGTATAGTAACTATACTATAGTTATTAATTAATATAGTTGCCTGAAATCCATATACATACAAACTGGAGAAAATTCCATAACAATTAACGAAAAAAATTATTTATTTAGACAAATCATAAAATTAAGATTTTATTTGTCATTTATTTGAAATATACGCAACTGAAAATATTAAAATTGGTATTTCAGATTACTATTTAAACTTAAATAGGTACATTTATACAGTTTTAATATAACATATAGCTTGAATATAAAAAGATGAAATTTGACTTGGATATTAACAATTAACCCTTAATAACTGGTCTAATATTTGTTTAACAATGGTAAAAATGTATAATTAATAAATAACAATATTTTAGGAACACACAACTACTAGATAATACATAATTCCACCAATTAAATAACAATAAAAAAACTTGAATTTTTATGTAATAAACCTTAGAAAATAGTTCTGAGATACGATTTTATCATTTTATTATTTTAAATTTGTATAATTACAGCTCATATAGTTGTTATATTACATAATATACTTGCTGACAATGTTATGTTTCAATCTATTATTGTTATGGTTAACATTCAGATCATTGGCCATTAAAATTTATGAAATATTTCTATGCAAGTATTAAATTATGTGTATTATACTAGAGTATCCAATAAATATTAGACAAATGCATTTTAGTTAAAATGTTACATACATACAATACAACTGTGTAGAATAACTAATTTTTGTTAGTTACAATAAATTAGTTTTTATTATTTAATAATACACAAATGCAAAGTATTATGACATGATAAAGTGTATTTTCTTGGTCACATATCTACGCACTATATTTTCAAAACTCAATACTTTAAATATTGATTTTTCTCATTTTCTTTAGATATATAAACGAAAATTCCTGCTCAGCTTTGCTTTGAAACTAATACAATAACGTTTTTACAAATAATACAAATTAGTTAACATAATCTGATGTATGTATAGTGATCATATACATTTTACAATAGGCCCGAAGTGTTTCTATACATAAGATGTGAATCTAAAAACATAAAAAATAAAATCTATTTTTTACCTATATAATTTTAATTAGTAAAACTTGTATTCCTGACACGGTACTTACATAAACGAAATTCAAGTTCATTCTCCAATAGAAGGTAGTGGTTAAATTTTGCATAAAAGTAATATTTTTGCTTATGCAGGTATATTATTATAATAATTTGTTTTTTATAGGGGTCAACAACTTAATACTTAATAACGTATATACAAACAAATAATTGGAACGAATTTTCCCTTCATTCCAGTTTTCAAATTTGTATAACTGCACAAGTAGTAGAATTTTAGCAATGCCATTATTTATACCTAATTCGATATTTAAAAAATAATGGTAACGGAAAACTTTTTATTTTGTTTTACTTAACGTGATTAATCGTCTTAATTGTTATTATGGTTACAAAAGACAATAATTATTAATTATCAGCACTACAAAAGGTTTTTGTTTGGTTATAATTAATTATCATAGGTAGTATCAAAACATTAGTATATCGGTACGGAGTTGGAGCCAGCTTTCCCCCATCACATTTCCTCTTCTCAATACTTGCTGCTATTGAGCTATTGTAATCAACAATAATCATAATAAACTTGGTTGTTTTTTCATTGCTAGATTTTAACGGATAAAAGTTATTTTACTAGGCTAGGCCTGACTCTTTAATAAAACCATTGTAAAACAAAACCTTATCAGCTTCGCATTAAAGCTAAAATTTAAAGGAGACCTTAAATGAGCTAGAGGAGGCTTAACCCCGGCTACTGCTAAATAGCACCGGCTTTGCCCCAGTTTGTTTTTACTTATTAGGATTTTAGTAATGGCTCAGTTATATATTTTCTTGTAGAGCTATCACGGCTCGATTTTGAACTTATAAATTCCCATTTTAAGTGTGCCAAACTACACAAGAGGGACATAAGTGTGGTTATAACTCGCAGTTCAATTCCATGTCGTTGTCCTCATATTATAAAGAAGTATTTTATTATATTATGGGTTGTACAAGAAATAAGCATCTTTAGTAACTATGTTCGTCGCTAACTCGTATTAATTCGCAAGAGCGATGTAACCGCATTTCAAAATAAATACATCAGCTCTCGTTATTGTCGTCGACCTTGTTAAAACTTAAAAGCGTTGAACTTCGGATGAAGTGTAATAATAGTATATTGAGAAACGTGTAAACAATCATGAAACCAACAGTTATTGTACTATAGTTTGAGTGTTTTTTTTTTTTTACATTTGAAAACAAAATTATATTCATATATAAATGGCAAGAGGACAAATTTCGTGAATTTCATATAACATACCTAATATATATTTTGCTATAGCGGGCGAAGACAGTGTATGTAAAAATACATAATAAAAGGAAACAAGACGGGAACGCATGTCTGAAAACCAAATTGCCATGTCCCCGGAATAGTAAGAGGATTTCGGTGGCATTTTGGTTCACTGGGTTTACAGTAGTATTGTCTAATAACACACGAGTTTAGCCGCTTGGGTAAACCTTTTATTCGCACTTGCATCCGTACGGCTTTTGCGCTCTTTATATTGCCGCGTTTCCTTTTTATTAAGGGATCAACCGGGTTTTACACGGCGAAATACGATTGCTTTGATACGATTTGACGAGATGCAACTAGATAATAATTTATCGTATAATATCTCATATTGTAATATGTTTTTACTGTTGATTTATCATAACGATTACAATATTTCGTTTATGGTACATCGAACGGCCGAGCTCATTTCGGCTGAACCTCCGTAATCATTTCATACATCCAATTTTAATAACGATGATAACATAATTTAAAATAACTATTTATATAATATACATGTAAGAATAACGGCTTTAATAAAACGAAGCGTTATTACAGTATTTCTCGAAAAAGATCACCAAAACAGTGCAGATCAAGGAAATCGCGTTGGCCACGAGATGTTCTCCTGTGGAAGTCGCTGTAAAAAAAAACATTTTTAACTTGTTACAGTTATGACTAGTATAGTTATACTCGTAATATAACAAGTAGGTATATTGCACTTGTACGGCACATTGTTTAGCTTACATAGTTTATAATAATGCCTGTAGCTGTATTATCTGTAGCCTACGAATAGTACTCAGAGGCATAGAGCATGTTAATATTACATTTCATCTCCCAAGTCTCACAATTGTCTAAAATCTCTACAAAACTTGTAATTACATTAATGTCTGTTTTATATATTATGTAATGGAATACGGCCAAACACTGGTGGGTGATTAAATCGTATGTGATGAGTACAGAGTATTAAGGTAACCTTTATTTTTTATCATTTAATAATATATTTTTTTTGTACTTTGAGTCATAATCATCATGTAGGCTTAACAGGCCTTGAAGGCCCAACACTGCCATCAAGAGACGAATTCACTATCTGGGACGTGTCGTGGCTCCTTTTTACTAGACGATTTCTTGCCTGACAAACGGAGCGCCCCTAACTGAGTGTCGAACAGGGAGCGTCAAACACACTGACCGCCTTACCGAACTGTTTCTATACACTAGGCCGAGTAATGTACCTTGTATTGTTTAGATGGTCAAGTACTCGACCAACGCTCGTCGCGTTTAAACTATGCTTTAGTTTTGTACTTGTAAAAAATCCGGATGTAAAATTATATACCGAGGTAATTATATGTTTGAAATAAGCTGATTTAGACCTAAACGATACCTGAATATATATAGGACACTCTGAACTGTAGATACATGTTTGCGATCAGTTCAAAATTAGTGTCATTGTTTTTGTGGTTACCTATCAATTTTTTTGTCCTATAGGCTGTACTCTGTAGCCATAGAAATATTTTATTACTGTTTAAGTACCGTAGCATAAAATACCGAAGACCCTGTAATGGCTTACCTTGGATTAGTAGAGTGCCCTTATTAGCCAGAGAACTCGTTTTCAAACCAGTGTCGCCGATTATCGATTGGGCAGGCCATCGTTTTACGAATTTCACAATTTGCTCGTCTGACTGCAAGTAAACCGATGCCAGGTGGGCCGCGCACTTCAAATGCATAACGCTACTGCTATCTGTCTGATGACTGGTCACTTTAAAGCTTAGTCCCAGCACGGTAGTCAAAAATTCTTCGGCGCTGGCATATTTGAAATACGGCCCGTGCAAAACCGACAAATTTGCCTGTAAAAAAATGTTTATGTTTACGAACATTAAACATGGTACGCGATTCGTGTACGCCTAGGTAGACGCATTTTCTTAAAGTTGGCTAATTGTAATCAGTAATTATAATGTTAGTTTAATATATAATCTTTATAATCACCAAAGTAACCCCATAGGTATTATTACTATATTAATTTAATTGTAATCACGAATACATTAATCATTAAGGTTATCATTATGATTAAAATTAACTTTAGTTTTAATAACTCGTATTATAATTGTTTAAAAAACTCTAATAATCACTCTTATGAGTATAAACATTATTTTTAGTCTATATAAATTATACTAGAAAAAACATAATGATACATCATTGATCCTTAAGATATATTGCCCAGGTTAAATTGTAGTAAAATCTGTTTATTTATATGTAAAATATGTAATAAAGAAAGTCTTGGAGCAATTAAATAAAATATTAAAATCAATTTATTCATTATTACTTTTTTGGTAACAGATTATTTAATTTGATGATCAAATAATCTATTACGCACAATACTCCTATTACAAAATATGCAGTAATAGTGGCATAAAAAATTATATTGGTTGGCTATTTATGTTATTATCTATTAATATGTTATTCAAATAAAATAGTTGGATCTCTAAGGTCAACATATGATGTATGGTTTTATGTACTGTAGGCTGAAAATTCAACATGACACTAATAATAAATTATTTATGTAGTGTACAATATATTGTATAACTGTTTGATTTTCTCAAAAAAATCTAGATAGGTGAAGTATTTTTAAAGGAATCGCCTCTTCGCTAAAACTTCTTTAATTTCCACTACTATTTTCATTAGCGTTTCATTGTAAAGACATTTTTTTTCTTATGCTCCCTAGAATTGTAAATCTTGGCCGTCCTTTCCTCTTTTTCTTTTTATTAAATTTCAATCGAAATTATCGTGCAGCATATTTTGTTCAATAAATTGTATTCTTCTTTTTTTTATCGTTTTTATGATCTGTCTAGGCTCTTGCATAATATTTAGCATTTCCATCCAGCTGATCTTTATCATTTTGTGCTACGTCTACAGCCCGGAATATCCTAAGTGTTTACATTTTTTAATGTAGTAAGACTCACTATATGTATCTACTTGTTAACATGTTTTGTTTCTTAACAAAAGAGTGTTTGGCTTAAGATATAAAGCCTAGGAAGCAGATTTTTTGTACTTGTTCTATGATTGCAATTGATATACTGATAACTCTTTTTTTAATATGTTCATCTACTATCATTAACTTTTATCTTCTTAGCATTTCTTTTCAGTTGAAGCTCTTCTAAGGCTATTGCCAATTTTTTTTAGCATATTGTTAAATTCTCGTTTATTTTCCATTACTTTTGCTTTATCATCTACAAATCGAATTCTGTGTATCTATTTTGGTTTAATTTAACGACATTAATTCTTGACTTTTTTGTTAATTCTTCAATAAAGGTATTAAATGAGAAAAGCGACAAAAAAACAATCTTGTACCTATTAATCTTTTTATGAAACACTCTTTCTACGTCCATATTTTCAATTTTTGAGTTTTGATGTTTGTGTAGTTGGAAAATAACTCGTTTATGTTTCCAACCTATACTTATATCCTTCATTGTTTTAAATATATGTTTTCAATCTACGTTATCGAACGCTTTTTTGATGTTCACAAACACAACAAAGTTTTATGTGTAAGTCCGTCACTTTGTTATGGCAAATAATTATCATTCTATTTGACGCAAAACGTTACAATTATATGTATAACCGTACATGCCACACCGAAAACTTCCCATGAGCATTGGTTTCCGGTTTTGTATAAAATGTTTGTACCGAGAAAATAACAAAAAAATCGATGGACACTCGACAGTCGAAGTTAGATTAAAATGAAAGTTTACCTAATGTCCAAATATATAAACATGGGCGTTGTACGTATGTATTTGCACAAGTACAGTGTGTATACTGGTGTACATATATACCCATAAAATGTAATAGACCAAAGTGTTTACAGTAAGAGCAAACAACGAATAAATCAATTAAAAATTAATTATACGAGTGCAGGTACCACTAGCGATGTTTATGACAACACATGAACGGCTGACTTATTATTTTCATAATTGCGTTTTAATATTTATAGCTGATATGTTATTTATTCAACAAATAAATTTAATAATAAGTTGTGATTTGTTGGTTCTGAGTTCGTAGAAATTAATTGAAAATGATGACAGTCAATTTCCCCTCGAAGTCTTTCGAAGTAATTCACTGCAATTTTCCATTCTCGTTGTTTCTAAGCTTAACTTTAAAAGAAACGACACAATATAGTTGTATTATTAATATTATAACATAATTATGTTTTATTATTGGCCATAGGTAATAAAACCAATAGCTCGTAGTTGGGCTTAAATAACTAACTTAATAAAAAAACTTATTTTGTTAATGACATTATTATTATTATACAACCAAATTCCAGCTTAGCTTTTTAAATTTTCCAATGTATAAATTCCTCCTCATAGCCTTTTTATCATCCTTTTATATCGTTCTTTATTTTTTAATAATAGTTTCTGTGAGAAAAATATGTTAATCACGGAGTTTACGTTTTGTGATTGGATGGAGTAAATAAAAAAAAAGAAAATTGGTGTTTTAATTGTTGAATGTATTTATTTAGTCTATGTATTAGATTATTAAATTTATCTTACCATAAAACAACCACAATTAACAATTACCGAAGAGACAAGCAGAAGCACACACACTAATTATATAATAAGATGTGTGTTCATTCAACAGAAATTGCATCCATAATTGACACAAGTATTTGTCAAAAATTTGAAAAATAATCTGCTTTTAATTTACCGGGGACAATTTTAAAGATATAACGAACGTATTAATAATTTTGTTTTCAAGAGACAATGTCATAAAATGTTATGAATTCTCAAATAAGTTATGAAAATATATTTAGAATTTAATTTGGCTGTTGAGCTAATTTGATGAAATAAAACAAAAACGAATCTCGAATTGTCAAGAATGATTCTGAGTACAGACGAAGTTCTTAGAATAAAATCAAAAAGTAAGGAAACTTAAAATTAACTACATGACTATCTACTTCTAAAATAATGAAAATTGACGTGATAGGTACTTTGGCGTAGCTGTTTTTATAGCTTCTGCAGCTGTTAACACTTCAATCAAATGCTTTTTAAAATAAAATGTCGCCTTAAGTACTCAGGTTTAGATTGGTTAAGACTTACTAAATCTATACCTTTACAAAGATTAAAGATTATATTATTTTTACATATTGTCACTAAGATGACGATGAGCAAAGTATTAAAGAAAAACCATAATTATTTACTAAGTAGTAAAAATGAAGTTTATGCATTGAGTATGTAAATAAGGCAAATTTAAAAATAAAATAGTATCTTTAATAACCCTGGGTTGCTATAAACTATTTCAATAGTTTAAGAAGTGACTTGACTGGCAGTTGTAGATTTAAGTTTAAACATGTCTGCGTGTAAGGTCAGACTTCTGCCGCATTTATTCGTGTTTGGAATCTTAAAAGTTTTGTTTGTAGCCCCGGTAGATGATAAAACATGGTTAGATATGACGTAAGACTAAAAATGTAAGTTTGTTTCATTGCGTTATAAACTGTTGTTAAAAGAAATTAAATTTACTAATAATTAATAAATAATAAATGTATGATTTAAAAAAACTACAAAAAAGAAGTAAAGCTTAAATAAATCATGTAACGTTACTTATATGTGGAGGGAAGGCGGAAGCGTTTGAAGAGAAAGGACTGAGGATTAGTTGGAGTAAAACGGAGACAATCGTGTTTGATTTTGAAGAAAGTTACAGGGCACGACAGATAATGCAGATGGGTGATGATGAAATGTGCGAGGTAACAGGTTTAAGTACTTAGGATCGGCGGTACAAAAAAAAAATGGTGGGTACGAGGAGGATGTAAAAAATAGAATAAATTGTCGATGGATGAAGTGGTTTGTGTAACAAGAGAATGCCTATAAGATTGAAAGGTAAATTTTATAGATCGGTAGTGAGGCCAGCAATGATATATGAGTCGAAATATTGGGCAGTAGATAAGAAAACTGAACAGAGAATGAGTGTAGCGGAGATGAGAATGTTAAGATGGAGTGACTAAGAAAGATAGAATAAGAAATGAATACATAAGGGGGAGTTTAGGGTTTGCACCAATTGTGGAGAAAATAAGAGAGAATAGGCTGAGATGGTTCGGTCATGTTATGAGAAGAGATGAGGCAGAGGCAGGGAGAGGTGTTATGAAGATGAATGTAGAGGGAAAATGAGGAACAGGAAGGTCAAAGAAAAGATGAATGGACGGAATAGAGAGTGATACGAGGATAGCTGGGATGTTTCAACAAGATGTAGAAGGCCGAGCTCTATGGAGGTGTAGGACAAGGTGGCCGACCCCATGTAGTTGGGAGTGTAAGGCGAAGATAAAGAAGAAGATATTTAAAGATATTAAAGTATTATAATATCGAATAAAACCTGTCAGAAAAATAAAAACAAATAATTCCAACAGACGAAGACTCCCTTCACTTTCCAACACTAAAAGTTTTACATTGTATCTACTCAAATTAATTGATTATTTTAGTTAAAGAAAAAAAAGTATGACTTTAAAAAACTAACAAAAGTAAAGACTCACTTAAGAGGATGTCACACATCCGTTATTTTCTTCAAAAAACCCGCCTTGCGCGGATTAAATTGTAAGTTGTAATATTATTAGATTAGTAATAAGAATTCTATTTAGGCAGTTAATTTATTTTCCCGACTACCGCAGCATCTTTGTCATCAATTTTAAACATTTTTTTCATCTAAACATAGTTTTTTAATTAAAAAAACACGGCTTAATGGGTGGTTTTAGAGTAAAAAACCTAGTTTTAAATGTTGTAGGTAAGAATTTTTTCTATGTTTTGTTGGAAACCAATTTTCGATAGTTGGTTTGGATATGGAACAATATGGCATAAAGCAAGGGCATATTTTTAATTATTCAAATGTATATATCTTAAAATTAAAATCTAATTTTTTAAATCTAATTCCAACAAATCATAGTTAAAGTTCTCATCTTTCAAACAATTTATAATTTATAGCCCTGCGTGCATTGTAGACTTTATACCATTGGAAATACAAAAGTATTATTTTGGTGCTATTATTTTAAGGTGAGACGTCCCGACAGTAAATATTATATATTAATGGTATCGTTATAATAAGTATATTCCTGTAATTAATTTTCAAACTATAGTTAATTACATTAGGTTGTGCATGTTTGTATTAGCATGTAATAATTGAGAAAATACTGGTTGCCTACAGCTGTCATTAAACTTACAAACAAATATCTAATAGCATATATTTAAAATATATGGTCATAATATATTTTTTAGTTTTTCATTTTATAAAATTTTGTTTGTTTCATATTCTACTGAAGTTCATTTTTTTTTTATTAACTATTATAGCACTGATTAATAGCTACACACCTACCTAAACAATAACCATTGTGTTTATTTGCGGAGCACTGTTTAATCAAAGCTAATTGTTTGAGTGTTTCTTTTTTTGTGTACAAACTTCAAACAGGGTTAACGAACTGGCAACTAATTAAAATATAATGTACCCACGCTAAAGCACACAATTATTGTTCATATTTTATTATATGAAATATAAGTAAGTACTTGCTACAAATAAATACACAATTAAATGGTTTGAAATTAGATTTGACTATACATACCAATAATTTGTTCATACTGTGTGTCATAAGATACAAATTATGCAATAAATTATTATTTTTTAATTATTATTATAATTTAACAATTGGTAATTTATGAGAAAATAATATTATTCTTTATATTATCATAATATTATATTATTATAATTCAACATGTCATTGTATCTAACTGTTATTAATTGACAACATCGTATAAGTAGCAATAAATAAATTAACTCACAGATAATAAAATGTATACATTTTTTTATCATTAGAACTTCTAAAAAATGAAGAGATTTGAATGCAATTTTTTTAAAAACATTTTGTGCATAAAAATATCTCTTCCTGAATAGAGGAAGACAAAGACACTTATAAAAATAAATTCACTGGTAATAAGTTTTTGAAATAGTCATTTAAAATAAAAAGATTAGAACAGTATTTCAATCATTTAGTAATCATTGTGTTGCACATGGATCACTGTAGGTTTAAATCGATAATGAATCTAAGGTCTTATAATTTAAAGTCATAAATGACATTCATTATAATTAACCCAATTACGATGTGGGCTGTGGACACCTTCGTTAAGCATTTTTTCACACAAATATAAATTGTTGAAATAATTTTAATGCTAACATAATAGTATTGTATTAATGAAAAACTGTTTTAGGAACTATTTACGGATTTTTTTCTTTAATTTGTATGTATTAAAAAACGGATACATATTATGTTATGTATATTCTATAGGAATATATTTTACCTTAGGTTATTTCCTCGTAGTCTATAAAACGCAACATAATTTTTTTTTTAAATACTCAAATCCGCGATCACCAGAGAAGCGAAACCCGTTTATACAGTCATAACGGTTAGCGTTCCGGGTTATCAACTTTTCTTGCTTGTTTTTAAATTGTATTTTCACATCTTAACACGAACGGACAACGGTACGTGTTTAAATTTTAAACGAAATGTAGTTAAGTTTATATACCTTTTCTTCGTTTATGTACCAAACGAGTTGTGCGTGAGGCGATCTCGTCGTGTTTAACGTGCAATTGGCGAGGACTACATCTCCTGTAGAGTATTCGGATAGAAGACCGTCTATCCTTGGACTTCCATCCGGCATCGCTAAAAGAAATTATATTGCTAAAATTATGTTTAACATTTCTACTAAACAATCTCAAATTATACTTATAAACTGTGATTAACTGTTTCATGCTCATGATAGAATTGTATATTAATAAGTTAGTAATTAGTAAATATGTTTAGTATGAGCTTAATTTGGATTTGAACAAATTATTAAATTTGATGGGAATCTAAAACAAGTATACAACTGAAATATAGATAAAAGGTATATAATATAAAACATTTTGTATTTCCCTTAACTACACCATTGAAATAAGTTAGTGGTTTAAATTATATTGCATGAGTAGCAATTTCCATAATAATATGCAAGACGCTTAAGCCTGCAGATGCTAATGTTTTGGTTTTGTGTAGATATACATTATGTTTAACTGAAAGATCATAACTTTAAACCACTAGATATTAAGGTATTCAACTGTTTTTTTAAGACGTATTTATATATATAAAAAAAAAAATACAGCACTTTTTTCAGTCATTATTAGCCAAAATAAAGCTATTATTACCTAAATTCATACCACAGTAACGTTAAGTCTAGGCTATTATGTCAATGAATAATCACCTATATTAAAATATTATAATACCTGCTTATAATATAGATCTTTGAAATATATGCACGCAAATGCCCGTGGAGATTGTAAATTTATTGAGTTTATATATTATTAAACAGACATAGTATAGACTATTAGAGCGATTCGGTGTACCAGCGTTTCATATTACAATATTGTACTATAGAATACGTTTTATTTTTTTAAATAATTGAAAAAGAAAAAAATGTTTGTCCTAAAATATATTTACTTTAAACTGATATTAATAACAAAGAAAATGTCAATCATAATAAATATTCTGTTATTTCATCAGCATTTTTTCACCAATAATGGATAACACTAATAATAGTAATACAGAATACTAATAATGAATACTGTATGTGCAGCCATTTTAATGCACATACCTAATTTTAAGTTCTACCCTAACGAGCAGATAATTTATTTGGCGATAATCGTAGCACATGTACAGAATGCCCCACAACAATTTAATCTTGACAATTTTTTTTAAAAAAGGGTAAATAAAAATCGAATTGTAATCTATTAAATAAAGTGTTTACTTGTGGTTATAGTATGCAGTTCATTTAAGTTGCATTATTAGGTTAAATGTATATACATCAGATTAACTATTCAATAAGTATGATATTGAACGTTCGACTTACTCATGGTGACCATATCTCTGTCTTGAAAAACTGTTTGAAACGATGGAGCTTCCGCGGAAACTTCACATCTATAAGTACCGCTGCTTGATAACTCCAACGAATTAAGCACAACATCGTTTGCGTTTGATTTATCGATCTGAAAGACACAACAACAAAAATAAACAATATATATATTATGCTGTATTTGAATATCGCTGTTAGTTGCCGCTACTAGTTGTACTGTTGACACGCGTGGTATTAATTTGCCTATACAATACCCCGTTTTACAAATGTTTTGCAATGACTTCTGCAGAATGTCAAAATACAAAATCAATTTAACGTAACAAATATTTTGATTTATCAGGGAGAATACAATTTTAGAATTTCGTAGTGTATGATAAAAAATTGAATTAATTACTCGTTACTGTTTTTTAATAACGCACAGCTCTGACGTGCATATGTGACGTACAGCATACATTATTGTAATTCGTTTTAGTAATTGAAAGTAAACAATTATGTCCGCTAACCTTAAAATACATTAAAATGGTTATTCTAGAATTATTATTAAAACAACGTTACATATATACATACAATGTATATTATATGTATATTTTTACAACATACACATATTAACCACATTTATAATATATTTATCAAAAAAAGCATGACCTCAGCTGCACGGAAGTACATAGGAACATGGATATGTCCTAATATATAAGTACAGGACCCTAATGATTTTTGGTACTTTCTAATATCGAATGTTTTTTCTCTAATCTCTTATCTTTAATCTATTATCTCTAATATTATAATTTATATATATATATATATACATACCCATGTTAATAGTACTAGGTAATACTAAATTATAAATATTAAATCTGTGGATTGGGTCAAAAAATACTTACTCACTTTTTGTCATTTTTGGCCAACGAATGTTTCAGTATACTATTAATCAATAAATGCTGGTAATCGTTGTACGCAGCTGAGTGCTAGAAGTTGGCAAATATATACTATCGGAAAAAACATTCTTATACATTTTTTATGAGATTAGAATTACAGTTTTGGAAAATAGCACCCTTACTTATGTATATACCACCAATATTTACTAGATAGTTTTTCAAAATATGTTTTGTAACCTTTATTTTTAAATACTACAACTTAAGTGAAAAATTAATTTTTACAGCGAAAATCACAATTCTGTTCATATTTTTGTTTATGAAATAATCCTTATCGTTCTAAAATCAGCAATTTTGGTTTATTATACTGTGTGTTTATAATTATAGAGAAACAGTCAAATTAATATTTAATAGGTTTACCGTTATTAATTCTCGCACATACACGTACGTCGGATTTTAAATTTAAATAATAATATATCGTATGAACTAGCGTATGGTTGATACTTGATTGTTCAGTGAGCGTTAAATCCTGAACCCATTTAGTTTACTGAAGGAAAAATAATTAAATTTAGATATCGCATACCCTCGGCCTAAAATTACACACTCAAAAATTGGGACGACAAGTGAATATCGAATATCGTACCTGCTTAATGGCTTTAATGCCATGTATATCTAGTAAAATCAGTGATATGCTTTTAATATTATAACGTGATGAATATACAAAAAACAATAATTCTGTCGACGTTTAGATTCTTTACCGGCGAAATTATGTAGTGGCGACAAGTCTAACTTCAACCTTAATTAATAATTATGTGAATTACAATAAATAGTTAATAAAACGCACATTTGAATACTAGTTACGTTACTTGTAAAAACTACTATTAAAGTTTAGAAGAGCCGCTGCCAATTCATTGTCAAATAACTTGCTTAAAAAATATTCTACTTATACTAACTATAAATTAAATCACAATAATATCAAAAGGAAATAGGTCGTCAGGGTAGCATAAACAAAAAAAAATCTCTTATAAAAGACTACAAGTAACAGGAATATTCGACTGATAACAGAAAAAATAGTAATAACTTTTATAACTATTGAGCTAGAAGCCGAAATGTTTAACATATGTCGAGTTAAGCCAACAAAAAACTAGTTTAATTTCAGTTATCCACGTTAAGTATATTGCGGGAAAAAAATTCAACGTAAAAATTAAACCCAATCATCTGATCACTCAATTACCACCAAACTTTAATCAGTTCATCTAGACAACCGAACAAACATAATGATAACATTTTAGGAAAAAAATTTAACTTGCATAGTCGCTATCGAAGGCCATAATAACTGCAGAAATTATTAAACGAACACGTTCACAAATTATCTACCTTAAATCACTTAAAACATTAAACAAATATTACAAACATTACAAATAACACGAGGACGTGTGCGTGGCACTTATATAATATCGAACCCGTTTAGTTTAGGTCTAGCATTAGTTTTTTAGTATGAATCATAAATTCATATATAGGTACTTATTTGTTCCACGCTCGCATACGTATTATATTGTCTGTGTTCAATGTTTCTTCGATTAGTTTATTGTTTTATAATATTGCCGGAGTTCATTTCGACATAGTGTATCACACTTAAAACAAAATAACTTAAACCGCTCGCCGAATACATTCGGCAGACGAGCAAAATAATAATACAATATACTGTAAATCAGTCGAGAATGTCCGGTCAAATAGTGTGCACTTCTGAGTTCCTCGAAATTGCACCAAAAGGGTTTTATAGGGGTATAAAGTTAAATGTAATTACGTAGAAGCAAACCGAATATTGCCACCGCTAAGTTCGAGTTTATTATTTCCATATAAGTCCTTTGTCGTCGTTATTTCACGGTGTTTAACATAAAATATATTATACAATATACCTTAAGTCCTGAGACCTACCCTGTAGCCTATGTATATTAGTGGCAGGCTGGATATTTTTAAGACCTAAATCATGTATTTCAATAAAAATAATAAAAGAATAATTTATGAACAATCGAATTGTGCGCATTATTCGAGTTATTCAATAAATCAATTATTAAATTCATTTTTCAAATCGAACACTTTTTAGGTTCAAATCAATTCATCATTATTCGCACAACTCTAGTGTATCCCTATTGTGTTGTTTTGTATTTTATATGCTAATAAGTGTTCTGTGTTTTTATAATACAAGCATGTTATTTTATTGTTATAACTTATGCATGCAGGTTTGTAAAAAATACAAAAATTCAAGCATGTATGATGTCTATATTGATTTATAAAGTTTGCGGAGAAGGGAATTTTGTAGTAACACTATGTCAAAAGATAAGGATTTTTTGACTAATCGACTAATTTTTTAGTGTGCAAAAAACGGGGTTTCTCGCCGGTTCCTAACATCTATCGTTTGTTCTACTGAATAACCAGAAAGTTGATATTTGACATATTTGTTCCTCAAATACCCTTTTAAAGAACTAAATCAGTAATGGTTTGATTTTCCAACCTTCAAATTTTGAAATTGACCGCGCATCCCTTAAATGTCAAAGTCATGATGAAAGAAACACATAGAAGAAATTTATCAGATAGTTGAAAGTAGAGTAAGGTTAGTTCTTGTTAAAAATGTCTTGTTATATTCACCCCAGTGTTGGAAATTATTTATATAAAAATATAGAGCATAAAATATACAACAATAAATTTACACAAATATTAATACACGAAGTAAGTAAATCGTTAATTATATTTTAGCAGAATTTTGTCTAGCTCTTTGTACCATGTTGATTGTTAGTGATAATTACTTAAAGTTTCTATTATTTTGTTAATCGAAAAAAGTCATCTTCATGTAGCTTAACAGGCCTTGAATGCGCAACGCTTCCCCATCATGAGATGGTTCCTTGACGAATTCGCTCTCCGGAACGGGTTGTCAGTCTGTCGCCGGAGATGAGGATGGCGGCTCCTTAATTCTCACCCGGCAAGTGAAGCGTCTGTGACCAAGTTAGAGCCGGTAAATAACGAAAACAAAACATTTTGATCGACGGCCAACGGTCTGAGAAAGCAGTGGCGTAACGATTCGCCAGTTGCCTTTATCGATAAATACCAATTGTCTGTCCTGTCCTTATAATATACGCCTTCGAATGATAATAAAAATATACTTGTGGCTTAGCCTAAATGCATAATATTCCGAGGAAATAATTGAGCGATCACAGGGTGCAGCAGATAAACTTAGGTCCCCATCTCGTTCACTTGTGGATCGCCGTTTGTTTGTCATTCGTTTATACATATTATATTATACTATGGTAGATGTATATTATATTCATATGTGTAGCTAGATAGTATATTACGTACAAGAGACACGTTTCGCAGGTATGAGATCATTTGGATAGTTGTGTCGAACGTACAGTGAGCATAAGCGCACACACACGCCGAGAGGGAATCGCCCAACGACGATGATATTTACATTTACATTCTGATCCCCGAATAAGACGAATATAAAAATTCAGACTGAATATTTCATTACTATATACACCGAACGCTGGTTCTATAAGTAATTTGTCGTTTTACCGCGTACCTATGCACGCCTTATACGGTTAAGCCATTACTCGGCTGCCACACAGCCAACGCTCACATAAATTTGAGTCGGCCATTTCTGAGACAACTAGGTATAGCAATATATACTCGCATTTGCCGCCTCAATAATAATATATTTTGAAATGTTATATCGGCCACAACCTTCAAAATATGCGGCCGGAGGTTGATTATCAGATAATAACAATAGATTAAACGTAAGGCATTAATTTTAATTTTTTCTCTCGAAAAAACTGTAGTTTTTATTATTGAAAATGTTATATACATTCATAAATCTTATTTTCTTTGAAATGCTCAATAACATATTGTATCTGCGTTTAAATAGTACTCAATAAGTGTATTAGCTTTTTAAAAATAAATTATAATTTACTGAAATACTTGACTGGTTAACACTCAACAACTTGTGTTTTAATAAAGCTTCTATTCTCCTTTGAGTTATTAGCATATATTTTCAGTTATTGAGTTTTTAAATATATCCAACATACTTAGTCTTCAATAAATGCAGCACGCTTATTTTCTCTCCGGTGTCGGCCTGACGACCCGTCCCAGATAGCGAATCCGTCTGGAAACCTCCTTAGAAGGAAACAGCAATGGCCCTACATGGGTTGCTTAAGCTGTTTCCGAATTATGTTTTCGTTATAAACAACCGTTAAACGTCATACTTATTGCTACATATCTACTACGTTACGGATTTTTCAGATAACTTGAACCAGTGCACATTCTTCTGTTGTTGAGTATACTAGCATAATGGCTTGTGGATATTATGTTTTAAGCACTTACAGGCCCATGTTTATTGGGTTTTATCATTTAAACACTAAACCGGCGAAACATATCAGCATAGATCTGAAGTATTGACTTATATGCGAACTTATTTTTTTTTGCAACTTTTATTTCAGGTCTTGTTTTACGTTTATTTGATAATGTATTACAAAGGCTATACTCGACGGACCCATCATGTAGTATAAATTATAATTACACAGGTTAATCAGTAGGTAGGGGGACGCGGTGTATACTGTATAATATACACAACGTAAAAAAGCAATCCGAGAGTGGCATTATTGGCTCAATTATTAATGCTGATTCAGAAAAATGATTTTAAACAAATTAAAATATTTATTTATTTATTTCAAAAAACATACAATTAATCGCTTTGTAACGTGATTGTGGCTTAGTAAATATAATATGTTATGAATTTCTAACACGGGGAAAAATATACATTAACTGTCGACAATGTGAACTTCAGTATGTATATTGAAATTTGTACATTTTTATATATATATAATAATGTACAAATGAAACATACATAATACACAGTATACATACTTTATTCTGTACATTATATTATATTATAATTTTATTTTATTGTATCGACCCGAGTAAATTAAGGGTAACGTGAGCAGTTTTAATCATCACTAATTATATATTGCTCAATATGTACAAAAGATAGATTTCTGGAAATCGGATACACCTATGTCATTACTCATCAGTGATGCGGACACTTGTCGGTAAAATGTATACCGTATTGCATTTAAGTCTTTCGATATAATAAAAAAATAGTTTTAAAAGCGGTCAGGTGGAGTGTTATTATAATTATAAAGGTAGGGTGAATGTCAGTAATTGCCAGTGAAATCTGGACTCAACGAAGTATAAACTGTATCCGATCCTTATCGTTACTAAAAAGATCACGTTACACTAGTTGCTTCCTATACTCAGGTATATCGTAATTAATATACAAATTGCCACCAAGATATTAATAACTATAATATAATACGATCTGTGTCCCAAAAAAAAAAAAAAAAAATAAGGATTCTAAAATTATATAAAAAATTGTGTAGGTTTTAATAAAAAAAAAATATTTTGTTTTTTACAGACTTTACTATAACGGTTATTAGTTAAATTAAAATTGTGTTGATTCATCAGTTACAATGAAAATATAACAGAAAAATGGTATTCAGTTTTAATTAATAACCATAACGTTTTTTTTTTCCATACGTCCATGGAGACCCGGGGGGCCTGCCTGGTGAGGCATTACTTCCCCCCGGGTTTCTGACGCCGTTTATTAGGACACAATAAACAGTTACAACTTTGATAAGAAGGTGATACACCTTCTCTACATTCGGCTAAAACTATACACTTCGCCTTAACTTAACACACCCCCTCTGGGGTGGGAGCCCAATAACAATATGCACATTGGCTCCGATGAATTTTAATTACAAAGTTTCTTAAACCTACCTAATGTTATGCTTTCAATTATACTATAAAGCTTGTAAGTATTACATTAATGGAGTAAATTTTTATTGTAATGAACATTGATATCTCTAATTGTTTTTAAGTATATGTAACTTTTATTTTAGAAGTTATTCCTTTAGTTTTTGCTTTAGTTTATCTTTCAAGAAGTATATTTTACATGGTTCTCCTATGCATTTATATCCCTTGACGTTTAGGCGCCTCAATCATTGTATAGAGATAAATATACATTATATTTACATTAAGCTAATATTTCCGAACCTAAACTGATTTTTAAACAAATTTGAAAACATCACCAAAGAAACTATTCAATGTAAGTACAGCATTGTGAAAACTGTTATGGAGAATTCAGCGTTATCTTTAACTCTAGTAACGGTTACTACAAAAGAAAAATCATAACTGGCAATTTTAGCATGGTGTTCTAAACGTAGTTTTAAACAACTATAGTTTTCATTTCGGGTAAATTATAAAAATATGTAGTGAATAACTTATTTACTATTCAGATAAATAACTAACTTATTACTTGTTATTAAAATGTATGTGATTAAAACGTGTTTATAAGTATTTAATACAATTATACAATTTTATTTTGATCTGTGGCCATGTGGATAAACCAAACTACCTAAAGGGCTTTTGAATGTAAAAAACTAAAATTGAAATTCTGGAATTTCTTAAACAATTGTATCGCTTCTATGTGAATTATAATGTAAAGTAATATCCTATAACGTCTTGTAACCATTGACTCGCAATCTACATTCAATGTTGTTGGAATTGATATGAAATCATTTTAGCTTATAATTCGATAATAAGGAGTCGAAGAAACTGCAAAAAAGTTTAGATTCTCGTCCGGGAATTGAACTGGGGGGTCTATTCTTGAAACCATTCAAAAATTATTCGTATACGAAATGTTCGTATGCGAATGTCAAGAATACCATTTAAAACAGTGTTATAAGACTATTCGTACACGAATAATTTTCTACTGCGATCACTCAAAGCACTCGAATAACATTCTATTATGGGTCCCATTCGTATACGTTGCAACTACTGGGTATGGGCATTAGAATCTATGATCCGCTTACGAATAACGATTACTTACAAGATTAAAGTATACATAATAACAATAATAATAATTTAATCTATATTATTTATAATAAATAATATGTGTACTACATAAAATATATATTTAGAGTATAAATGAAATTTATTATGCTATATTATTATTATAGCTTAATATAAATATTTAGTATCAATATGACGTGAAATACTTATATTTACTTTTGATACTTTTCTTATCTCTAATCTTTAATATCTCCCCTCCGCACCTCCGCCGACGACGAGTGTGACATCCAGCGTAACGTTTTGGAAATTTTTTTAGAATGATCCCCAGCCATAAGAGATATCAATGTCAATTTAGAACGTAAGATTAGAAGGGTTGAGTATAGTGTGCGCATTATTCTACCGCACTCCACCTCTCGTCATACATTTTAAACTTCAGTAGATTTAAAAGTACTAAGTTTAGTATATTATTCAAAACTGGTAAACGAGCAGTCAACATTTTCAGCATTTTATTTTTAATTTAAAACATTGATTAAAAATATACATTTTCACTTAAGATATAAAAGTTATAACTTTATAAAAGGTATAAAGATATAAATGTAAGAACTTTGGAAAAAAATAAGATAAAACTTGAATATTGTTTAACATTATAAAATAACATAAACTAAAATGTCTCTAAAAAGAAAAGCTACAAAATTGCAATTATTTTAAGAGAAGATGTTATTCTTAATAAACATGTTTGTTCTTAATATACCAACATGAAACAACTGTTTTTTTTTATGAACATAATAAAATATTTTACTTTTTTGAATTGGAGCTACTAAATGTTATGGTTAAAAACTAGTGTTATTGCTAAAAGCACTTTCATATTTTGCTTCCAAATACTTTAACTAAAAATATGTACCTATAAATATATTTTTGCATGTACAATAGCTTTAACTACTACAATATGTATCTATTTTATTACAGTGTAATAAAATATTACACTGTATGAACTTAATAAAATGTACGAAGTAAGGTATTAATAAAGTAAAAAAATATTCAATTAATTTAGACATTTTCTGTTCAGTTTATTAAATTAATAAATTTTTCGTTACATATTTTTAATAAAAGTATTTGAAAGTAAAATATGAAATTAAAGTGATTTCAGTAATAACACTAGTTTTTAACCATAACATTTAGCATCTCTAATTCAAAAAAATAAAAAATTGTATTATGTCCATAAAAAAATAGTTGTTTCATGTTAAAATTACATCTTAGTCGTTTTTAATTGTACACTTTTTAAAATGAAATAAATAAATTTCACAGCTGGTACAATTTTGTATAAAATTATTGTATTTTAGTGTTGAATTTTGAAAGTACAATTATAGTAGGTATCCTATATTTTATTTAATCCTCTTTAAAAACAGAATGATGTGTAGAATATAATGACTAATCGATTACCAGGTCTTAAAAATATCGTTTAAGTATACTAACAAATAGAAAAGTAAATTATAATTTTATTTTAATCCGTGTACTCTGCTCAATCATACTTACGTCACATTTATAACTCAAACAATTATTTTTAAAACATGGTTATCGATCAGTTTTTTGTTTACATTAAAATATGATGGCTCAATAAAGTAAAATTGCATTTGTATGTTATTAATTGACTATTTAAAATAATTTAATACAATAGTAATATAATTATACTTAATATAATTATATTTTATTTGAAACTTTTGAACAAAACAATTATTTTTAGACAAATTTATTAGTTTTTAAAGTACATGTATATACTTATGATTAATCATTTTGAGAAATTTGTTAAAAAATTAAATGTATTTGTACGTTATAAAATGCAATTTACTCGTAAAATGAATCATAATATGACTAAAAATTAAGATACTTACATCGATATATATCCCTCGTTGTTCGAATACTTGTATTTCTGGTTTGTTCTTTGGTAGGTACCTGAAGAACTCATCGCCATCTTTATACCACTTAACGGCGTACAAAGTCTCACCTTCCAGATCGTAGATGCATGTTAGTGTAGTGCTACTACCCAAAAGCGTGTGATTGTTGATTCGCACGTCTAACAATTTCACACTAATCACTAAAATACCTAAAAATAAAATAATGATTAATGTAATAAATAATTAATATAGTTTTTTTTATGTCTAAATTTATTCAATATATTTTTACTGATAGTAAAATTTATGAACGTCGAAATAAATGTACATAAAATAATAAGCGTATTTTGTAAAAGTCTTTATTATTTTAGCAAAAATAAAATTATCAGCATCCCATTAACATATTAGGTTGCACTTGTGTATAGGTATTTCTGAGAGTTATCAGAACAAGTGTTTTGAAAAAAAATGTTTATAATAAATAATAATATGTTAAGCCTCAGAGAATTGTAAACATTTCTAGTTGTAAATCGTTTAATTTACGTTTAATCTTCTATTTAACTAATGATCTTAAGTGCCAGGGCCAGTCTAGTGCCATTTAATATGAATTTTATTATATAAACTATAGTCTAAATACATCTAGTATAATATTATATTACTATGTTGAACAATTAAATATATATGAATCATTTTGTTGACAATGATTACATGCTCGTACAAGGCTTTCATCACTACAAACTTTTGATTAATTTCCGACTTTTACTTCATAGCATTTTGGTGCGCTATACAAATACATCATTTCACTGCAAACCAATTACGCAAGTTCATTTTAAGATTTACCCGTACCCTAACAGACCTTTTTATATGAACTCATTTCTGTGATAAGTCCGTATAAGAGTGTGTTTGAAGTTTTCTTCAATGCCTTAATTTTAAATCAATCAAAAGCCATCATCAGTTTCACACTTATGTTATGTGAAATCACGTATACTTATATTTTTATTGGAAAGCAATAATATTATAGATATTATCGTAATTGTACTTGTACGGATACACACCAAGTACTTGAGGGCTGAGGCATCAGATGTAGTTTTCATTGCTGATTGATATAACATTCATAACAAATAACTGCCAATAGCATTTGGCATTTACCAAGTCTGGTCGGTGTTTTGTAAAATGGTGTATGTTTTTCATTTGTTTCTTGGTATATTTCTATTGACAACTAAACACAGTACTGCCTGAATAATAAATACTAACGCATTTTCTCATATTCTTTTAAGTATTTTTTTTTCTTATAAAACCTTATTTAACAAATTAAATACTAATTTTTTGATGGGGAAAATGTTATAAAAACGCGTTTCTAAAAGACATGATTATTAAGTGTTTAAAATTATGTAAGTTTTGTGAACTCGGAAGTACCTATATTGCATAACAAGAACGCTTTGTTATTTTTTCCATAACTTTCACTGCCCTTTAATTTAAATACATTTATAAATACTTCATGTTTTTTTAAACTACATTTTATCATTACTAGCAATATTTTAATATAACATAACTATTATAATATTTAATAATCATTTTTATATTTACTGCTTACTTATCTTTTCCAAATTAAGTAACTACCCATTTGCATTGTTCTTACTTATTTAAATATAATTCATAAACTGTGTTATTGTTTGATTTATAACTAGACGCTTTTAAAACAATTATATTAAATTACAATAAGATTGAGAAAAATGTAAAAACCAAACCATGTTTAACACTTCGCTTTTAACGTTGGTCAAAACACTAGTTTCCCGGTAATCATATTTAAGCCATATAAGTTATAAAATAACTTAAGGAAAATTATGTGCAATGTTAATAATTACTTTACTTTTTTTTTATGTCATGTACAGATTTGTTTCATCAAATACCTTAAAATGAGAAAAAAACATTTTTTATAACTTGAAAAAATAATTTTCAAAAAATAAAATTTAGCAGTGTATAACATGCCCTTAATTATTATTTTTTAAGTTAAGAAAGTTGTTTTCAAGTTGTATCCATACATTATAATTAAGTATGAAAAATAATAAATAATCACACCAACAGGGTTTAGTTAGAAGTTATAAACTCAATAGTTAAAGCTTAAAACATTTAATGATATCACTGGCTACTAAGTGTTATCACGAGAATGAAGTATTTAAGTGTACTTGTAAAATTAATACATTTTACACGATCGAACGACACTTTATCGTATCAACTATCAAAGAAATGCATTGTTTAATTAAACCAATGCAATATGTATGATGTATTTTTATTTTTATGTTCTCTGAGCAGTGTAAGCGAAGCTATATTTTGAGATACAACGTCGGAAGAGATATATTATGAACCAACACTCATCAAGTTATTAATATCGATCAAATGACACGCATGTCAAAAGAATGTGTACGGTGTGTATTATGTTCAAGTAGTATCGGTGTATAAACTATACAGACGTGCATTTCAATTACAGTAAATGTGTAAATAAAGACAAAGTATAAACACAACACAAATGCAGGACTTCAATAAAACTGTTTTTGTAGGTACTAGGTAGTTAAGTATTCACGGTATGCGCATTTTGCATTCGATATCGGATAAGCGAGGGACGTTTAAATTGTCAATATTGCGCATCCGACTGACAACGTCGGCGTTGTGTATTTATTCTGTACGATTCACTCTTAAAAATCACAAATTATATAAAAACACTGTTTGCACAAACCTTTGAACACAGCAGACGAACGACAGATTCTCTTGTGATTTTCCGTGTGTAATTTAATTGTAAAGCGCTTCACACGTAGACCAAACGCACACCAAACACGGTTGGGTTTTGTGTTTTCACTAATGTTATAAACTACGTGTATGGAATCCTGATAAATCTCAAGTATGGGGAAAATGACTAATTCCCATAGCCTTAACCTATGGGGATGTGGAAAAAATGTTACTTCAATTTGTATTAGCAAATATAACAAAAATGATGGAAAAAGTAAAAATAAAACATTCATGTAATACGAGTATAACAAATGAAAAGCATCAACACTCGTATAATACCAACAGCATATTCCAGCAAAAAGGTTAACTTTCGGCAAATATTATATTGAAAGACGATATCTTGGTAGTAGTCAACGAGTATATTGTTTTTTCTCTAAAAATTTGAATTAAAAAACAAGATTTTGAAGTTAAATCATTTGCTAAGTAGGCTTGCCATATATTAAAACGAATGGCAGGGCTTAATTAAGCCATAATTAAAAAACGGTAAATCACTTAAATAATAAAATAAAGTACCGATTACAGGTTAGATTTAAAAATTGGATTTTAACACGGCTTTTTTGAAATTCTCATCTTGTATATTTAAAAAAAAAACATATTTGGTCATTCGTGTAAAATAATTAATGATGTTTGAACGAAAACAATTTTTTTGGTCGACTATTTCAAAAATAGTAAGCGTAAATTAAACGTCATAGCAATAGTTTACTTTTTACTCATAACTTAATCACGATTTGTCTTATTATAATGTCTCGTTTTAAGAAAACATTTTTTAACTTCATGAAAAATAAATTTGAGTGAACTTTGTGTTTTTAACTTTAAACAAAGAATCACTATCATAAAATATTATAAAAAAATGCCACAACTTGTGCAAAGATAAAAAATGGTCATTTGTATACCTATTACCTACTTACAAAGTAACAGGCTTCAAAATGAAAAAAAAAGATCTCTGTTATAATTTATAATAAAACCTTTGGGCCTACAGTGGAGCTAGACTAACCAGTTAAATACTAACTTTTTGATCTAGAACGTTCCAAAATAATTATATTTTTTAATATGTCAAAATACAAACAGTTTATTTTAGTGTTATAAAAAATATTTTTTTTAACTAAAGATAAAAATATATTTATTTTTTAACACAATCTGAACCCCTATTATTTACGTAGTATCAATTTGTATGAATTTATTTGAGTGTGCCCTTACCCAATACATAGTATATAATTATATATGTTCACATTTTTTTAGGTAGAAACATTTTGAACGCCCCTCAAATAAGCGGACCTTGTGCAAAGTCGGGCAGATAACTTTTGCTTCGCAATGCTTCAACCTCACCGAGTTCGATACATATACCACTGCGTCACACAAGTTCAAATTAAAGTTAACAAATTTGTTAAGGGTCAATTACCGAACTCTTTAAATTGGCTGCAATAAAAACAAGTAAACTTCTTATTTTAGTAAGCAAGGTGTCATTTTCATCAAATATCTTTAAATTAAATGTATATTTACGAATTGTATCTAAAATTCTAAGTACTATTAAAAAAAAATTGTTCAGTATCAATATTTTTCACCATTGTTAAAATTCACATTAAAAACTCATTACCCTTAGAATCAAAGCATGGAGAGAATCTTTTTTGAGAAAAGGAACACCGGTACAAAAAATAACAAATCTCTGTTGTAATACTAATATCTTTTTAGCTTTTCCTCGTCGAAGCCAAATCAATATTTTTCTATGTCATCCGTATTTTGCGATTTTTATGGGTTACTAAGAACTCTAGGGACAATTATTTTTGTAGAGGAATTCTAAAAATGTTCATTATTCACGATTTAAGGCAGACATTTTTCTCGTATGCTTTCTTTAGTTACGCTTCTATTTCCCTTGCCATGCTTTCTTATGTACTATTATTTATTTGGCATTTCATTTCAGATCACGAAATAGTATTATCTTCAATATTACCGACACACAGTTATTGAAAAACCGGAACACACAATAACTATAAATACAATTTTCCTAAGGTACATAATACCACCCAACCCTCCTTTATTTTTTAGATCCCTACCAACAAATGATACACGATTTACAATTTACATGACATTTATTTCAAATCCTAAACCTTTATTTTTATTACATATTACGTTAATGTAACTCCTTTAATACTTATCTACAATTGAAATATCAATATAAAATAATAATAACAAAGTATAATAGAATTGATCTATATTTCTTTCTATTAGTTAATAATTTGATAAAATATTTTTGCTGTACAAATAATTTTCATATTAGTAGGTCATGACTGTTGGAAATTCTCATTCAGAAAACTATTTTTTTCAAACACAAAAATGTTTTACCTTCGGTGCTGGGCTAAGATGATACAGGTTTCATTATTATGTAGTCAATATTGACAATACTCGTCATCATTGCAGTCGGTTCATTAGTAGC